GTGCCTGTACCTGTCAATGAGAATCTGATCTGTTACGACCTGTCCCTGCCAGTCATCTCCTATCATACCGTCCTGCCAGCCCGCACCCTGACAAGAAGATCACTTTCAAACCCACCCTGATAGCCGCGAAAAACCCCCTAAAACTAGCGATCATTAGCTGAAACGTTTTCTTAAACGTTATCATGAGTACTAGTTTCGACGCCGGCGAGCTCTTGATATTGGAAGAAGTGCTACACTTAATAAATCAGTGGTTGAGAGGTGGTTTAAAGACTACGAGCGGGTTATCACTGAGCATGGGATTTGCCAACAAGATATCTACAATTTTTCTTACTCTCGCAAATAAGCCATATACTACAACCTCTTAATGTCGGCGTGTTTAGCGTGTATAAGCACTGGTATAGTGAGGCAGTTGAAGCGGCTACAATGACTAGATGCCGCAAATTTTCAAAGGATGAATTCCTACACTCAATTGGCGAAATTAGGCGCAAACCCTTCCGGCCACATACAATTAAGCTTAGTTTTAAATTAACTAGCCTTTGGCCTATTAATTCTAAGCTTATTACCGATGAATTGGAGTCGTACGACCTATTTATTGAAAATCTACCCCGGTCAACTACACCATCAACTACCTCACAAAACACCGAGTATAGCACTCCAAAAACCGCCGAAAAAGTGAGAAGGATAAGCCTACGGCTTAGTAAAGATAACCCTACCACTCAGCGCTTCAAAGAGGGGCTAGCAAAGCTTGTGAAAGGGGCTAAGGCCCAGGCAACATTAGCTGTTCAGCTACAACGAGAATTCGATTCTACACAAGCTATTATGGGGGCACGCCACGCTAGATACGACGCATCTCGTCGTCATTTACGTATTACCGGTATCATTCATTCATCCTAAGTCAAAGAGACTAAACGAAAAGAGTATAAATTGAGTGAAAAAGCCGATCAAGAAAAAACGAAGCGGAAGTGGAAGAAGGTGTTGATTGAGATCAGGAAGCATGGAAGGGCCAAAAAACGTCGTGGGGATCTATAACTTTGTACTCTAGTAGTAAATTTGCCATCGAATTTGTTTCTTATTTTTAAATAATTTTTTTACCATAAAAAAGGGTAGTAAGTGGTGGTTGTAGTAAAATGTATGAAAAAACCGACGTTTGGGTGATCCCCTAAGAATGGGTGGCGGACCCTCGCTTGCGGGGGTCCGTATTTTTTGAAAAAAAATTTCAGGGGCCGGTTAGTGTGTGCCTCAATTCTTTCATCACCTTACCACTTAGTTACCGACAACCACCCACTTCTCTCTTACCAGTACCATAACGTATTCGGTAAGCGAGCTGGCCACCCCAACCAACTTCTTAATTTAAAATGCATTTATCTCAACCAAAACGCCATTAAATTAAATATACTAAAATCATCTATCTAGCTAGGCATCGATTAATCTTATGTCCTATTTCTCCACAACCACTACACTTTGGCGGGGCCCGCGTACGTGGTTGTAAAGCCGGCGAAGGGCTTCTTCGTGGAGGGAGAGGAGGTACTTCAATTGCTTCCACCGGCTCAGTAATCAATTGAGAAGCTTCTTGAACTGAGAGGCCTTCTTCAGTAGGTATCTGCCTCCGGGATCTAGTACGCTTTTGCTTCTGCTTCTCGTTGGCGGCGCGTAAATCCTTGTTTTCTTTGGCGAGTAAGATAGCACCTTGCATTGTAAGACGGAAGCCTTTTACAAGCTGGTTTAATGCACGATCTGACGGGCTAGGTGGGCTTCGAGATCTTGTACGAAGTAAAGCTTTGATTGATGAAGCTTGACGACGTAGTTCTTTCTCCATAAAGGGGGGTTTTGGGGTAAAAATTCCGGCTTGATTCACTCCCCCGGCTGGCTGGGGGGGTTGGGGTTCGAAGCCGAATATCAAGCTTTGAAATCACTCGGTTGGGTGCAAATGGTACTAAACTAGCTGCTCCGAAGCGTCAATCCTCTAGGAGGCAGTTAAACAATAAATTAATAAAGACTTTGCCTTTAAAAATTATACACGGAGGAAGCACCTACCCAGAAGCATTCGTACATTCAACCACCGTCACCCATGCACGATTTCTAGGTTGTAAAACCGGCCTCCGACCGTAGTATTCACTCCTCGTAATAACCTTCGCAGTTGTAGTCAATCCTATTGTAAAACCAGTCTTATCAAAGTTATAGATATCATCAGGGTCGATTCTAAATTGAAGGATTGTCTTTTAAACCAAATCAAACCACTCCCCAATGATTTTAGGATCTTCGCATTTCGCACGCTCGTAGTTATATCGTTTCGAGAATCGGGAGGATAGGAGAGGATACCGTTTCACGAAGTTATATGCCCATTTCTCGCTGACCGAAAGAACCGGGGTAGTTCCACGCTTTTGAAGAAGAAGATCTGCCATTTCTTGTACCATAGAGGGCCGGGAGGCTGATCCACGAGAATCCATAGAGAGGATCCATTTCTGAAGAGATTCCTCTTCAGCATCGGTCAATTTATGAGAGTTAGCGCGAAAAATCGCGCGGTGTTGTATACCATTCAGGCGGGTAGAAAGGGTGGATATTGGGACGTTAAAATGGCGCGCCACTTCACGAATTGAAGAGATTTCTTGATTCTTAAAAGCCTGGATAGCTAGTAAGATCCTACCCTCCTGCTCTATTGAATTTCGAGAGGATTGAGTACGAATTGGCGGCATGGTGGGTGGTTGAACTAACTAAGATCTAATTCATGGACGCGTTTTGGTTGGGGTGGCCAGCTCGCTTACCGAATACGTTAGTTATAGTATTAAGTCGTTTTATACATAATCAAATTACTAAAAATATACCAAAAAAATAATAAACAATGTTTATAACGAGGTTGAGAAATTCTGCTTACTAAAAAGGCCTATGGGCGCCCACGACGCCTAAGGGTAGGGCCCATCTATAGGCGTATCCATAGTTAGTTAGGGCCCATTTCCCGCTTATTTAAGGCCCGTGGGCAGTGCCCACCCGCCCGTCCATGGGCGATGTCGCAGTCTAGTGTTTAGACTACCCAATAGAAACCATGCGATTCTTACGGAATCTCAATTTCGAGTGACGCTGAGTGTATGTTGTATTTCCTATTTGAAATCTCTTTAAGAGATTGCATCGAGTTATAACAAAGCAAGGGAGATGAGACTGAATCTCATACAAACACCATAACATGTGAGGCTGTAAGTCTTGGCGGGGTTACGAACAAGGTACTGTTATAGTTCGCTTGAAGAGCAAGTCGAATTTACTTTCGATCAGCACGGGAGTTGATACTCCGTACTTCGGCTCCCAATGAGACGGCCATCGGAGATTATGGACTTGTAGACATCTCCGTGTGGGTCTGTGAGCTAACATGCCAGTTACTGATACATGCACCTAGCCCGGATGGCAATCCCCCACCCCTGGGGGCCAAAAGCGAAACCGGGTTGAATACTCTACACAGAGGGCATCCTTTAAGAAGAAGTGCTCAGCAAAGTGGATTCCGAAAAGCGAGACTGGGGCTACTGATTGTATCATTTGGTAATAGTGTGCCTCGTAGCGAACGGGTTGGAAGGCTAGCCTGGATATTGAATCAAAGATACAGTGGGTGAGCGTCTTTCGATTAGGGGCTGTCCTAGGTGCATACTTCCCTACCTTTCTTCAGGCGTGATGATTGAGAGTATGCTATCATTTGGAAGTACCAGTAAGAAGCCAAAGGAAAGTGGACATGGATCTGATCACTTCCGTGGCCGCAAGCGTCTTCCGTAGTGGAGTTAAACGCCAAGCTTGACATCAAAAAGTCATTCCGCAACGCTCTTGACCCTGCACAACTTAGGGTATACCCTTCTGAGAAACCTAACTTGACTTCTCAATATTTACCCCTGGGCCAATTGTTTTTCGCCTTCAACTTGCCTATACTTCTTCTCGGCTACCCTCCAATCTATCAACTGCCCCCCTCACTGACCCCTCATCGCGAACACACCCAAAATGGCATCATACCTGACCGGCAGCGAGGCCTTCACTCGGGAGAAGCAAAATACCTCCGACATAAGCACAAAATCTACAGCAGCCTGGGCTGACAAGTACCGCGGTGTCCGTCTCTCCCAATACCTTCATCCACTGGACCCCCAAACTAACGAACAACACAGGCAACGATTGAAGACCTCGACCCTCCCCCGGCGCTCTCGATCTCCTCCCATGACCCAGTTTCTACAGCCCTAATGGCCGCCTACGAGCGCGACTACACGCATCTCACCGTTATCTCTTCGACAAGGCGCTCCCTGCTGGGCTACCTCAGCATCCCACGGCTACGAGAGCTGCTGCAGAGTGGCGCCGTGAAAGAAAGTGACCCAGTCTCAGCGGCTATGCAGCGTTTTAACCGTAAGCGCGGCATCTACCAGGTCATTACGATGAATACGCCACTCGAGGAGCTCGAGCAGTTCTTCGAGAGCGAGGCGGGGCCAAATGGAGAGAAGCGTGAGAAGCAGCAGTTCGCTGTTGTCACCGATGTGGCACGCAAGTTTGTACTTGGTGTTGCTACTAAAGCGGACTTGGAGGAGTTTGTGAAGCGCAGACCTACTTAAGCCGATGTGGAACTGCTAGTTAGCTGATTGAGAATTGGAAATGTCAGAGAGTACTTTCTGTTTGGCACAGCATATTGGCGTATCTGTCTACACTGAGGGCATAGATCGAGGTCTTTTTTTGTATCTCTACAGGCGGTTCCTTCACCATGAACAGCACGAAAACTAGGCAGGCCTTGGCTGACGGGCTTGAAGGCTGTAGCTTGATATCAAGGGAACATCCAGGAAACGAACAATCAGATAAATAGCGCAGTCTGTGTGTATAGTTTTACAATTGAGTCCTGAAATGGTCGAAGTTGTTCCATCTCGATTGCACAAAAACAGAAACCCCAACCACCCGAACAATCCCGTAACGCCGAACAGAGGAACCGTTTTCTTAAATCTCCCAGATCGAGTTCTATCTGGCCTACTGGGATTTCTTTGAACTTGACTTGTTGGCTGCTTGTCTGTCCTCCTGGTCTTCCGTCCAGGCGACGTAGATATATGCGAACAAGACCACGTTGGCGGTAACCGCGGCGGCGATTCCGGCGAGTGTCGAGCTCCCTGGGTAGTATCAACTTAATCAATATACCCCATTACAAGTTGAAAGGCCGAGAGATATTCACCTCTGAAGATTGAGTTCACGGTCAAGAAATACATGCCAATTGGGCCCGCAATCATGGCAGCCGTAAAACCGAGGAGCTTGTATATCACATCTCTAGATACCAGAGCTAATAAGCATGGGGCTTCAAGGACTGGATTAAGCTTCTAGGGCTATTCTCTTACGCAGGAACAGCTGGGGCCACGTCAGAAGTGCCTTTCGCAGGTTTCGTGGCAACATCGGCGTGGGACTGGTTGTGGGGGCGACGGGCAGACATCCTTGTTTTCCTTAGGAATGACAATAAGAAAGTCAAAGGCCAAAGGATGAGAAAGGAAAGATCTATGTTGAGAAACAAAGGAACTGAAGCTATCGCAAGTGCGGAGATACCTTAGTGTCCGCCGTCCCATGGGGTTTGATTGGTGGGTTGAGGTAGATGCCCATGTGACTCGATCCTTTCATTCTCCCATTCGGGGAAAGCTGAGATCTATTGCTCATTCATTAACCATAGAGCGAAGCTATTTGCAATCGACTCTATGAGTTTAAACTTCTTCACATGTCTGACTCCTTTGTTCCAATCCACTGCTTAATTGACTGATCTCACACGTGATTGGGCGCGTCCACGGTGGCGCGTGTCCGCTTTGGCAGAAAAAACGTTCCTGAATAGCGCAGAACAATTAGATGGCTTCGATGATTCAATGCCATTGTTAGTATTGTGAGCGATGGATGAATCTGTCCATAATACTCCTCCTCGAGATATAAAACCCGTTCCGAGTACCCCCCCGGGTGCAGACTACGAAACTATTGCCACTCTTCCAGCGATAACCCCGTCGCAAAGATTGACCCAACCAACACAACTACTTGAACATCCTTACTCGCGACCAAATAACACTGTCATTCAAGTTGCTGCGTCATCACCCATAGGTCCAGCCTCTTCTCCTCCCCGCCGAGCTCAAGGCGGTTTACTTTCATCCTTAATCGCTCCTTCTGGGACGCAATTCCGACCTCTTGCCTCTCGTCCTACAAAACGAACACCGCAGTTTGATCTCGACGACGGCCCGACATATCGAGGGGGCTCCTCAGACGAAGATTATCACATACAAAGTACAGATATCAAACCGTCTATGTTTGCGAAAACCATCCGGAGTCCCGAAAAAGAAAAGATCATGGAGTCGCCCGTCCGCCCTGACGCCGGGCCAATGGATCGGTTCCGAGAAATTACAACCTCTGCCATGTACGATCCGAAGAACACTGGAAGTGCAATCAAACGGGCCGCAGATCAGATGAGTCCACCGGCACCTAAGGGGGTTGCTATGAAAAAAGCCCGCCAAGGTGTGCCCTCTCGCGCACAACCCGTGGGAGCTCCAGACATCCTGCTTCATGAGATCAACGACTTCAGACTCCGCGTCAAAGTTGAGCGCATTCTCAAAGTTATGCCGCACATGACTGTTCGAGCCTGTATGGACGCCATGTTGAAAGCAAAGGGCAACTACGACGACGCCCTCCAAATCCTTGCCAACGCGGATGCTGCCGCCCATGGAAATGATGCTGTGGTTATTCAGTCCTCTGATGATGAATTGAGTGCTTCTCCGGCTACGGGCCCGGTTCCCATGGCCAAGCAGAACATTAAAGCTCGTAGCACCATTCAGGATAAGTGGGCGGCAATGAAGCAGCAGCCCAAAAACCAGGATTCCGACGACGAAGGAAAGCCTCGCCGCCGACTCATTCGTGGACCCAAGTCTGATGTCTCCTCCCGTGCTGTTTCTCCTATTCGTTCTATCATTATCAACGATGACAGCCCCCCGAAAAAGAAGTTGGGACGGCTCCAGAAGGGTCGCAAAGCCCCTTCCCCTGACCGATCCGAGTCTCCCGAGGCTATGATGAGCGATTCGGACGATTCCAATGTTCAGGTCCAAGGATCCACCGCTGGCGGTTTGGACTCCAAGGTCTTGAAATTCTTCAACACATGCCCTGTGCAGGATCTCGCTGATATCGCCTCCATCCCCGAAGAAACTGCTCAAATTATCATTTCAAACCGTCCCTACGCGTCCCTCGATGAGGTGCGTGTTGTCTCTGCTCCAGTTGTAGAGACCGTGAAGCCCAAGGGCAAGAGAGGAGGTAAAGCCCCTAAGCCTATTGGAGACAAGATTGTCGACAAGTGTATCGATATGTGGACTGGATATCTGGCCATTGATGCCCTTGTTGGGGAGGTCGCAGAACTCGGCAAACCAGTCGCCGAGGAAATGAAGAAATGGGGTGTCGACACCTTCGGGAAAAAGGGCGACTTGGAAATTACCAACCTTGCTCCTTCCAAATCAGAACACGACTCTGGTATTGCTACTCCCGCATCTGAACGCCAATCTTCTGAAAGTGATGAGGATAGCGGAAAATTGGTTGTTTCCAAGCGCAAATCTCGTTTCATCTCACAGCCCTCCATCATGGCCGATGACTTGGTGATGAAGGATTACCAGGTTGTGGGCATCAACTGGCTGGCATTGTTGTTTGAAAAGAAACTCAGCTGCATTCTGGCTGACGACATGGGCCTGGGCAAGACTTGCCAGGTCATTGGTTTCCTCGCGCATCTGTTTGAGAAGGGGATCAAGGGCCCTCACCTAATTGTTGTCCCATCTTCCACCATTGAAAATTGGCTTCGCGAGTTCCAGAAGTTTTGTCCGGTCTTGAACGTGATGCCTTACTACGCTGGTCTCAATGAGCGTGCTCTCATCCGCGAGGAAATTGAGGAAAGACGTGATGAGATCAACGTTGTGATCACTACCTACACGATTGCCAAGGCGAAGCTTGATGCCAAATTCTTGCGTGACATGGATTTCACTGTTTGTGTCTATGATGAAGGACACATGCTGAAGAACCATCAATCTCAACTTTACGAAAAGTTGATTCGAATTCGGGCGCGATTCCGTCTGCTTCTCACTGGCACCCCTCTCCAGAACAACTTGCAGGAGCTAGCATCTCTCCTCGGCTTTATTCTTCCTTCGGTCTTCAAGGAGCACAAGGAAGATCTTCATGCAGTGTTCTCCAACAAAGCAAAGACGACCGATGAGTCCCACGCTACTCTTCTATCTCAGCAGCGCATTGAGCGCGCGAAGTCCATGATGAAGCCCTTTATCCTCCGACGAAAGAAGCACCAGGTCATTGACCTTCCCGCCAAGCACTCCCATGTTGGTTGGTGCCAAATGAAACCTTCTCAGGTCAAGATTTATGACCATGAAAAAGAACAAGTGCGTCAGCTGCTGGCAGACCGTGCCGCTGGAAAGAAGACTGGCTCCAAGTCTGCCAACATTCTTATGAAGTTGCGCCAGGCCGCCATTCACCCTCTCCTTGCACGTCGTCACTATACCGATGAAATTCTGCAGAAGATGGCCAAGGCCTGCTTGAAGGAAGACAAGTGGTCGCTATCTGACCCTAAGATCATTCTTGAGGAACTTATGCCGTACAACGACTTCGAGTGCCACCACATGTGTGTGGAAAATCCCAACTCCCTCGGCAAGTTCAAGCTCAAGAACAACGAATGGATGGACTCTGGCAAGGTGGAGCACCTCAAAGATCTTCTCACCCGTTTTATCGCGAATGGGGATCGCACCCTCATCTTCTCTCAATTCACAATGGTCATGGACATTCTTGAGCATGTCCTGGAAACCCTGAAAATCGAGTTCGTCCGCCTGGATGGCCGCACGAACGTCGAGGATCGCCAGTCCATTCTTGACGCCTTCCACGAGCGCACTGAGATCCCCGTCTTCCTCCTGTCCACCAAGGCCGGTGGTGCTGGTATTAACTTGGCCTGTGCGAACCGCGTGGTCATTTTCGACTCTTCCTTCAACCCCCAGGAAGATGTGCAGGCCGAGAACCGTGCCCACCGAGTCGGGCAGACCCGTGAGGTTGAAATCTACCGTCTGGTGACCAAGAGCACCATTGAGGAGCAGATCTACGCACTGGGCCAGACCAAGTTGGCACTCGACCAGGCCGTTGCTGGAGATGACGAGGCTGGCGCCAAGAAGGGCGAGGAGGCCGGCATGAAGGTCGTTGAGGGAATGATGATGGCCGAGCTGCAGATGAAGACAGAGAAGTGAGCGAGCACAAAAAAAAGAGGGTTACACTGGAGTTTCTATTGTGAGTATCTGCATGGCGATGCAGGTACTGCATTTAATACCGTGCCGAACATGGCACAGTTAGTACATGGTGTTTGGTGGGGTCTCAATGTCATGGCGATTCGGGGAATCGCACATCATTTGTTAGATTTGAGGGTCAAAAATCCAACTACCATTGATTTAGTACACGAGGTTCACTTAAAGTGGGTTGTATTGTATTGAACTAGGTAGTCATCAAGGATGAGCGTGAGATATGTAAATGGGGAATAATCTTTAGACAGAACAGATGGAAGCAATCAAAAAAACACCTCAGAATGCAGATATGAGCGAGGCAAGGAACAATAAACTGTGAGAAAACCAAGGGCTATGCATGAGATCGAGGCCAGAGCGTGAAAAAAAAAGGACATTGATGGACGAGAAACGCAACGAGAGGCGCAAATCAGTGTTTACACCGTCAGCTGAGAGGGAGCCTGACTCTGCGCAGCGGGAGTAGTAGACTCAACAGCTGGCTGCTCAGCATCAACTTGGGTAACCTTAGCTGGCTGAGGAGCAGAGGACCGCCGAATGGGACCACCTCCATGAACAGCTGGCGAGGCCGTCTTGGTCCGGACAGCACCGCCGCCAGCCGCACGAGCAGCTTCAGACTCCATAGCATTCTGCACAGCTTTAGACTTAGGCTCAGGCAGGGTTTCTGTATCGGTCACACTGGGGGCAGACTCCCACTTTTCATCCAGACCGAGGATCAGATCAACACCCGCAGCAGCAGGAAGCAAATCTTCGAACTTCAACGCCCGGCAGATATCAAGATACGACCGTGACAGCTTCGCATCCTTAAATTCCTTGTCTTTGCCGGGGATCAGCATGTTAAGCAGGTACTTGGTGTTACCCAGACGATTCTCCGACTCAATACAGAAGCGCAAGTACTCGTAGACGACATCCCGCCACGGCGCGACGCCGCCATCCTCCTGAGTCCGGAAACAAGACGAGTTGGTCTCCGCGGAGGTCGCAATCATAGCACCGTCAACGCCGTACTCATCCATCAGCGCGAGACCCTGGTCACGCGAAGTCACATCGCCGTTCATCACGCACGCCACGCCAGCCTCGTGGCATATACGCGCTACCATGGGGAGCTGGTCACGGATTGCGCGTTCGCGGGGCCGCATGGGAGTTGTGCGACAGTGGACTGTCAAGCCTGTGATGCCTGTTTTCACAAGGCGGGAGACAAGGGCCTCTGTTTCTTCGGGGTTCGAGAGGATGCGAATCTTGACTGAGATGCCGATATTATAGGGTTCGCCAACTTCCTTAACAAGATATTCTAGGATCGAGACGAGAAGATCGGGGGTGCGGAGGAGGGCAGCGCCCATGCCACCGCTTGTAGAGAATGGTTTCGGGCAGCCGGAGTTGACATCGATACCTGAGACGTCGGCGGCCACGACGCGCGCTGCTGCCACTGCTAGCCTCGGGTTGGCCGTGCCAATTTGAAAGATCAGTCGGCCTTTTTCACGCGCTGGGTCGATGCGGTAGATGATGGATTCTTTGGTTGGTTTGTTGGAGCGTCCGCCGTTGCTGGGCATGCGAGTGAATTCGATCGTGCCGTTTCGTGGGTTCACGCGTCGCTCGGCACCGATCAAAGAGCGGTCAATTGTTTCCGGGCCCCAAACGAGATCGGCGCCATATTTCAGGGCCAGCAGGCGTGAGGGTAGTTCGCCGGACCGGACCATTGGCGCAAGTACGATTTTGTTGCGGTAGTCGACGCCGTTGGCGGGGATGGGCACGCGCGGCACAACGGCCGGAGCGGTGGCAGTTGCAGATGCGGTTGCGAGGTTTGCCATTTTTTTGCGGAGAGTTCTGATCATAGCATTCCCAGGTGCTGCGGGGAGAGAGACGTGTAGAACGGTCTTTTTTTTCCCTGGGTCGGAGGCACTCCCACTGGAAAGGTTAAATCACGTGAAGATAGTGGCGATAACCTTTTCCTTCCCGTTCTTTTCAGGGCAGGTGGTCATGGAATTTCATGTATTGGGGGTAATTTAAGCAATCATGGTATTTTTCAACACCCACTTCCAAGGGTCGGTGAGATCGAAGCAACCAACGAGGCTCCATTTCCTGCCACGGATCACTACCTCTAAATGTGAGTGTCTGTGATTATTCAGAGACTTTGAGAACTCCAATAATTTGATGTTCTCCAATTGAAGTGAACACAACTGCAATGGATCTTTAGGCCGCATATACTGCCGAAATCGGTTTGTCTGGCAGCACGGGGTCGGGCATGTACATGCAGTGTACGGGTACGGAGTACGGAGTACATCCTGTCAAATAGTTAAAAGATGTAGCGTACATGTACCTACATGTAGGTTATAGTATGTCTTAATACGTAGTGAGAGCACGAGACTTCAATTCAATGTTGTGTGTATATATATAGTACGCCTCCACAGCTAACTGGATCAGTCGGGATTTCAATCTAATTCGGGCTGATCAAAAACATACCGACTTTCGGAACTGCCATGTTTTTTTTATCTCTTTTCATACAACTTCCGACACAGACAAGAGGTAACACCACCACATATCGCATCCTATACCTGTGTGATTGAAGGTACGAGTTCTGTATCAGAAATACCAAATAAAACCCAAAACAAGGCACGAAAAGCATTTCCAACGCAGCCAATGACTCGTCCTCCCTTGACCCGACTGGGAAGTGCTGCCTCCACCGCCTCCCGCTCTGTTTGGCGTACATCAGCAACGCTGGCTCCCCCCACTTTGACTGCCCCCCTCTCTCCCTCTTCCTTTTCTTCTCCCTTAACCCGTGCGGCCCAAGTTTCTAGACACTTCTCGTCCGCTTCACCCAACATGACTTACTCTATCCGCAAGATTGGTTCCCCCTACACTCTTGAGCACCGTGTGTTCATTGAGAAGGATGGCGTCCCCGTCTCTCCCTTCCACGACATTCCTCTCTATGCCAATGAGCAGCAGACCATCCTGAACATGGTCGTTGAGATCCCTCGCTGGACCAATGCCAAGCAGGAGGTACGACAACACGAAACCTCTCAATGAACCCCTGCCACATACTGATTGTATCATAAACAGATCTCCAAGGACGATTTCCTCAACCCCATCAAGCAGGACACCAAGAAGGGCAAGCTCCGCTTCGTCCGTAACTGCTTCCCCCACAAGGGCTACCTCTGGAATTATGGTGCCTTCCCCCGTGTAAGTCTTGGGCCTCTTACATCCATGGATAGGAAGAGGGGTTAAATAACTGACATTTTACGGCCCAGACCTGGGAGGACCCCAACTCTATCCACCCCGAGACCAAGGCCAAGGGCGACAACGATCCTCTCGACGTGTGCGAGATTGGTGAGCTTGTCGGCTACACCGGCCAGGTCAAGCAAGTTAAGGTTCTCGGTGTCATGGCTCTGATTGACGAGGAGGAGACCGACTGGAAGATCATTGTCATCGACGTCAATGATCCTCTTGCCCCTAAGCTCAACGACATCGAGGATGTCGAGCGTCAGCTTCCCGGCCTCATGCGCGCCACCAACGAGTGGTTCCGCATCTACAAGATCCCCGACGGAAAGCCCGAGAACCAGTTCGCTTTCTCCGGCGAGTGCAAGAACAAGAAGTACGCCGAGGATGTTATCCGCGAGTGCTCCGACGCCTGGGAGAAGCTTGTCTCCGGCAAGACCCCCCGTGGCGAGATCAGCCTGTTAGTTCTATCCCTATTTATATATCCTTACGTTTGAGAACATTGAAGCTGACCAGCATAAGTGCCAACTCCACCATTGAGGGCTCTGCCGACCGTGTTGACCAGGCTCAGCTCGCTGCCATCCCCCGCAACGAGACTCTGCCCCCTGCTCCCATTGATGGCAGCATTGACAAGTGGTTCTTCATCTCAGGTGCCGCAGTATAAGTGAGAGTTTCTGCAAGAGAAAAATAAAACTAACCTAAATTTTCAAGCCTATGATCGTCTGCCTGGCGGGAATTACGTTCTTCGATTTCCCGAGGAAAGGACCCATTTTTGAATTGTCAATGAATTGTTCCCAATCCTTAATTCTGTACTACCACGGCTTAGAGAAGAGTAGTCTCCCTTGGGCAAATGCAAATCCAAACCACTGGATAGCAAAGAAATGATCTCTTTGAATATCAGCTTGTGTAAGATCCTCAGCTCTAATCCACCAAGTCCAATGCCAAGTATGAAGATTAAACAGCACATGTTTTCTACCAAAGGAAGAGTTATTCGAGCATTCCATTATGCCCAACAGCGCCAAAAATCGTCAGATGAAACAGATATAGGTAATATAATACACGAATGCACAGCTCGAATAGTAAAACTTTGCACTAGTTCTTCAAACTAGCCTCCCGCTGCAGGGCTCGGCCAACACGGGACACTTCCTCGATAACATCGCCAATCTTCATCCCGCGCTTTCCTACATCCAGCGTAAGCTCCTTGCCGCCCTTAAACCCGACAGTCATGGTTGGTGACTCGGTGGAGTCGCGCGGCAATTGCTTGACCTTGATATCGATGTGGGTTGGGCTGCTTGTTGGGATAGTGTCTGGTGTGCGCAGCATGCCCAGAAAGAGGCGGCATGGCCGGGAGGCGCGGGAGAAGGGGTTGTAGGCGGTTCGGAAGGTGGTTATCGTAGCGATAGGAATGGTCATTGTTGCGGTTTGAGGCTGGTGGTGAGCGGGGCGGAGGAGGGTTTGCGGACTGGTTGATTTATCAATTTTTGACCATTCAAAATTGAATGATATCCCTAGAGCGCAGTCTTGGTTCTGTTGTTACGTACCTGAGTGGATGGCTAGCGGGAAGTTTTTCAAGGTGGTGTTTTCTGGGGTTGGATCCGCCGCGGTTGGATAGGTCACCCTCGGTGATAGATTGGTCTAAGGAGATGTTGCGTAGATCTCAGTTGGTTTGCGACAAATCTAACAGAAAATGGCGCAAGTTCAATTGGAAGTTCTAATCACACCAGAGTCCCCGTAGCGAATTGCGGTTGAAGGAAATGGGGCCTGTTTGACTCGGATGCAAACACATCGCCAAATGACGCCCGTCTACATGACAACTATGAGTTGAACAACTCGACACTGATAAACCAACCCATTGCTTCGAATTATTTAATTTGTTCTCCATTGGTGCCTGCTTCTAGAAACGTACGCTCAACTCCCTGACAAGACAGCACTTGCATGCGTCACGTCGAATAAACAAAACTCTTATCGCAAGATGTCCCCCATGACAGCTCTCCAGGGCCGCGTGAAAGAGCTCTCGACTTCCCTAGGACAATTACAACCCCTCGTGGATCGACTGCATGACTTCACTGCTTCTTCCCTGGGACAAATCCAGCCCCTCGTGGATCGATTGCGCGATTTTACTGCTTCTATGGGGCAGGGTGATGAAGCTCGCCTGGAACTTGGAAGTGAGATACATTCTCGGCTGAAGGAAGCCGAGCAAGAGCTAGAGCTGTTGCGTGTGGAGGTTGAAGCGCTTGAAAATGGTTCGGATAGCAAGCGCAAGATATCTGCTGTCCATGGACAGAAGGATGCTGAGAGGGAGCGGGTTATTTCTATGGCGGGGCGATTAGCTGAGGATCTCAAGAGGTATGCAACCCATATACGACTTGCGCATGTCGGGGAAATTTTCTTGTTATGGTTCACTGAGTAATCGTTACGTATGCAGCATATGCTAACCGGTCTTCCAGAACACGACGTGAATTTCGAACTGCTCAGTTACAAGCGAAGCGAAACGCCGAACTCGCCAAGCGGAAGGAGAGAGAGTTGCTATTGTCAAGATCACACTCTTCGGAAAAGAAGCAGCCGACAGAGAAATTCACTCAGGATGATCTTGTTCTAAACGCTTCGAACGACGTGACATCTGCGCTACGCAGAACACATCAACTCATGCAGGCGGAGCTCTCCCGCAGCCAGTTTGCCCAATCGACTCTTGGTGAGTACATCTGCCCCCTTCCAACTCCTCTATAGACCCTCATATTTATCAATCAGAACAATCTACCGCCGCAATCTCATCTCTGTCCGAGTCCTATAGCAGCCTTGACACACTTCTCTCTTCATCCCGCAGTCTCGCCAACTCTCTCCTCCGCTCCCAAAAGTCCGACACGTGGTATCTTGAGACTGCTTTCTATGTTCTCCTTGGGACAATTGGCTGGCTTCTCTTCCGACGTGTCTTCTACGGGCCCATTTGGTGGCTTGTGTGGCTACCTTTGCAACTCATCGCTCGGGTTGCGTTTGTAACTCTAGGTGCAGCAGGGCTGTCTAATACAGCTTTGCAGTCTGCTTCTCAGTCAATTCCGGCTGGTGTCTCTACGGCTATTCATCAAATGGCCACGGCGGCTACAACAGCAACCGTGACAGCAAGTGTCACTGCCTGGGAGCAAGAGCCGTCAGTACCAATCGACAGCGATCGCGTAATCGACAAAATCGGTGACATGGTTGAGGACGAGAAACAAAAGAGCGTAGACATTGACAATGTTACACCGGAGGAGAGGGCCAGACAAGCAGAGCTTCCCCGGAATGCCAAAAAGAGGATGTTTGAAGCCGGAATGGAGGATCCGGTACGAGACGAGCTGTAGATACTGTTTCAACCCTTAATGTCATACCATGTAATAATGACCTTCGCAATTCTGATGTTTGTAGCACACACGACCAGCATTGACGGTAGTGACGGGATTGACGTACACCTAGGTAGTGAGCTACTCTCTCATTGGTCAGCTTGTTTTAAGTGCTGCGCGTGTCACGTGGAGACGCGTCTTGCTTGCGGAGGGCGCCAGAGAGAGATCTTCAACACACATCGCGGACCGGTTCTCGAGATAACCCGGACTTTACTGATTTGGGGCAATTCAAGGACGATGGCTGCTTCTTTTTTCAATAATAAGGCTCGTGCCGCTGCCGCTGCCGCATCCAGCAGCTCTAAGCTTAAGGCTGGCGACAACAAGGAAGATTCTACTCGGCTCCAACCCTGGGTTGAGAAATAGTTAGTCAACACTTTATTTCGAGTTTCCCCGAAGCTTTGACTAATCTATAACAGTCGCCCCAAGACCCTGGATGATGTCGCTGCGCAAGACCACACGACCAAAGTCTTGCGACGCACTCTGCAAGCTTCGAATGTAAACCACCCAGCTCTGGACAATTGAAACAATGAACTAACACCAACCAGCTTCCCCACATGCTCTTCTACGGACCCCCCGGCACAGGAAAAACATCCACAATCCTCGCTCTCGCCAAATCCCTCTTCGGGCCAGCCCTTTACCGCTCCCGAATTTTAGAGCTGAACGCCTCCGACGAGCGCGGTATCGGCATCGTCCGCGACAAAGTGAAGAATTTCGCCCGAGCCCAGCTCTCCCAGCCAACAGGCCTAGATGCTGCCTATCGCGCACAGTACCCATGCCCACCGTTCAAGATCATCATCCTCGACGAGGCCGACAGCATGACGCAAGACGCACAGTCCGCTCTGCGCCGCACGATGGAGACATATAGTCGGATCACGCGGTTTTGTCTCGTTTGCAACTATGTCACACGCATCATCGAGCCGCTTGCTAGTAGATGCAGCAAGTTCCGATTTAAGATGCTGGATAATAACGCTGCTGGTGACCGGATCTCAAATATCGCGGCGCAGGAGGGCTTGCGGCTGGAGGATGGAGTTGTCGATACGCTTATCCGATGTGGGGAGGGTGATTTACGTCGAGCTATCACGTATCTGCAGAGTGCGGCACGCTTGGTCGGTGCCACGAAGCCACCGACTGGGAAGGATGCTGACGATGATGCCGTGATGACGGATGCTGGTAGCAACTCTAGTGTGATAACGGTTCGCACCATTGAAGAAATTGCTGGTGTGCTGCCAGAGGAAATTTTGGATTCTCTTGTGGAGGCTATGCAGCCCAAGAGTGGCGGGTCGGTCTACGAGGCCATCTCGGGGGTGATTACCGATCTTGTGGCTGATGGCTGGAGTGCTACGCAGCTTGTTGGACAGGTTGGCTCTTTTCCTCGCATTCTCAATATCTCTAACTGACTTCCTCTAGTTATATCGACGTGTAGTGTTCAACGAAGCAATCCCCGATATCCAGAAAAACAAGATTGTCATGCTCTTCTCAGAGATGGACAAGCGGCTAGTTGACGGGTCCGATGAGCATCTCTCCATGTTGGACCTATCATTGCGCATTGCTGGAGTCCTTCGTGGGAATTGAGATTCTTTTTGTCAAATCTCGGTGACCATCGTAGTCAGCAGAGAAACTCCCCAGAAACTTGATTGAAAAGAGAGATGGCGTCCGGGACGAGGATGGCCTATGTCAGAGGCGTTCTACTCGGTTGTTTTTAGCACTCAGATCTTGTTCGAATAGAATGATCATGATACCCTTCCACATTATTTTATGCGAGCTACTGACGCTAATAAATCAAACTGCAGACTTGTAAAATGGTGTGCAGTAACTTTTCTCAATTGCAGACAGCGGCTATGGCCTTGTGTCTATCTATAAATCTGGCCTATCTTTCATTGTAGTAGCCATAAGCAAAAAAAAAAAAACCAATACATCATCATCATCACCGGCAACGTTAACTCTCTGTTCTGTTTGAACCCAACTGGGAGATTTGAAAGTTTGCCTCGTTTTCTTTCTCACAGTCTACCAACTTTCATCTCCCGGTCAAAGCCTAGAATTGCCGAGGACATACAACCTATTCTGCTGATTCTTTTATCAGGACTCATCTTGTGGCTCACCTTGATATGGACTCTACATATCCTGCCAGACAGTGTGGAGCTAGCCGTGACTCCCATCGTGCTGGTCGAACTAACCAAGGAGCCGGTCATGGCGATAGACAACAGCATCACAATCAAACCCAACACCACCAAGTAAGCAGAATTTTACTATGAATTACATGCTCCTTACTGCTGTCAGGTGTCATCTGCACTGCACTACCACCAGAATTAGCATGGAGAGTGTGTTTGGTGATATTTCCGCTGCATCTGATAGCTTCTGTCTTCTCATCTTGTTCTTTAACGTGCCACTCTCATATTGGATAGTGATGCCAGTCTAAGAAAGACCCCTTTTGGACCAATCACTGACAAAGAATATGAGATCATATAGAGCAGCACCACCTTAGCTTGTTACCTCTGCCACGACCCCAGACACCTTCAGCGAAGTTGTCCACTACTCGCCCTTTGGAGATCTGCCATCGAGACACCTTGCCGCGTAAAAGATACCCCCAGTTGAGATTCTTTGATTCATTACTGACGTGAGATTCTTTAAGGACCGCAACATCGACCCTACTAGCCTTCTTGAACAAATCGACCTCGTGAGTGTGGATTCTGGGAACTTCTCTTGTCCCACAATTGACCTTTCGAGTAGGAGATCCTCGTTGCTGCTCTAGCTAGCGCTCTTCCCGATGGGGATGGTGATATCCCTATGCAGTAAGTGATGTAATAAGGAGTGCTTTTTCTGATCAACCAAGGCTTGAATCGTAGGATGCGAGAAGCAAGCAGGCAATCAAGCCTCTAGAGGCGCATGAATAGTGAAATCAACTTTCTCGAGTCGTAGAATGAACCTGGGCCCAATTGAATGCCTCGGGTTCTGGGAAAGCTTTCTATTTGTTTACAAGCTAGTATACCAGAGATGGCCCATTTCCGTCACTCGTAGGGCTTTCTTGGGGTTTGACGCTGGGGGTCAAGAGTTCATAGCCCTTGCGTAATGACATCGGTACATATCTACCGGTGTTTGATAGATCCATGGACCCTAGCTGACATTGCGTGAAGAGTACCAATGCCCATAGGAAAGGCATCTTCTCAGGGAACAGCCGAATGCGTCAAAAGGTCGTCCACCGCGGGCCTGTGAAGTGTGCCATGAAAAGCAGAAGAAATACCCGCAGGTACGCTATGCGCACTTGCTGGTTATCATGAGATTCGCTGCAACTTGTTGACAAATTTTTGGTAGAGCTGTACATGATCATAAATTACTTTTGACTTTTAGATATAGGTTTCAAATTTGTGCACAGCTGAACTTGAATTATGTGGTATTGATCGACCTATCAGGTTCCCATAACCACTAAGAGCGACACGCGATTCACATTTTTCAGGATATCATTAAAGGATAAAGTCTACCGAACAATAGCATATCTCTGTAGTCAGTTTCCAAGTACAGAAGAGCAACGATGCACTGTAGATAAGTAATACCTAAAGACCAGATTCTTCAAAAGAGTTTTAGAGACGATCAATGGCAAAGATCGAGGGTCACCATAGACACCGAATACATTTCAACCTACCCCAGTAATCCGCCAGCAACAAGGCAAAGCAATGCCAACAAGGCGACAAGCAATCCCGGCCAGGCCGAGCCAAATGGGCCTGTAATGCTTGCTACAAACGAAAGGTGCATTGCGATACGCTAACTAAAGAGACTGCATGCACCAATTGCAAGCTTAAGGTGAAAGAATGCATTGCCCCCCCCAAAGAAGAAAAGCAGCAGCTCCGAGTCCAGAGACAGAGACAAACGCCAAAGGGGCTGGTTTTTCTCCCCAAGTCCGGTCAATTTCCTCACTCGGGGCACGAGGTTGCGTGGTAGTTAATGCGTAACCAAAGGCCTGCTCCCGATGTTTCAGGCAGTTCAGGGCTCCGTGATTGGGGAATTAAAGGCGGGATGATATTAAGAAAGTGTTATGTTGATAGTCTCACGTAGAGAATAGCACCGTTTTTTTCTATAACCTATATCCTCCCCTCTCCGGCAAGGTGGTGGAGTGTATAATTCAACCAATTCCGCACCTGGCCCTTCTCGTCCATCACCGACGCCACACTGAAATCCCATGTGCGATATTGCACTGGTGGGATATGACCTGGTTCGGCCAGCAGGGCATATACTTCAGAGACTTTTTCGGGCAGGCTGTCGGGGTTCTCTTCTAGCCCAATGAGAATAGCCACGATATGAGCGGCTGGAGTGCACAGAAACAGCCCTTGTGCTGGAGGTGCCTCCGTCATATACCGTAATGCCTGGCGGCGTAGCCTAGGGAAGGGACATTTAAGCCCGGTGATGAAAAGCGGGAGGAATACGCCCATTTCAAACATAAACTGCGGCTGTTTCCCTTCCGAGCTGCGCGTCCATGCAATAGCGATGGGGGCCCAGTCGATGATCTGGGCGAATTCAAATTCGTAGGCGTCATATACACCTTGATCGAAACTCAGCATGGCTTCTGCTTCGATGAAGACACTCGTATATGTCATCAGGAGAAGCGCAGTTGCACCGTCCACGTTCGAGACATGCATTGGTTTCAAGGATGTAAAGAGGTGATACTATTGAAGGAGTCGGGCTTTCAGGTGCTGTTTTCTGGCCACTAGCCCTAATACCTCGTGCGGCTGACCCTCTGCTGTTCGGCGCATATAAGCTTTGGAGTCAACGTCGAGGGCCTTCATTTCGGCTACAATGCTATACAGAACGTTTCTTGCCCCTTCGGTCGAAGTCAAGCGCTCATCTGGAACAGCCAAATGATAATTCCAGCTTTCGTCTGACATTCCAGTGGTGATGAAGACCCACGTTCCCAAACGGCGGAAAATGGGCTCTAGGGCGGCGATGGTCGATGGTGCTGTTGACGCAGCACCAAAAATCAGTTGGGCACCGTGTTTGTACAGGACCTGAGCACCTTTGCGGCTCCCCTGTAAGAGCTCGATGGCAATGAAGAGAATGCAGCTGATCAATGACACCATCAAGTCTGCCGTGCCCTGATTAATACGTTGCTGTAGGAGGGTCAGCGAGCGGGAGTACCAGACCAGCGCTTCATGATGGTGTTGATTTCGCACCGCAGCTGAATCATTTAGAAGTAACCAAGGCGACGTCTCGTGAATGGGAGGTCGTTCGTAGAGCGCGCTGAGCGAGATGATCGCATCCCAAACAAGTGGCTCTACCCGGCAGATTTGGAGGACCGAGCCTCTCCAGAAGGCCTGGTCCAGGACTCCTGCAAGTGATGGACCGGCTTGATGGAAATAATATTCAAAAGCACGACGCTCTCGCGATCTCTGACATGAGAAGGTCGTGAGGTTCAGTTGGGGCCGTCCAAAAGCCTTTAGAGGACGGGTGCTATAATCACACGGCCGGCTTGTACTGGTACATCTCCAGCAATTTGGTTTCTCCTCGCCACATTTTACACGTCGAATTCTGCGGATCAAACTGTCAAATACTGCAACTGGTCAAGTCCCTGAGGGGCCAACTGACTTGCATGTGTCGCACCCGGTCTTGGACTTGGTGCCTCCGAGACGACCAAGGCGCTTGAAGGATGAGCTCATGACCATATGCCGGAGTAGGTCGGGGTAGTTTCTTGGAAAACTACGCTGGTCGTGTCATCCGAAATGACAGCCTCGTGTGTAGGAAGGGGAGCACACGTAGGTGTATTCCAAGTTTCTTGCAAGTTACAAGAAAATTACATCACCCAGTGATCTCCCGTCCTCGCTTGTCACCACTTCCAGATGCCCTCAGGTATGTTCCGGTCAGGGGAACGAACCCTAGACACAGTTTGATGGGTTTCATGTCGATCTTCCCCTGCCCTCGATTCACGCCTACTGTCCATCTCTTCCGAAACTACCAGAAAAGGTGCCAAGACGATAGACGTGGGATGTAGATGATAAAACCACAGTATGCGTGTTTCTCTAAACCTAACATCTTAAGGCATCTAATAGAGATCTTCCAGTCCGCTCTACTCCGAGCCCAGCAGATCAGAAAGCTGATCCAAGTAAGCATGAGGTCGGACATCGCCAGAAACGAAGTCCTCCTTGGAAGAGACACCAGTCAAAACACCCAGCGTACCACCAAGCTTCCCCTCAAGTCCAAAGCGAATATCCGTATTCGCACGATCCCCAACCATGCAGGCCCGGCTACGATCAAACTGGAACTTGCCCTCGATGGAATCCATCATGGCCTGACCGGGTTTGCCGAGTGCGATTGGCTCCTGATTCAGCATCATTATCAATGGCGCGCTCATGGAGCCAGCGCCAGGGAATAGAGACCCGGAGCTCGGCAGGGTGGAGTCAATGTTGGTGGCGAGGAAGACCGCGCCGCGCTTGATGTAGTGGTACGCCAACGCAATTTTAAGGTAGTTCATGTGGAAGTCGAGACCGACGAGGACGACACCAACTTCGGGGTGTAGAATCGATTCATCGCCCGCTGCAATCTTCTTGTAGTCCTCTGGTGTGACATCGCGGCGGTACGCGGGGTCTGTGCCGCCAATGAATGGGACGTTCTCGGAGCGGAGTTCTTGTTCGATGCCTGTCTCGCCGATCACAAAGACTTTGCGCTTGTTTTCAGGGAGCTGGAGGATGCGGGAAATGTAGATAGAGGAGCTGTATGAGGAGGAAAAGATCTCTTCCTACTCGGTGGTGAGTCCCGAGGTCCTGGGTGATCTGAGATGGTAATCGGTAGTGTCACTGACCACGGTACTGGGAATCCCCAAGCCTTCGAGTTTCTTGCGGTAGTCTGCGCGCGACTTGGTGCTGTTATTCGTCACGAAGACCACTTGCTTTCCTGCGGGGGTTATCAGCCTCCGCTTTTGACCACCTGAAATGGTTTACTGCGTACCGTTCTTTCGGAGAAGCTCCAGTGTCTCCACGGTTCCGGGGAAGAGATGGTCACCGGACCATAAAACGCCTAAATCATTGTCTCAGCGGTTGTTGCGACGCGGCCAAGTCGTTGCGGGGAACCTCCGCGGACGGCCTGCCGAAGCGAGCACGGGGGACAAACCATCACAGTCGAAGAGGAACACCTGTACATATTCCAGTCAGTAAATAGGAAAGGATGGATAGATAAATGCGATCCAAAACGTGTGCTAACATCAAATTTGGCCAGGAACTCCTGGAGGCCGGCCTTATCGCCGGTCAAGTAGCGGGGCGCAACTTGCGAGGATTCTTGCGTCATGGTGCCGGTAGAACCAGAAATGTACAGAGAGAGCAAAGTCAGAACAAAAATCCGAACTGCAACGAAGGAAGAAAAGTCCTTGAAGTAGATTGGAGTAATGACCGTACCACCCGAAGCGAATCTCCGGTGAATCGCGGGGCTCTTTTTTTTTTATCTTTCTTGGCATTCGATCGTCAACTATCCAACATAGTCTCTCTTTGTTTTCTACACAATGTGATCGACCTGAACTTTCTCCTCTGTTGCCCGTCATCTCTATCTCACCCTGTTTCCGGAGTTGATGCTGCCTGATTTCCGCCAAACTCAGACCTGGGGCGCGCAGTCTCTCCAATTGTAGAGCTGTCTCGGCTTCTGGTCTCGCTCTTCCTGAGACATCTCAGATCCCAGACGGCGAAAAATAGATTGAAAGCCTATGCTGCTCCCAGGAAGATTTCAATATTCTTGCCAAACTTGGACCGTGCTTTTGGCGTTAGGCCCGTGTGGTGACGAACATCGCTCGCCGACGATGGATTGAATCGTGGCCGAGGAGGAAGACCCCGGGTTTCAATCCGGTAGGTCAGTTTGATGATGAGAGCGAAATGCGATTTGGGGAAAGCTTGAGGGGTTTGATTTTATATTGGGCCTCAAGACACCAATGAAAAATGGTCCCAAATCCCCAGCCTGCACGACAGGTTTCGTGGGATGTCTGCTAGGATATTGACACCTCCCAGCACCCAAGATGTACGTGGGGTCATCTGACCCCACGACATTGCCGACTATAATTTGAGTGGCGTTCATTCCAGAGATATGAACTGTGTAATTGAGCCATTGAAAAAGGACGATGGCAAATGGATTGCTACGATTGCTCTGCAGGGGGCTTTGGTCAACGGTCTGCTTGTTGACCCCGGTTCCTGTACCCAGAGGAGTGACCTGAGATCGACTCCAACTCGACACCGACGTTGCAAAGTAGCCGAGTATCTGGTTCGAAGGCCACTTGGAAGACCTTACGACCAAACCACGTTGGAAAATCCGGGGTAAACTCAGATGTGGGGTTGGCTTGGCTGCCAAGCGTTTGGAGTTGCAGCAATCTATCAATTTCGAGGGCTCATCAGTTCGCATGATGTTCTGGCACAGAAGGAAAGAGGGCTTTTGTAAGACTCTTACTCCTTGTACCTGACTATGTGCGTAAAGGATTTATCTCCATCGAGCTTCAGGGGACCTTTGCGTCAATCCCTTTCCTTGTGCTATTACAGAATGAAGTTCTTTTACCCAGTCTGTCCGATCACAGATGTGTGTCTGTGTTCTACGGGGTCTCTCTTATCTGAATCTCATAATCACCTTGGAAGCCCTCTACGGCAGGATCATGTAATTCTCTAACAGGCCTGCACACACGATCTTTCAATTCGCAAATGGCTCATCACATTCCGCGATACCAGTCAGACTGTATCGCCCAGTATAAACTCACCGAATTCGTTCTTGCAAAAGACGCTTTCCGTCAACTAACGTAGCGAGAAGAGAAGGCCTACCATTGGTTTGAGGCGCTAAGAAAATAAGCCCAGGGTTACGCTTGTGCCTCCTTCCTGTGTGGGGGGGTTGATCTCATGCAATTACATTTAGCATCATTCAAGAGCACCAATCAAAACCCACAACCCAGAACATCCCCGTAAAAAATAAAAAGTGCACATAATCCAAGACGTCTTTTCCATATCCAGTCCGTGATCGCGGCTAGTTCTGCAGATGCATCTCCACCCTACATGCATCTAGGCAGAGTGATACGCAACTGGATTAGCGTAGAATCCTTCGCAGCAGAGTTCACCCCCACGCATTTCCACCTATGGATGACGCACCATTCATCCAAGGTTCAGGACTCCATCCAAGCCAAGAGAACCATGCAGCAAGCGGAGCCGAGATCCCGATCTAGATCTTCGTAGAATTATGTCCCATCTCCGCGGCGAGAACACCCCCAATGATGCCAAACACACCGCAGTAGCGCACCTACCTATCCTTCTTCCAGCTCATCTCGACGGACACCGCTAGTTCCGGGGAGACCTGCTGGTTGACACGATCTTGGGGTTACACGCACGCGGAAAATGGTTTCTTGATTTGCTGTTACGCTAGCATCGACAGAGTTCATGGCTCTGTTGACTTCTCATATGGAATTCGGTCTGGTTCTGTTCTACATTCTTTGGTAGGTGGGTCTGGAAGATCAGGACCCTTGCCCTTCCACCACGTACCAATGGGAACAGAGAGATCCCATAACGAAGATGTGGGCTACGACTAGACGAGGCCAGAGTGGACTTGACAACTGGCTGTGAAGGCGGGTGTATATCCAAGACGACCAGAATGATGACCTGATTGTGGCGATCCACGTTGGCCCTGTTGGATCGCAGCTGGGTCTGTGCGGTAACTACGTGCGTGCATGCATGGAAGAAACTAAGCATGCTAAATGTGCTCGAAGTGGTCTGAGATAGGTGTGCCGAGAAGTTTAATGTGAGTGTGATGCAGATTGAGGGGATCCCCAAACCGAAGCAAGAAACCGGACGGTTGATTTGACTATGTATTGAGGGGTCATTCGTATCAAAGAAGCTGACTCTGGTGTGTAGTCAAGAGTCAGCGGCGCAAACCATCTAAAAAGCCAAAAAAAAAAAAAAATCTTAGAAAAACGCCTGCAAAATCTAGACCATGGAGAAAGCGCCAAATCAAAAAGGCCAGCAACAAAGGACAATGAAAGAAAAAAGCGTAAAATGTTGTAAGGCGAGATTGGTCGGACAGGAAGGTCCGGGTAGAAGGGAACTTGGGTAGGGAGAGGGACATAGAAGATCAAGAGGCATGTGAAGGAAATTATGCAGTCGAAGCCAAAACAAGAAGTGGTCAAGCGAAGAGGGTATAGGTGTAGAGATGAGAAGATGTCATGAGTTATCGTGAGCGGAGAAGTAAGTACCGAAACACAAAAACAAAGCAAAACGTCAGCAGAAGGCCAACCCTCAGATCCAGGGATCTGCCTGCACATAGCTCTGTGGGTTGACAGGCCCGACTAACTTGATCTGAGCCTTCAACTGCTCCCTTCGGCGGTCATCCTTCGACTCGGCAATCTTTTTCTTCGCCCCCAGGAACGCCCCTCGGGTATTGTACTGGGACTGCTCCCGCAGCGGAGACAAAGCAGGGGTGGCATTTGCATAAGATAAGTTGGGAGCGGAAGATGACTGCTCGTCAGCCGCATCAGGCGAAGACGCAGATCTCGGGAATTGGGCATTCGGCTTCTGGGACTTGGGCGGTTCCCAGATCACGGGGCCATGTTTCTGATACGCGGATAGCGGAACGGCAAGTTGTTTCGGCCGGGATGTAATCGGGGTCGAGATTGAGGTAGGCGATGTTGGTGCGATCGGTGTTTGAAGATGGAACCTGTGGTGGGTATAGTCATCCTCGCTGCTCGAGGATGTCGCGACAGACGTAGCTCGCGCAGCAACACCTGTATCCAAGGCCAACGAGGAGAGGTGTAGTGTCGGTGCGGTGTGACGGAGTCTCCCTCCATAGTTGAGATGGTGATCCGTGGGTGCTGTCGCTGGGCGGGGAATTTCCTTCTTATTCTCAGCTGTCGAGTCGCGCGAGAGAGTGCGGTTAACGTAGGTCTTGATCGACTCGCGAATTCCACCGAGACCGCCGCGGTCGAGCGAATGCCAGCGGCATTTGCCCTTCGCAAAATCCAGCGGGATTCCCAATTTTCGGGATTTACTGCTCGGGGCAACCATATTGGGGCTGATGCGACCACTGGCGTGTAGAGAGGAAGGTGCCAATTCGGGAAAATAATCCCACTTCTTTTCGCGGAAGTAGTGATTTATGCCTGTGCGACTTTGGGCCCAATGCGATGGCCGCCCGTACGGAGCATCGGAAGATGAAGACGAATCTGATACGGCGGGCTCGACAATTGATGGCGGGATATTGATGTCGATCGAGTCCGTCCGTTTATGGGGTTGCGAGGAGAGTGTCAAAAGCTGCTCGGATGGAGTTGAGGGATCAACCAAGTCATCAAAGTCCGAGCCAGAACTGACGAAGATGGGATAGCTATCTACTGAGTGACGGCGTTCACTTCCGCTATCGAGTGTACTTTCCGTGTCGCTAGAATCACTCCACATTGCCGAACATTCTGGTTCTTCGGGCAGGGGTTTTGCCGGGAGCGGTTTGTTGAGAAAGAGATCGGAGCGAATCGAGATTTGGGGTGAAAGTGGTGGGATCACTCGCTCGAGCCCTTCCAGTGAACGAGATGGTCGAACCGGGGGTGCCATTCGGCTGTGCGATGAAAGGATCGGCATTATCGACGGATTCGAGATTGTCGAACAATTGGAAAAGAAACCCGCTACACTAAGACAGACAAAGCGACGTGAAGAGAGAGAATGGATGAATGCCACGGGGATAGAGAGTACATATAGATCTGAATCGATAATATTAGATGCCAACTCATTAAATCGAAAAAAAAAGAAATTTAATGATTTTCAATGTTTCTCAAACGGACGCAAGGACATCACCCTTGCTCCGCTTCCCAGGTATACAAGGTATACAACATACAATGAATGATGATTGAGCTCTGAGCCGGACAGATTCTTTCTTGTCCAGTCTTGGAGTGCCTTCTTACCTCCAATCCAGCGCTTCTCCAGACTAGGTTGGAATGGTTTCCTACGTCTGCGAGCCTATACCCATCTACGATTTGATCTTCCCCATGTTCACTAAATAAAGAACGGCAGATCCACCTCTGTTTTGGCCCCCTATTTCCTATTTTGGAAAAGTCAAGATATACATTCTCCGATCCCGTGGATCAATCCAATTTGGATAAAAAGAAAACTAAAAAGAAAACTAAAAAGAAAACTAAAAAAAAACTAAAAAGAAAACTAAAAAAAAAGGTACTTACTCCATTGTGACTTGTGCATCCAAGATCCACCATGCCTATTGACACTCAAGTCCATGAATGGCTAAAAACGGCCTCACTGGCAAGGAACAAGTGACACCTCAAGATCGACGTTCAGCCCCAGGATCATGTGGAGAGCGACGCAGGGACGTAGAGCCCACCTCTCGGGCAAGATTTGCCGGGAACTCGCAGAGAGGACACTAAAGGAAGCTTTAGGTGAATATCGGGGAGGCCGATCTCCTCACATACCGTTTGAGTTGTGTGTTGTCTACGCCTTGAAAGGCAAGGTCCACTTCTTTTTCTGTAATTTTGGGGGGGAAGGGGGGTTTCCCGATTCATCTGCAGTGAACTGGACTCGGCTTTCGGCTTCTTTTTTGTTCGATGGTTTTTAATTTTTTTTAATTCTTTTTTTTTTCTGGAAATCTGTCAACTTCCCAGGGCAAAGCAGCATCGCCTGCATCTACACCCGAACAAAATTAGCCTAGTCCCGAACAACCAACCCATGTCATGCAGCCACCTGAAAACAGGGCTGATCCACGTATCTTCCTCTAAGACCGACACGAACTTGGTGTCTTAGCCTGAATTGTAACAACGACCTGAAGGTCGCCCTTGACATCAAAGAGCCAGTATCAACATAGCCGTCGATTTGGTGGGACCGAGTTGGACTCTGTTGGCGGGGGGATGGAGTTTCAGAGTCTACCGAAGGTTTCCTCTGGATACGTCCAAAGTGTCAGGGTATTCTATCCCGGGGGTTGGGTTTCAATATCGGGATGGACATCCACGGGGAAAAGGAATAGAACGATGAGGGTCTCGGGTTGAGTAACACCTCGAGTGTGAAGAGATCCCCATCTTCGACATCCGGAAAGCAAAGAATGTTCCATCTCTCTCCAAATCGACAGGTTTCAAGTGCAACGCAAGATGTAAGACTGGAAGTCGAAACCCAAATGACCAGTTATTCAGAGGGCTACACATCCAGAGATGATCGTCGTCGGAAAAAAAAAAAGAAAAAGAAACACCTCAATTAAAGACAGCCCGTGGCGAAAGGGGGGGGGGAAGACAGGGGGGAAAAGAGCAGGGATATTCCGCATGGCAAAATGGACACAGCAGATTCATATCACACCGGACACGCGGTCCTTTCGGGTAGCTGCAGAGCACAAGGTGCAGATTCCTGAGAGCTGGGATTTGGTGGCGCCACCATTTCAGAAGTTTCGGGTTCGGGCTTGAGAGGGCTGCCGGGGTTGGAGTTGGAGGATTAATTGGGTTGATTTGATTTGGGGTTCGGAGGCAGCTTGGACTGAAACAAAGTGTCCGGAAGGGGGGCTATGGTTTCTGGATTTCAAGCGAGTTCGTTATACCGAATTGACTAATCTGCTCAGTCCTCCGGAGGCTAGTGGGCTAAAAACAAAATTGGGGGTGGGCCTGTGTAGTAGTAGCCCGAGGTAACTTGAGAATGTCGTCGGTGACTGATGATCCTACAGCCCATCGCTCAAAGTGCTACCGGTCCTGAACGAATGAGAGGAATGCACAAGAGTTTGTTGCGTTTTGTTCACTTTGCAGTTATCCAGGATTCGAGACATGAAACAGCCACAGGGAATCAACAGAGTATAGTGTCAAACAGCCAGATCACATGGTAAAACAAGGTAGAGAGGTGGGGGTCAAAACGGTCTATCAACAGAGCGAGAATAAATAAGACAGGAGGAGAATTGAAGGGAGAGAGAACCAAGTGAGAGCCGACTAAACAACGCAACCATCCATGTGTCAAATACCCCCCCCCCCCCCCCCCCCCCCCCAAAACCGAAATCAGAAATCGCCAGCATGTTCATATCATCTACGAGCTTTCGCCCTTTTTCGCGTCCTTGGACTCGGTGGCCTTCTCAGCGCGCTGACCTTCCACCAAGGCCTCATTAGCCTCAGCAGACTGCCTAGCGCCGTCAGAGAGAGCCTCAACCTTAGCCTCCTCCTTCTCGTCAATGTCCTCGATATCCTTAGGCGCGGAAACACCCGTGCTCTCGTTCTCGCTGTTCTGCTCATTTTCCTCCTCAATCAGCTCCTCCTGCTCCTTGATAACCTCAAGACGCTGCTTGTTGGTGGCAGCACCCTCGGCATTGTGGACCTCGAGCTCAATTTCGTGGAACAACTCCTCGGGAATACTAGAAAGCACAGACTTGAGCGCATCGATTTGCGATGCAAACTCGGACTCCTTGCCACCCTGCGTGTACAGATAGGCGTTGCTCAAAACCAGCAGAGTTGAGGGAACGCCCTGCTTGAGACGCAGCTCGAGCCACATGCCGAGATCCTCACGCAGGCGCGCGGGGGAGACACCGTGTGTGCGAATTCCGCGCGAGGCGCTAGCCATCTGCAGCTCTGGGACGGAAAGCGAATCAACGCCCTCGTAGAAGATTGCGCGGTCATCACGCTTGATCTGGCGCATGCGGTGTCGGATGGTATACCGGAGCATAGCGTCAGTACCAAAGGAGTTCAGATTCATGTAGCGGCAAATGCCAACCAGCTGGGGTCGAGACAGGTTGTCAAGGGTGAGGTCATCCTTGAAGACCTTGCAAACCTTGATGACATCCTCTGTGGAGGGTGATTCGCCAGTAGTGCGAATCTTGCGGAAGAAATCGGTGAATTCGTCGTTTTTAACGGTGGCGGCGGTCAAGGGCAAACCGGTTTCCCGTATGGTGTTGCGCAAGAATCCAGAAACTTCTTTCCGAGTCGATCTGAGGTTCAAGGCCTTGGCATCACGGGCCTTCTGTCCTTCGTAGGTGCTAGGGAGCATGTTGGGGAAGAGCTTCAGGGCGACGGGGAGCAGGAGTTCGGCAAAGGGAACGATGAGGAACACCGAAAAAGGAACCAGTCGTCCTAGATCCTTTGTGGTACGTTGGAGCTACATTCAAACCCATGTGAGCCAAACAGTCCAAGTTGTCAAGATATTCCTGGTGGCACAGCATACCTGGCGGTGCTCTCGGCGACTGAGCTCATAACCACCGGCCATCTTCAACGCCAGTCTCGAACTAATCTTGACCTCAGTAGAAAGCAGCTTTGTTCCATCCCAGTAGTGCTGCAACTCTTTCTTAATCTTTTGTCCAAGTGTCAACTTTTTCACGGGCTTCTTCTCGGTCAACTTCTGATCACCCGGGCTCGTCGTTGCAACGACTCCAGCGGACGCTGACTTGCTCACAGCTGACTGTGTCTCAACGGGTGGGTTCTGCGCAACTGTAGATTGTGACTGCGCGGTCTGATCTTGGGAGAGCGGCTTCTTGGCTTGCTCGGCATTGAACCCGGGGGGAGGGTAGTTCTGGGAAGAGTTGTTCGATGTGGATTGTTCGGTCGCATATCCACGCTGTGGCATCAGAATGGCAATCGCGGACACTTGGGATGGCAGGTCACGACCGTTTCGTAGAAGGCTACGGGCTGCAATCGAGGCTGGGCTCAGTGCACTGGAACGACTACGGCCTGCTCAATGGGAAAATATCAGCAAATCTCCTTGCCATCCAGTTCCTTGAGGTTCTTCGACACTTACTGATCAGTGCAGACCGGAAAGCAGGTGTTCCGCGGACTAATCCGGTCGCTCTCATCGTAGCGGACATTTGCGTGAAACGTTGAGCGAAAAAGTAAGTGCTCGAAACAACGAGGAAGGGGTCGGAGGAAAAGCGATGAAATAGTTGGTCAGTCCTAATGTCCACAGAATGAAACCAAAAAAAAAAATACACGGCAACAAAGTGATGGTTAAGAAAGTTTGGAATGTCCTGGAACCGGATCCGATGAGATGTTGTGATGTACTGCCGCAGTCATCTTACACGTGATAGCCGATACCGCCTCGGGATTTTTTCGGGGTTAAACAAGTGTCCGGATTTTAGAACAGGCCGAAGGTACAAATGAATTTGATTGCAAATATAAAATTCAAACACACTCATATCAACTGAATAGCCAACTTTGTAAAACTCCATAAAGAAAAAAAAAAAACTCGCTCAGTAATTTCAAGGTTCTTGAATCTTGACAAGAAAAAAACCAACAAAATGAGGGTAGGCAAAGACTGGCAGGACCGATGGCTATGTAATGTCATAGCCCCTAGCATTCAAATTCGCTCTCTCACAAGAGAGTCCTTGTGCGAATTTTCCTGCAGGATATCGTTGGAAGAGACCTCCGCAGTATCCAACAAGGGGATTCGATCGATGCTGGATTGCTTCTCCCCGCTGTGTGCGTCGATGGCTTCACTGAGAGGACTGGGCTCAGCGACAAGCAACGGACTAGTTGTTCCTTCGGGAGAGCTCTGCCAACGTGCAACATCTGTCTTTAGCTGCTCCAGTTCCTTTTGGAAGCGCTTTCCAAAAACGTCAATGTAATAGGTTGCTCCGTTATGGATGCTCCAGACAAACAGCGCAGACATGAACATACCGCTGGCCCATTTGGACGAAAACCAGATGGGGCAGGGAATCATTGTGGACAAAGCAAACCCATACTGGATGAACATGAAGCATGGCTCTTGCAGGGCCTCGGGTAGACTCAGCACAAATCGCCCAATCCACGTCTTGGAGTATGACTTGCGCAGCCACGTAAAGCTGGTCGGGCGACCCGCTGCAATTTTATCGCGGCGGCGCACGGTGATCAGGAAGTGATACATAAGCTGCCACACTACATAGGGGGCCGTGGACCAGAGTATCATAGCACCAAGACCATAATGCTCTGGGTCTCCGGGCTGACTGAACTTGATGTCGTAAACAGCAGGGAAGCGTTCCTTGAGTTTCTCAACCGGAGTCAGGTGTACGATGCAGTGGAAAGTTACGGGTGGCATGATGTGGATAAAGAGACTGCGGAGACAAGATGAGCGAGCGAACTTTGTTCCTTTCGATAATCGACGTACCTGACAACCTTGTCCATACTGTGGAAGACCATAGAGTTGCGCCACATGGCGATTGCAGCTGCGTTGTTTCCGAAGGTCAAGCAGAAGGTGCTGATTAGGAGCCGCTTCGAGTTAGGGAAGACCCAAATACTCAACATGCAGAGCATATTGACAAAGTAGCAGAGATCGGCCAGGAAGTAGTGGTAGCCCTTGGCATGATAAGTGAAGTAGCGGATGGGCATGAAAAATGCCAGCTGGGCGCTAAACCAGATATAAAAGTACTCCGGGCAAGCACCAATCAGGTAGCCGCTGATGAAGATATTGAGCACACCGGCAATAAAAGATATCTTCTCCCGGATGGTGACAGTCGCCGTCATATTCCACTGTTTGCCCAGGCGTTCTACACCCTGCTTCATCCGAGAACGATACTTTTCCAACTTCTCATCGGCGGTCGGCGCCCGGCGCCTCCATTCACCCACAACACGATCTTTGGCGTTCAATGAAGAAGACTTGAGCTTCTCCCGCTGTTTGCGCACTTTCTCCTTTTGTATGGCGATGGTCTGCTGCCATTTTTCCAAGCGCTGTGAGAGCTGGATGTTGTCAAGTAGGTCGAAGATAGTCAGCTTGTCCAGCGGTGGAAATGACTCCCAGTCCTCTTGATAGGAGCTGCTGTTTGAGAAGGAGCCGTTCCGCGACAGGCTTCCCTGCAATGTGGTAGCAGAGCCCGGTTCATCGTTATCGGTGAAGTCTTCCAAAGGGAAGGGCACATCGATCTCGTCCAGGCCTGGCGTGGAGACCCGCGGTTCACCTGACATGGTGGGATCAGACTTTCTTCTAGAGCCGGTGCTTTCCATCAAAAACTGTTGCTGAAAAGATAGGATCGTCGGTCCTTCCCTAGTGTTGGGATACGGTCGACTGAGGAAACGATTGAACGTTAGCATCCCCATGATTGCAAGCCCAATGAGCACAGCTTAGTAGATATGTGCCAAACAAGTGCGAGTGCTCCAAACACACAGCACTTGTTTAGACATGAGGAGTAATTAAAGAGACGAGGGCAATCTTACCTTATCAGTAGATCCCGCGTTTGTTGGACTGGGCGAGGATGGCGAACTGTGGTTGGTGGTCCACGGAGTAAACAACTCCGGACTCACTGGCGCATGACACAAAAGGCGGCGATATAGAGCTACTGCTGCTGCTTTGATGCAGTCACGAAGGTTGAGGAGAGACTCGAACAAGAGCCAGCGAGAAGGTGAGAAATTGACGTGTGCTTGTGATGTGAGTGGTGGTTGGATGGAGAGCTGTGCTAGGGGATCAGCATGCGGATCCAATAAGCGAGCTGTCCAGTCTTAGAGATATTGCCTGAGGCAGCAAACTTTGCAGATCGAGTTCTTTGCCTCGTAATTTCGCTACTTGCACTATTCTAATGTAGCGTTTATCATCTTTGGATTGTTTCGTTTATTGGTTGCATGTTCTCCCTGGCCCCTCGTGTATGTAATCGAGGCGACAAATCATTGTAAGTAAGAAAAGATATATCTGGAAAAAGCAACCACCGAAACCCCATATTCATATTCAGCCGAACGCTCACAAACTCCAGGTATTTGCTGGTGAAAACAAAAGGAGGAAGGAAACAGAAATACATCAATATCCAAACTGCGGTGCAGAGCTGGCATGTGGCCAGAAACCGGATCCTTTGTCAGATACATACGGCTGCTGGTAGTACCCAGACAGGTAACTCGGGTCTGGATGCATCGACTTTGTGACGTTCGGGGATTCGAGGGGGGGGATTACATGCACTGATGGTGCTATACCCATCGGGTAGCCAAAACTACCTGTTGGGCTGTGCGAACCACTTGACTCGCTAGTGGTGGGTGAGAGGGGCTGACAATGCGAGTGGTGTAGCTTTGAGTCTTCTTCTTCCTGGAAAGAAGCACCGGTGTTATCACCTGCGCTGTGCATATCATGTTCGACCTCGATCACGGACGCTGCTGCCGGTGCTGCGAGTGCATGGGATGATAATCCATCGCCGCCTTGGTAAACTGCTTCTGGTAAATGTGTTTGTGTTACCTGAATCAAGGTATTGGCGTCTGTGATGACCGAAATATAGATATGGTTAGTGAAACTGCTGCTGGTATCCTGTGTTGGGATAGGGTAACACATACCGATTTCACCATCTAAAAACTGTTCTTCCATGTGTCGCACAAAGTAGATCTCGTCCAGGACCTGCAGCCGGTGGGCAGGGGTAATTTGACGTCTCACATCTTGGCCAGCATCTCGTAGTTTGTCTGTTGTAACTCCGTGGCTGTCTTTTAGTTCACAGAGGATATGAACAAGAAGTTGCAGTCGGTCTGTCGCCGGTTAGTATTTACCAAAGTCTCACATCAGTTGTACTAAATTGCTACTCACCAGGTTTCAACAGATGATCGGGCTCCTTGTGTAAGACACCAGTGGGCCACCACGCAGGCTTGGTGAATTCCGGGTCAACACGCTGTGAGACACCGGCAATAACCCTTCGCCCATTGTACGGGTAATGGACCTGCTTTCTCGGCTCGACAAGCTTAATATAGGATTTTGCGATGGCACGGCAGTTTAGCTGCTGGAAGTCCTCGAATGCCTTCTCATAGTACCGTCGCAGCAGCGCCCGGTTGCCAACACGAAGAACGGTGCGTCCAGGTGGAGGTGCGGTAGGCGGCGGCGAGCTAGACTTGGGTCGAGACCTGGGAATACCGCCTGCACGCTTTGACTTTTTTCGGCTTTGCTGTGACGACCATTGGAACGGGATCATCTCGGCCTGTCTGGTCTGGCTGGTGGGGCCCCATCCCGAAGGTTGCTGCTCATCCCAAGGGGAGTGGTGTACCTGAGTTGGGTCTGCAAGGAAGCGAAGGAACGTCAGTCTTGCCGTTTTGGAACCCGAACTCGAAAAAGATCGCCTCACTTGTAAACTGCGGACTGGTCTGTAAGGCCTGTCCAGTCATTTCGATGAATCGGTCTGTAACCTCTGGGGTGAATATGGCGCCTTCACAGCCTGCAATGGAGGGTGAGGCTTGCAGTTGCCATTGACCGTTGTGGTCGAGATATATCATGGCGAAGTGTGGATGTGTATGTTCGGCGGTGTGAGGTTGTTTAGGAATGGTTGACTGTTTGCGCATTAGCAAAAGTTGGTGCTCACTGCCTTTCGTTTTGCCGTTGGAAGGTTCTGTTACCATGTTCATCGGCGGTTGCTGCGGGATGCACGAATCAGAATGCCTTCGTTCCAGTACGTCTCCGGGGAATGGATATCCACGATTCATCTCCATTTTGTGAAATAGGACAGGGTACGAAAACGGAATTTACAAGGTCGGAGCTCACTGCGCTTGTCGAACGCAGTATGTTGCAAGTAACCAATTCCAGAATATAGAATGGACCTGGTCCCCTCAAAAATGGTCGGCGCACGGTGTCAATTCATACAAGAAGAGTAAATGCAGCTGGCCGATGGATGAGAAATCCGGGACCATTTCATCACGGAAAGGGTCCAGGCGAGATAAATATACCAGAACTCGGAGTAAAAAAAAATAAAAAAAAAAAAAACAACGGGGCCATCTCTATGATCTCCCACTCCGACGCCAGACCCCGAAGATTGGCATATCTCCACCTGACACCGATGTCCCCTGAATGTGCGAATCGGTTTGGTGCTAATGCAAGGAAAAATGAATAGCTGCAAAGTCGAGCGTGTGGCAATACGAAAGCCTCCGTATCACTTCTTTCTGCGTGTCGTGATTGGATCATCCACCTCTTCCCCTTTGCAATGTGTAGTCGATGGGTCGAGTCCGGTCTGCGCATTGACGCTTGTTAGGGCTGTGATCCATGGATGAGTGGCACATAACCTTGTTCGATCCATGGTTCCGTCGGGGGATCCGAGATCGGCCCCAGCACTTTTGGGACCGTCTCTCAACTCAGGCGTTTGGAGATCAGCCACCAATCACCGATTGTTCAAACAGACAACAAAAACTAACGATTCAAATGTGTCCACAATATCTACAATCCCGTCACGTATGTTCCGCTATCTGCCTTCCTTGCAAGGTATCTGTAGCACGCCGGTATGTCCCAGGATTATATTTCCCGCTCCAATACACCAAAGTTTACCCTCGAAGTTGCTAATCTATCAAGAAATGGTAGACATGATAGGGAATTGCAGGCTGGACTTATTTGCGCGACGGCCCAATTAGCCCAAGGTGGACACAATTATCTATCCAATCGTGTTACCCGATCGGCGATCCCTTGGCCACATTGGCCACAACAGGTGAAGAAGAAGAAGAAGAAGAAAAAGAAGAAGAAGAAGAGCGGTCATCATCAACGCCTCTGAGATCATCACCTGCAAGCTAAGAGAGGCTAATGGACCAACTGACTATTATAGGTGAATCTCTCCAACTTCTATGGATCTACTCCGTATGGATACTTACTTGCATTGCCAGTGCGTCAGCCTAGTGGGCTTTTTTTTTTGATCTAAATCGTACTCGCAGCTACGCCCACAGCTCAATGGGTTTCTAGATTTTTTTGGGGGTGTATTCTTTAGACTGGACCTAATGTCAGGCTTCCAGTCACCGCGGTGTACGGAGCACCGAGTATTCAAACGTATATCTCCACCGTGCGCTTGGTCCAAGTACTATTGTCCGTGCGGCCTTTTTCCAACCTAATCTGAAACGAGGGTCTGAAGACTTGGGGATAAATCCTTCTCGTCTATGTTGGAAAGCTGAGGCCCTCGGAGGCCAAAGCCGTCGACGCGACCATCGAATCTTGAGCTTATTTTGCAGTTCGCGGAAGTTGGTTTGTGCTTCCGGATGTGCGGATAACGACCCCGAGAAAAACTTCTTTGTTACTTTTTTTGGCCTCTTGGTTTTGCTTGTGGTCGCTTCCTTTCTTTTTTTTTCTTTACTTTTTTTCTTTTCTCTTTTCAGCATGATGTAATTGCACCCCAGCTCAAGGTACCTTGTATCGAATCGCCACCAGCATGGATTGTTCAAGCCGGTGATTCCAAATTCTGCTGGCCTGCGGCATCGTGCATAAGCGGACGTGGCAACCCGGAGCTAGAGTCGAAACAATATCCGAACGCGAAGGAGACTTGTTTTTTTTTTTTCATCCCAAGGAGGAGAAGCTCTAAGGCTAATTGGTTTGAGCTACCATTGGGATCGGTTCCCTGCTCCCGGATCGACAGTGTCTACTGGGAGCGGGGATCGCGGATGGCAGACCAAGAAGCCGATCACTACGGATTTGATGCACGCCTTCATTCTATGGCCTTTTACGGAGCTGGACTTGTTTCTTTTTTGGGGCCTGGGTGATATTCGGCATAATTAACAATTGAAACTGGTTTTGATTAGCTAGCGCCACCAGGATCTCGGCTGGTGGCGGCAGCGGACTGTAGCTGTAGCAAGGCCCAATGTCAATATGAAGTACTGTTATGTACAGAGTAGAGTGTTGCTATTCTTTCCCTCCACCGTCTCTTTGGTCTTTTTCTTTTCTGTTGACACTTTTTAGGGAGCTGGTGATATTTCGATCTGGACTTAACCCACTCACACATCCGGAAAATGGAACCGTATCACTTTATCTGATGCTATTTGATGAGCATGCGGGCCACATATCCCATCCCGTACGACATTAACGGTACTGGCAGTTTCACCTTATATTGCGGGTTTCGAAGTTTTCGATCATACGAAAGTCAGCTCTTGGCTACATTTGAAGATCAGGCCCTAAAAATGGTTGGTCTTGTATACTTCTTACCGATATTCCCAATTTCTTTTGACCGATGTATCTTATGGATCGGAATTTGAATTAGATCGGATAGACCGTGGCCGTGTGCCAGGCAGAACCCTATTATCATCGACAAGAACAGGAAAAGAATGCAAAAAAAAGAAACCCCCCCCCAAAAAAGCAATATGAATTCCACGCAATCAATACAACAGGGCTACTCCGTACTTAGATTGCACCTAGACACTAAGCAGCAAAGAAAAAGAAAAAAGAAAAAAAGAAGAAAAAAGTACTCCGTACGTTACTATCCCCTGAGCCGCATTGGCCTCAAACTCTGTCAAACCCAAGGGTGCACTTCCACATGAGAACCGTCCACAAAGCCCCCTTAGCAAGTGGCGTGGGAAAGACATGCGTCCCTTGCGCATATTTGCGGGCTGCACCACCTCAGAGATGGAATAAATAACAATGGAATACATGCTCCGTACAGAGTACAACATAATTCCTGTCCATTCCTGTCAATTCTATCAATATACTCGTTAAATTCTACATCTTGGGGAGACTATGTCCCCTTATCACTCTCCGCCTGAGCAGACCATCATCTGCCCGTGGACGTCAGCTGCGCCTATATGTTGCATGTGCTGCTCCCGTTGCACAACACTAGGATAGATTCAAGATTTGAGAGCTGGCTCGCTTGAGATTTACCCTCGGTAACAGAACATCCAGTGTTCCTGCTGTACATAATAGACTTGCTTTTGCGCGATGTTGTTGAGCATAGAGGAATATGTGCGTCCCGGCAAGCGGTGTTCCCAGGACTCCCGCCTTTTGACATTCCGTTACCATTGCTAGTTGGGTGCAGATGGCTAAGCCCTAATACCAGGATACTGATGCAGGAAGCCTGCATTATTGGAACTTTGGCCTCGGGTTCTCTCCATTGTGTCCTGGGATGAGGGGAGGAGTGGTGGGGAGTTGACGCTGGACATGATTTGCCGGCGTTGGGGTCAGAGTCCTGAGGTGGGGGGGGGTAACTATGCCCAAGTAGTAGACTGCACCTGATGACTCTGTTGTTCTTCTCACCGTACTTGGCGTCGGGTTGCCGGAACGAAAATTAGAGCCATTGGCCAAGGGCTCGGTCGAAGCTTGGATTCATTCTGAGTGTGACTCCGTTCCTCTCTTCTTGCTCATTCATTGTCCTTGTACTCCGCACGGTACGAGCGCCATCTTAAACATCGCCACCTTGGGGGTTGGCAAGGGAGAGAGTCTAGAACCAAGTCGACCCCGGATTACAGACAAGGGGCTGTCTGTCCAGATGCAACCGAAAATAGAGAGAGTCGGGGCCAAGCACACTGACCAGTCAAGGTACCCCTGAATGTATAGAAAAAAAAAGACTACAGTGCATTGTCAGTCAATTAGACCGAGAATGGAGAGCGGATGTCTTTCCAACTCACTTGACCGATAAGGCTCGAGTTCAGGCACTTCGATCGCGACCGATCTGTCAATCGTGACATGGTCTTATAGGATAGGCTGGCCGTTCTTCAACCCATACTTGAACAACCCACCATCCCACGTAATGTCAGTGATAGTCCCACTCCTGATGGCTAGAAGTCATTGCACAACAGGCGATGGAGTAGCGAAATTCGGAACCTATGAGGAGTTCTGAGAGTGCTGGATCAACTAGACTCCAGCCCAAGCTCTCATCTTGGTAGCTGTACCATTAAAAACTCACCCTACATTCCGAGCCAACCTAGTCTTCCGACGGAGGCAGATTGGATCTTGTCTCCATCTTGGTCACTAGTCAGTACCACCGCAACTACGGAATTCCCCCCCCAGCACGGGACCTTGATTCCGAGTATGTTCTTATCTGGACGAACGGGTTGCGATGGTCCACAGTAGTCCGTGTCCTTCGCACTGATACCGTATCTTGATCGGGTCCAAGCTGTTGGTCCGATTTGGGTGTGTGGATTCCAGAGCGATAAGGGTGAATCCGTCACCATGCCAGAGAACTCCCACCTAGCGCCTGATTGCTCGCTCCATCGATAGTCACTTGGTCAATTAGTCGCTCTCTCCTTGATCCGCAGAGTACAGACAGTTTGGTGAAGTAGTTTTGAACAAGTCGGTTTGTTTCCGATACCTCAAGGCATTACTATGTCTTTGTGAGCTTTCCAGGCAAGAAGTCGTCACAAAGATTTCATCCCGTTGAGATCTTCATCTTGGGCATTTAGGATCTTCGTTTCTATCCATTGGTTTCTACTCTCTCGCTTTCAGCGGTAAAGCTAAACTCATAGGTTCCTACCCCCTTTCCCTCCACCGTTCGATCCTCAAGTTTGCAGCAGGTCCCCCCAACAAACCAAAAAGTTGTCATACCATCTGGGGCTTGAACTTCATGCATGAACCCTATTTGTGTGATTACGAAAGTGCCATCTGAAACTCATTACCAACGAGACATGTTTGAAAACGAGGCAGCCCCTGTTTGACGAGGTTGGAGCTAGCTATTTTGGACGACCTTCGACGTACAGGGGTTAGACGTCGTCTCCACACTTGAGAACACCCCCTTAGTTCCAACTGAACGGATTGTTCTATCCTTGAGCCCAAGCCATGATTTGATAGTCCTTTCGCGGCCAAAAGTTAGGGCTAGAGCTAGCAATGGACCTTGGTACCTGAAAGGACATCTGGAGCTTGATAGTTTGATAGCATTCATTCAAAGTAGAGTTAACTACTCCACCTACATTCCAGAATGGGATCTTAGTCCAGGTGATTTATTTAATAGAAGCTTAGGTGAAAGATTTCCTGTCAGCGAAAGAGATAGATGATGCAGCCCTGTTCTGCATCGGGATAGGTTTTTCCCTATAGCTAGTTTCTCAAGTATGAACTTCTCTTCCTTAAGACAGGTCGGCTCTTGTCTTGGAGAAGAATTGTCTCAATCCCCCGTGACAATGACTTCTAGCACTCTCATTTCCATTTATCGAATTGAAGAACCAATCTAATTCGCAGTATGATTCAAATTCAGGCTGCTGCTCTGGCTGTGCTTTTCACTGGCCAAGTCCTTTCCGGGCCATGAATCCCGAAAAGCCTATCAGATCTGTAGCCATATGTTGTAGTCTCGGGATGTTCTTCGAGTCTCTAGAATTCAAATATACTACCGCAAGAGAAGGTAAATTCGTTCAGGGTGGCACTCCCGGCTTCTATCATATTCCTGTACCCTTTCCATTTTGCCTATTATGTCACGATACTATAGATCGAATTCGATTTTTCCTTTTTTTTTTCTTGGCCCGTACTTTTGGGTCAGTTTGTGCATCTATAGAGGTGGGTCTAGGGCCAGAAGCACTCTAGGATTAACCAAATATGAAATTTTGACATTTTCCGTACTTGAAATTAGCACAAAATTCGGACTATGCACAGAATCTATTTCCTAATTTGTTTCTGTCCCAGCAGTACTACAGGCAGACTTGCAGATCCAAATTTTCAAGCCAGAGATGTCGACTTTGACAGGCAAAGAGCCTAGCACTAACACTATCTTTACATACAAAGATCAGATCATGTCGATTCTTCACTTTGCTCGCACTTTCACGTTACTTAAAAGTGCACTTGGTAGAAAACTCCGTATGAATCTAGATTTGGAGATGCCAGTAACGGGTGACCTACGGGGGATCAATATTTGTCTCAGTGATATCGGTATTGTCTAGAAAGCTGGCACTATCCAAGGCACTATCCAAGGCACTATCCAAGGCACTAGGTAGAAGCCTTCTACAAGTACAAAGGTTGGCTTCATCTTCATGTTACGTGAGGTTTCGTGATCTCGTTTGTGGTCTCGAGACTTCAACCCTTTGCGCCTCGCGACTTCTTTCCTCTTCTACACCTCCACTGATCAATTCCATCGTACCACCAAGAGTTCTCAACTTCAACTTCGCTATCATGGAGGCAACCACAAACTATCTCTCACTTCCCGCTATTGCGGAGTTCATTAACGCGTACGAGGAGAAGCCAACTGCAGAGAATGTCAAGATCATGGTGAGCGGTCTCCTCACTTACGCCTTCGATTCAAATGATGGCTGGGTTCTCAAGTGGCAAGAGGACGAGGATAACAACCACTCAAACTGCTTCATAGTGAAAGCTATTGGCGATGAAAGATCTCTGCAAGCCATTGTGAAGGTTATTCTCGACACGTCTGGTTCAATCAAGGAAAACTGGGATCAATCAGTTCCCCGTTTGATCGATGCCCCGCTTCCAAACGAACGATGCTGGGCTATTGTCTTTCGGGGTCTCAAAGTCCGCCTGTACGAGTACCACCGCGACCAAGAGCCAGATGAACGTCTGGTTCCCTGCGACTTCAAGATCAAAGACAAGATAAAGCATGCTGTCCACATTCGCAAAAATGCTGACGCAGTCAACAACGTTCTCATCAGTATCCCTAACCGGGTCCCCGAGCCACTTGAGGAGGGCGAGCATGGTAGCCCGACCCTGATTGACTCTGCCACCGATACGACCAATGGGTCTAAGGTTTCCCTTGATGTTACTCTTGAGACAGCCCCTGTCTCTGGCGCGTACCCCGAGTTGCCCTCCGCGGACCCTTCCACTGAGGCCAGCGAGGAGAAGACACCTACTGAAGCCGACCTTGTCACTGCGCACGAGGCCGCTGCCCAGATAAAGACAGCACCTCACGTCGATACTGCTACCTTCCAGAGCAAGAATATGACTGTAGCCACTGGAGCCCAGGCCAAGATTACTCCCCAGTCCAAGGCTGCTCGTCTAGCAAAGGCTGCTACTGGTATTAAGGGTACTACTCAGACTAAGTCTCTCACTCAGGTGAAGCCTACTGCCGGGGTCAAGAACGCCACCCAGGCCAAGACTAATCCCCAAGCCAAGGCTGCCCTTCTAGCCAAGGGAATTTCCGGGCTCAAGCTCACTCCCAAGAACACGCCTGCGATGGAGAATGAGTACTGAGTTATTTGGCCAAAACAGCCACAGATTAGTAAGTATCTGGCCTCTATAAGTACCCATGTGCCTGTCACTAATGGTGGTTATCTCGAATAGATCGCAAGTCTCTGATGGATGACGGTTCTGGTTCACGGTTCACGGTTCACAGTTTTCGGTTCTCGACATTTCACTTGTTTCTTCTTTTGAGACTTCGACTTGTCTCGTCCCACACCGGTACTTTCAACAAGTGCCAACCCTTCTGCATGAGGAAAAGTCGACTTCTTGACCCTTTTTTTTTAATAAAACGTGCAAACATTTAAAAACGAACATGAGGCCGACTGATTCGGGGGTTTACAGGTGGACGGTTCTTTGGGACTTTATCTTTTCGCGAGGCGTTGGTATGTTTTATCTTTTGTCATCAGGTGGCGAGGGGGGGTTTCAACAGGGCGGCCTCAACATCTAGAGAGATGAACCGAACTGAATCTATTCATATCTACTTTCGGGAGATTCTCCAAGAACCCTTGGCCAAAATCTGTAGAAGCATCAGCTGTCGGCTTGTGAGCTGTTTGGAAACGGAGATTTTTAGGGCTATCTGTAGGTACAAGGTGTGAGAAGGGTTGGAACATTTTGAAACCCACAGTACATGAACTGGTATCAATTAATAGCCTTGTTGATGGAAAAAAATTGCCCAGAAAAAAAAACACTGGGTAGTTTCAATAATCTACAAAGATGAAGAAATAGGAAGCTAAAGCAAAGGGTTATCACAAAATCCGCACAAATCCCACCTGGACGATTTAGGTGTACTTCCGAAGCTGTGAATGATCGTTGTCAGCACTATTCCATATCGACGTAAACGAGACAATTGTTCAAAACTCACATCAAGCGTCAAGGATTTGCTGCTGTTCTCGACCTGGTCCCTGTAGATACCAACCAGAGCCTCACTGTTCTGGAATAGTCCGGTCTTCAAACTGATCACGATGAACTGCATACCAGGCGCGGCGTGATCGTGGATATAGTTGGCAATACGGGCGACGTTGGTGTTGTCCAGGGCTGCATCAACCTCATCCAGCACAAAGAATGGAGATGGTTGGTACGAGTGGATAGCGAACAGCAAAGCGAGTGCGGCCATGGTCTTCTCGCCACCGGAAAGATGCTCCATGTCTCGGAAACGCTTGAGAGGAGGCATGGCGTGGTATTTGATGCCGTCCAAGTAGGGCTCGTCCGAGTCCTCGATATCGAGGTAGCTTTTAAAAATGTTAGTGAAGCTCAAAATCGGAAGTTTAGGAAGAAACCTACGCTTGACCACCCAGGGGGTAATTGGCGCTGCGCGTGAGTTCACGGTATATTGGCCCGATCTGCTCAGATATGTGCGTGAATGCCTTGTTGAAGAGATCGGATCGCGTCTTCATCACGGACTCAAATTCTTCCTTGGCCTTTCGGGCCGACTTCCGGGCATCCTCGAAGTCCTTTTCGGTGCTGCGAAGTTTGTTCTCAACACTCTCCAGGCGCTCCATGGCACGAGCATTCGGTGCCATCTTGTCGAGGTCACTGTTGAGAACACGGACTTTCTCCAGCAGTTCATCCTCGAGCTTGTCATCGGCCTCCTGTAATTGACTTAGTACGTGGTAACATAATGCGATACGAGCAAACACCAACCTCTTTCAGGGTCTCTCCTAGAGAATCGAAGTCGATCTCAATACCGTAATCGTGCACCGGAGGAGCCTCATCCAAACCATCCCCGTCATCCACCTCCATGGCATCCGGGTCTGCTGCTTGAACAAGGTCGTCAATGGGAAGCTTGTCAAGGGAATTAGAAGACTCGGCCAGAGGAATGTCAATGTCTTCAAGCTTGCAGCGGCGCAAAAGAGCGTATCGGCTGGAAGAGTTTCTTTGGATCTCTGATTCAAGAGCATTGACATTCTTAAGCGCTGCTTCCACGTGCTTGCTACGCCTCTGGAGTTCACGGCGCTGCTCTGCCAAGTTTTCTGCTGACTGGCCATAGATTTCCTTCTGCTTCTCGAGAGCCTCTCGGAGGAGCTCAAGTTCCGCTTCGAACTCATCGAGCTGGTTGCGGATTTCTTCTTGCTGACTTTGCAACTCTTCAATCAGGCTCTGGTCGCGCTCGTATTGCGCCTTGAGGCCGTTGATTCGGTCCTCGGTTGCTTGGATACGCTGCTTTTCAAAGCTAAGCTGATTCTCGATTCGGCTCTTTTGAGTGGTAAACTCAAGCTTCCTTTGCGCAGCCTCTTCCTGCATAGAGCCCTGCTGAGCCTCGTATTCTCGGATGTCATCATACCCTAAGCGCTTGCAGAACTTGCGGTAGATATCATCCTCAACCGTGCTGACCGAAGCTTGTGAGATTTCGATTGTCTCGTCTAGCTCGTCAAGGTTTTCCTTACGCTCGGTGTATTTCGGTCGCAGTTCCTCCATCTGGCGCTTAACGAAATCCAGCTCGCTACGTTTACTCCCAAGGTTCCTCTCAAGGGCCTTCAATTCATCACGGGAGTAGGTAAGGCGCTGCTCGAGACCGACGAGCTCGCCTTGCAGGGTCTCTTCTTCGGAGCCTCGGCGGTGACTCTTGGGGAGGTTGGTGAGATCGCTCATGAGCTTTTCTTTTAATTTATACAGGTTCTCGACCTCGGAATCTTCCCAGCGCTTAGAGTTTTGTTGAGGACCACGTCCACCAGTCATGAGACCACCCTTGTGAATGACAGTTCCATCAAGGGTAACAGCCTTCGCGTCCACGTTTCGCTCGTAGCAAAGATACTTAGCCGTGGTCAAATCATCACAAACGATAGAGTTTCCGCACGCGTAGCTGATTGCTCGCGCAACCGAATCATCATAGTCAACAGTCTCAATGGCAGGGCGCATGCCCCGATGCATGCCTTTCAGGTTCGAGTTGAACGCCTTGACTTGGATGGTTTCCAGCGGAATGAACGTAGCCTGACCTGCTCGTTGGTCGCGTAGGTGTTGGATGCACTCCTTTGCGGTCTTCTCGTTGTCCACAACAATGGCATCGAAGTGTCGACCAAGTACGGTGCTGACTGCGTCAGAGTATTTCTTCTGCTTGGGACGACAGAGATCACTGACACGGCCTTTGACACCAGGGAAGATGCGCTTCAAGGCTGAGATTAACTCCTTGGCCCGAAGTTCGCGTTCGGTCTGCTTCTTGCCATCGTCGGCCTCGAGAAGTTTCCTCAACACGACTTGAAGCTTTTCCTCTAGCTCGGTTCGCATTTGCGAGACTTTCAAGCGCTCCGAAGTCAATGCGTTCAGTTCCTTCTTCTTACGGTCGATTTCGTTGGAGGTGGACTTGACAACGTCATTGAGGGACAACTTGCGTTCGTTCATATTCTGGACATCAGATTCAACGGATTTCAGTTGCCATTCGGTATTTTCAAACTTGCCCTTCAAGCTGTTGACCGCTTCAGCTTCGGTCTTTCTCTGCCGGCGTAGATTGTCGAGGTTTAATGAATCCGCCGATGAACGTCGATTAACTTCTTCTCTGAGCTTGTGGTATTCCTGCTGATCAGCTTCGCTCAGCTGGCCACCCTTCTTGCTCATCGTCTTCTGCCATTCGACTTCCCACTGAGCCTGGGCTTTCTCGACAAGCCTGAGATCCTTTTCTAGTTGCTTGCCATTGCTGGATTGTGATGCGCGCTCCTTTTCGATCTCGGCAATTTTTGAAGAGAATCTGTCAACCTTCTTCTGGGTAATGTCGATCTTCTCGTCCACAGGTACCAGAGAGTTGTTAAGTTCTTCAATCTCTCTCTCCTTTTTCGTGATGTTTTTCTCGGCCTTGCCAACATCTCTGCCGACTCGAGCGTGGTCTTTCTTGGCGTCCTCGACGTTCTTCTCATATCTCTCAACGCCACGACGGTACTCCTTGAGCTCATCTTGGTATTTCTGGATATCTGCACTGGAGTCGTCGATCAGCCGCTGGAAGTGAAAGAGCTTCCACAGGATATGAGTGATAATGGCCTGGTCGCGTTCCTCGGCCTTTTTCGCATAGTTCTCAGCCTCTCGCTTCTGTTCCTGGTATTGCTTGACTTCGGAATTGATGCCTCGTCGGCGGTTGAGCTGAACGGTTTGCTGTTCCGCGGCCTCTTCCGCCTCCGCTTTGAACTTTTCATAGTCGGCCTTGTGCTCCAGACTGCCAGAGATCTGCTCAATCAAGCGAGTAAGATCTTTGGGCGACTGGGATGCGATCGCCTCGACATCACCCTGAAACACCAGGAAATTTCGCGCCTTGATCAAGATGTTCTCCTCTTCTAGAGCCTCGTTGTATTGGTGGGCGGACACGATTCGGTTGTTGATGCGGTATTCGCTAACACCCTGGCTAGTGATAGATCGGCGCCATTGCTGCTCCTCGCCCGCATCATCCTCATAGACTGCCATCACCCAAGCGGACTTCGGGTCGTTTCCACCGGCATCTTGGGAGGCATCCATGGTCTCCGGCTCCTCCTCTTGCTCCCCATCCTGCTCATCAACAGCAGTCTCGCCATCCACTTTAGATGTACGCAAAACACGCCCACGGTACACAAGATCACGGAGATTGGTCGATCGTAGGTGAGAAGACTTGATTCCTAGAACAAACGATATGGCATCCATCCTAATGCGAATTAGTGTAAGGTTCTTTTGACTTTGACTATGACTAGGAGGCACTCACGAGTTTGACTTGCCAGACCCGTTCGGGCCAATGATCGACGTGAAATACGCATCTCCAAATAGGAGGACATGATGTCCCTTGTAGGACTTGAAGTCTAGCGACAAAAGTTAGTTGCTGGCTCCGGCGTGTTTTCTGATCGCACATACTGAAAAGCTCCAAACGAATGAGTTTTCCCATCTTGCCAGCGGCTTCCCTGAGGGAACAACGCGCCGAGGAAGTCAAGAGCCCTGTTATTAAAGTAACAGATTGAGTTGTGGGACAGATGTGGGAGGGGCGCGATGACGGGTGAACCGCGTCCACCCAAGACGCGCGCCGGGGCCATCACGTGGCTCCCCAAATTTAGTGATGCATGAAGGCCCTCTGAAGTAACATACTATGTATTCTGACAGGCAGCGAAACCCTCGCATTGTATGTTGTAGTTTGTTGTGATTCTTTATTTAAAATGACGCCCATGGCTGGTATTGGTATTACAAGTGCTGTATCGCTATCTGAGAAAAAAAGTCAAAATGATGTACAAAACTGAACCTGTTGCGACACGACGCGAAAAGACCTCAGTGATACTTGAACAATGATCATCAACTAATCTCTGAATGGCAGCTTCACATTCACCATACGCCCAAAGTGCAGGAGATCATCCGAGATGTATCCATTGGAGTCCAGTCGGAAATGGGTTCTGTGACCCGCCAACTGCACAATGATGAAGTCCTCGTTGGTGAAAATTTGCCGCATGCTCTGGAAAATCCGGCGAGGCATGGATTTCAGTACTCTGACGAAGGTTGGCTCGGGTTCCAATTCACGGCCGAGTTTGGTACTATCCTCGTAACGCTTCATGGTTTCCGGAGAGACCGAGAGTCTGCGCTTGAAAGAAAGATCACCCGGCGCCACTTCGACCTGGTAAGGCTTCTTGAAAGGGACCATGCTTCGGACACTGAAGAGGACGCGCATACGACCGTCGGAGTTGACCGCTCTAATGTTTTTGACTAGAGAGCCGGTTCGGGAGATGAACAATGTGCCTCCAACGCTCATCATGACACAGATTCCACCAAATAGGGATTTCTGCCACATTGGAAGAGGAACCAGAGGATTCACGAGAACCGCGTTCGAGTTGTAGATGGAATAGGCAAAGCAAAACGCGGACAGACCATATGCAGTTAAGACATATGGACGATGAAAAGGAGCCTTGAACAAAAGCACCTGTCCGGCTTTTAATACCTTCGTTTGCAGCTTCGCAAGGGCACGGGGGTTTTTGTTTCCATAAGGGCTTGCGGCCTGCCACGCGGAATCGACAGTTCTGGCCACACCCTTGGCCTTGTAATGAGGTGCAGTGGAATTGAAGTATCGCAAGGGTGATGTCGATTTCATCTGAAAGCCAGGTCGCGTTGGACTTTGTAGGCATTGGCGCCGGAATATTGAGAAGGTGGGTGATCTGACGGGCATGATTGCGCTTGAGTCTATCAATTCTCAAGTTAGTAAAGTGATCAAGGCCATGACACGCAGCCAAATGAGACCCATGAATCCGGAGGGAAAATGGCAAAGCATCAACGACTGCATGGCTTCGCTCGGTAACTTACTAGGGCAAAAATCAATTGACCGTCGTTCTGATCGGAAATCGCCGATGATGGCCAATACAGTAGGCGGCAGAAAAATATTCCCATCCCGGCCGCCGGTGAAAGCTCCCAACGCCCTCAACACCTCCAACAGCTGCTTTGGAATTGCATCTCCAAACACACGACCTCAAAAGAATTAAATCCGGAGATTTGTGCGCTTTGACGTGGTGGTGGGCTCTTCGTTGATCCTGCTCGTTCCTTTTGAATCCAGCGTCCGCGGCGAGTCGCGACACCGGCCGAAGATCCCAATCGGCACCGCAACACTTCCACTATTCCAAAACTCCAATAATCACTTAGCAATGGCAGCCAATATCACAGTTGGTCAGGTTCCAGCCATGTTTGCTCGGCGTCAACAGAAGGTGTTCGGTGTCGGCAGACGTGAGTTTCCCATCTATGTTCATGGCAAATAGCATCTCCGCAGTGGAAAGCCGCTCCTCTGCTCAATTCGACGTCAGAAGTTACTTGCGATGTAACAAGCATTACTTAAGATGCGCTAATATCAACATCACTTCTAGGCCTGCAATCTACTGCTCCCACAACCCAGAACCCCGCCTATCCGCTATACCCCTCCGTCGCCCAGCTCCTCCGTGAGAAGGGCATCCCCAAGTCCGATGTTTCTAAGATCCCAGCCTCGGGCCCCAAGGGTCGTCTCTTGAAGGGCGACGTACTTGCATACATCGGTCAGATCCCCGCGAACTACCCGTCGACCCAGGCCGCTACTCTGGCCAAGCTTTCCCACCTCGATCTGAGCAACATCAAGATCGCCCCGGCCGCGGCCCCGGCCGCGCCGGCTGCAGCCGAACAGGAGATTGTCCCCGAGCCCCTGCCCATGACTTCCGTCGCCATCTCCGTTTCCCTGGCTGCCGTGCTGTCTGCCCAGAAAAAGCTCCAGGACAACCTGGGTGTGATGGTCCCGCTGTCCCGCTTCCTTGCCGTGGCTACAGACCTTGCCAACGACGACCTGCCCCGCTTGGCTAGCTCCAAGCCCTCCGCCGATGAGCTTTTCAATGAGGTCCTCGGTGCCCAGCCAATCAACACATCCCGCGGTGATTACGTTCCCGAGCTGAACGTTTTGGAGGCTCCCAAGGCTGTCCGGTCGAAGCCTGTCGCTGAGGATTTGATCGACTTCCTTAGTGCAAAATCGCCCAAGAAGTCTGTGCCTAGGGCTTCAACTGAAAGCTCTGCTGGTGTTGCTTCAAACGTTTTCAGCTTGACGGTCCCTGCTGATGAGGAGACCCGCGCTAAGGCATTCCTGGAGCGAATCAAGACTCTTCTCTCGGTTGAGCCAGCGCGTTTGGTGCTTTAAATTTTCGTTAGTTTTTCAAATCTCCCGTCGTTGAACTTTTTCTCTCGTTTGTTCCCGGTCATCTGAGCAAAAAGCTGGGAAGGCGAAGTTCATTCATGAATGTATACAGTATAGTATAGTTAATCAGATATTTCCATGATTGGGGTTGCTTCGCTTGAGAACAAGCAGTTTGACCACAAAAATACAACATGGTCGTAGTCAAGTTGAACAAGGACATGGATCTCCATGAAACATACATGTGTTTATCCAATTTCAATTCTCATTTTGTTTCCGGCATGGTTTAGATCCCATTAAGGTCCGGTTGGCATGGCTAAATCCTCGGAAATGGGAATATGAGCACAAATTTGTGCCCGAAAAAAAAGGGTCATGGCATCATCAAAAGCAACCAAGCAAAAAGACAAACTAGAGTGAGACCCCATCCCCCCCCGCACAACGCCGCAAACTGGCAACCACGAACACCACAAGCGCCGCCGCTCAAAGCCTTGAAGAAACGTGGGTGTAGGAATATTCGCTTGACTCCGAGGCATGCGGCCAATGTAGCCAGCCTAAATCACACCCAGAGTAAAGAAAAACCGATAGAAAGAGATCAAAGACGTAAGAGGTAGCAAAAAAATCAAAAAAGGAAAAAAAAATTTTTTCAAACAGGCAAACTGCCCATTCCGAATCAACAAACGCCGGATGTCCACCTGCGCAATGCTTTGAACCACCGATGGAAAGAAAGATGCAATGAATGCGGACGCATTGAAATACAAAGAATCAGATCCCCCTCAGGCTATGCAATGATTTTCACCAGTGACCGAATCGAGGCAAGCCGAAAAACGCCATGTCGAATGCAGATGAAGAGACCAATTAGAAAATAGAGAGAATTGGTCAAACTACCTGATGGTGCCCCATTCAGCCAGTTTGCTGCCTTCCCGACGAGAGTCTCTTGTAGCTCGTCTATCAAAGATTTTCCAGAATCTGAGTGTTTCGTCACCTGCTCCTGTTACGACAGTCTGGCCGTCAGGGCTCATGGCGAGGTAAAGAACGCGGAAAGTGTGGCCGGTCAATGAAACTATTTGTTCCATACGCGGGTATTTCCATATGACGATTTGGTTCTGGCTGTAACCGTGTGTGCTGATGATCTCGTCCGAGTTTTTGGACCAAGAGAGATTGCAGACCTGGCTACCAGTGTCGACCTCTTTAATCATTGAGCCAGTTTGTGTGTTCCAGAACTTGATCGTGCGGTCAGCGGTACCGCCGCCAGAAGCCAGAAGATGATGTTGATGAGGAGACCATGCAATGGCCTTGACAGCAGCGTTGTGGCCAGAGAAACGGTAGAGGGGTGTCTCGCTCAGCTTATCCCAAACCATCAGTTTGTTGTCGTTGCCTCCGGATGCTAATTGACCATCTTCGGTGTTCCACTTCAACCCACACACTTCTTGTTTATGACCAGAAAGCTTTCGAATGTACTGGTCCGGAGACCGAACATCTCGGTGATAAATGAGGCGGTCTCGGGATCCGGATGTGAGAATGTGATCATTCCACGCCAAGGCACCAACTCGGTTGGTATGTCCAATCATGGTTCGTAGACGCCGGCAATGCTCAGCATCCCATATCTGTACCAGACCCTTGCCTGTGCCAATTGCAAGATGTGTACCCTGGAAGTCATAGAATTAGTATGATGTATGAAGTATCATCATGCAGATTCCTTGCTTACTCTTTGAATCCAGCTCACGCTGGTCACAGTATCATCTTTCAGCTCACACAACCTCGTAACTCCACCGGTGTGGGAGTTCCACATATAGACAGAGTTGGCCAATCCAACGCCGAGTATGTTGCTACTCCCCCAGTCCACCAGGTTCAAATAGAAGTCGTCTTGAAGATCTGGCGCATCCAAGACCTTGTAGGGCACCTTGTTTACATACCGGGCCTGTTTTCGAGGTGTTTCAAGAATACGCTGGCTGTCATAACGGATAGGAGAAAGACTGTAAAGTTCAGAGCGCACGTCTAAGTTGGGGCCATGCACACTTCGAGGTGTTTTAGAGGGGGTTGGATGTCCGGACCCCGGCCGTGAAGGTCCATAGTTGAAAAGGTTCTTGTGTGGGGTAGTGGGGGTGATGCTAGCAGGAGGAAGATTGGCAGTGATGTGAGCGGGAGGTGTATGGGATCGAGTCTTGTCATTTAGTCCATTGCTAAAGCCGAGCAATGGGTCAGATGGCGCAGAATTCAAATCGGGCTGCGGAACCGTATTTCCGAACAGTTCGCTGCGCAAAACCCGGGAAAACGTACGGTTGGCTTCCTCGGCTGCCGTTCAAAGTCAGTTCAAATGTACAACACAGTGGATTCCCATGTAAAACACACTCTTTTGAAAATGAAGTTCAGAGTGAGGGGGGCGTTTCTTGGCCTTGGAAGGAGTAGATGGGCAACCATCCTCGTGCAACAGGCTATACGTCGCCTGTAGATCTTGTCCGTCACGATTAGGAATAAACCTGAGTTATAGTCAGTAACTGAGTCACAAATGACTGCCTTTGCTGTCGCAGGCTTTCTTATTGAAGACGGGTAAAGTGTGACTTGCCGGTCCCCGTAGACCCGTTGTCTCTTGCGACATGGACTGGAGGCTGGTGTCCTGTCCCGCCGGCTGCCAGAAGTCTCATAGTCCTTCAATGCTTTTGCAAGCGCACTAGGGTCGATTGGCTCTGCTCCATCTTGCCGTTGGCGGCTGCCCGCGTTTGAGTTGTCTGGGAAGTACATTGTGCGCTTCGACGGCATGCTTGGTGGTGTCTTCGATCCAGGTGGTGATACAATGTTCGAGATTTGAGATACTTGAGGTCTGACTACCGACTTGTTTCCGGCCTTCTCTGAATTTTGAGGTCTGTCCGCCATGACGATACCTGGTTGTCTGTCCGAGACCAGAGACAAAGTGCAACCGATCAAGACAGAGATAAGAGTTGCATAAGATGGAAGTGAGGTATCCGTCAATCGACGTTGTCAACTGGTCGGAGATTCGAGCGTAGGGTCAAGGGTATTTGAAGGGCGATTCGCAGAGGGTCGGTGGTTGTTGATCCAGCGGTGGAATGATGGCTGCAGCTGTTGACGCCTGAAGATAGAATATGGTCCAGGATAAAGCACCAGCAGACCCTGTTTCACCAGGCAGTTCAACAAAGAAGTGTCTTAACTGCAGGCATGAGAATGAATGAACGTCTTCAAAGGAGTGACGGAGTTGCGCAGGGCGACTCTCTGGGTCACGCGTCGGGTACGCTAACCTGATTTAGCAAAGGCAATCGGGCCCTATCTACCAGATCAAATCAGTACTTGTCCTTGGCCTTGGACCACAATGATTTAGATCTGATTTACTTTTTCAAAAGTGCTATCTAGTTATTTGGTTCACTGTCACAAAGCAGACTCATGCTGGTATCCGAGGTTCTTATAACTGTCCTGTGTCAGCATGGCTTTGTTTCTAATTCCACACTGTTGGTCCTGTTGTTTTCTGGAAGTGACGCGCCAAACCCTGTCTAACTGGATCACTGAAGTGGGGGGAGGGGCGGGATTGTGAGGGGCCTGTACTCTGTATGGGCCGTTTTGTCAACGAAATTCTACCTCAAGACGGAGTACTCCGTAGAGTGCTTTGGTATGCGCGCTTGCTTCGACGCGACGCGACAAAGCTTGGGCCATGGCAACAACAACACCATTAGATTATGTCCAAAAGCTTCTATAGTGGAGTTGAGTATGCAACCAAGAATCTCTATGCTCCGTACTCCGTACACGTAACACTAATAACTGAAACCATTAACCATGCCTGAAGATCAATACATAGTTCTAGAACTACTACGGAGTAGTGCCCTCTGTTTCAGTGGTGGCTTTGTTACGTGACATTGCCATCCGCAGTCACCGCCAAACCGACAAAACCTCCGGCGGCAAAAGCCAAATTTTTCTTTTTGTGCCCCCTGCAAATGGTCCTCAGGCGTCTTGGTCCTAATATTACTGGTTGCTCTCAACGTTATTATACAATGGCTGCCAAGCAACCTGCTCTGGACTTCTTGTCCTTTGTGAATTCTGCTCCTACCCGTATGTAGTTCCCATCCGATGACGCGAAATGTCGCTGATCTGTCTCATCTACAGCTTTCCATGCCGTTCACGAAGCCAAGCAGCTTCTGGCTAAGGCTGGGTTCCAAGAAATCAAGGTCTGTTCAAACAAAATACTAGAGTAAAAAAAATGTGGCTCATCCATTAATAGGAGAGAGACTCTTGGGCGTCGACCTGCCAACCGGGAGGCAAGTACTACTTGACTCGCAACACTACTACGCTTGTGGCTTTTGCGATCGGCAAGCAATGGCAGGTATGTATAAATTTCGAACTCGAATAAAATCTCTTTCTGCCGGAGATTGATCATGAATACAGCCGGGCAATTCCATCTCTATGATCGGTGCCCACACTGATTCTCCGGTGTTGAGGGTCAAGCCCGTTAGCAAGAAGAGCGGGGAAGGTTTCGTCCAGGTCGGCGTTGAAACCTACGGTGGAGGCATCTGGCACACTTGTACATGCCATCGAGTGCCCTCAAATCATTACCAATGCTAATTGCACATAGGGTTTGATCGTGATCTGGGTGTCGCTGGTCGGGTAATGACTCGTGAAAGCGATGGATCCATTGTGCAGAAACTGGTCAAGATTGACCGCCCCAGTATGTTTTGTGTTGACCCGATGAATGCGCCTTGCTAACATGTTAGTCCTTCGTGTTCCTACACTGGCCATCCATCTGGACCGCCAGGAGAACTTTGCTTTTAACAAGGAAACACAGCTGTTCCCCATAGCTGGCCTTGTTGCTGCAGAGCTCAACCGCAATGGTGGAACCGACACCCCTGACACCGACAAGGGTGGTGAATTATTCTCACCATTGAAATCGGTCACAGAACGCCATCACTCTCACTTTGTTGAGCTTATTGCTTCTGAGGCTGGCGTCAACCCTAGCGATATTCTGGACTTTGAAATGATCCTGTTCGACACCCACAAGTCCTGCCTCGGCGGTTTGATGGAAGAATTCATCTTTTCCCCTCGCCTAGACAACCTGAATAGCACCTTTTGTGCTACTGTTGGTCTGATTGACTCTGTGGCCGACGAATCCGCCCTCGATGAGGAAGAAGCGATCCGCCTGATTGCCTTGTTTGACCACGAGGAAATCGGAAGCCGCACAGCACAGGGTGCGGACTCCAACATTCTCCCGTCGATTATTCGCCGTCTGTCTGTCCTCCCGTCCTCCTCCTCCAAGAGCACCGACCTGTCAACTGCCTATGAGCAGACTCTGTCCACCTCCTTCCTTGTCTCTGCCGATATGGCCCACTCGGTCAACCCTAACTATGCGGGCAAGTACGAGTCAGACCACAAGCCAGAGATCAACAAGGGCCCGGTGATTAAGATTAACGCCAACGCTCGCTATGCGACGAATTCTCCTGGAATTGTTCTCCTGGAGGAAATTGCGCGCAAGACCACCAAGGAGACTGGTGAGCACGTTCCTCTCCAGCTCTTTGTGGTTCGTAATGACTCCAGTTGTGGCAGCACCATAGGCCCAATGCTGTCTGCTGCGCTGGGCGCACGGACACTGGATTTGGGCAATCCCCAGCTCAGCATGCATAGTATCCGTGAAACAGGCGGTACCTATGATGTTGCCTATGCCATTCGTCTGTTCACTGGGTTCTTTAAGCATTACTCAGAGCTGTCGAAGACGATCCTTGTGGATTGAGCTTACCGCAAATAAGCGTATGAAGTAGCACAAAACATAAACTATATTCAAATAGAGTAGTATTCCGTTTTGAAGGATGGGGGTGTTGAATTGATAGTATTATAACAGAACATGTTGAAGACAATGAAACGTAGCTTGTCTACGTACCTTGGGAGAAGCACGTGGTCCGGACCGAGGAAAGTCCGTCTCGACACATCTTCGTCTCCAATCCTTCCCTGAATACCCCGGCTCACCAAGTCACGGGGAGTCTCCACCTTGACTCCTTTTACCTTCGCCTGTTGGAAATCTTCCAAGTCCTCATGACCCTCTATGACAGACGTTGATGCCTATCGGGATGCGGAATACATCGCTGACGTGTCCGGCATATCCAATGACGATACGGAGCTTCTGAGGCCAATAGGCACGCTCAGAAGCCAAAATGCGCGTGTGAAGAATGTGAAATCGGCTGCCAAAGTCGCCTTCATTGATCGATTGCTGCGCGATCTCGACATATTAATTTATTGTCAACTCTCCGCCCTATATTACATGGAGTAAGCCAAACCTTGAACCACATCAATAATATCCACCCCTCTTTCCGCTAAGACACACCTGTAACGTCTATCTCTCTCTATTTAGCTGTTCAATCGTCTTATTTGCCATACGTGCCATCGTCGAACTGATCTTCTTCACGCCAAAAGCACCTCCCTTTGAGCCCACACGCAGTCAGCCGTTTGTCAGCGCTATCATCGGCAGCAACCTCATCTGCATGCTCTTCCATGCCTTCCTGATTTGTCCCGAAGCTGGCGAGGAGACACGCGGCTATCTACATGGGGGACTGTTCATCGATTTCATTGGGCAGACTCCTGTCTCTGTTTACCGTCTCCTCTCCTTCGATTTTTTGATCTTTCTAATCGATATTATCATGCTGGGCTTAATAATCGAGCGGGTTAAGACTAATGGAACCCCTGCTCCAGCGCCTGCAACGTCGACACCAGATACGCACACAGATACAAGCCCAAACACGGAGGACTCCCAGCCACAAGACCACGATGCCGAAGAGCGTGGCATTCTGCGACAAGAGGATGGCGATGAAACAACGTCCGCTGTTCATAACAGTCCCGATTCACACTACAGTAGTGGCATCGACGAAGAGGTTGAAGAGGAGCGCACGACGCTCTTGGCCGACCCGGCAGACGCTGAATCCGGCAGTGGTGCTCGGGGTGAGCATCCGATGGATACTTTCGCAGCTGGCGAGGCCGTCATTGTCAATATGAGCTTCCTAGGCACACTTAGTGATCAATGGTGCCACTCAAATTCAGTGGTACGGTCAACGCCAGGCTTTGTGCCGTCTCCCGAAACGGCAACGTTTCTCCGGCAGCGTTTCGGTCTCCAGGTTGGGACCAATGGTCGCATAGAGCGTGCGAATACAACATGATGCAAAGTATCTAAGCCCCGCTAACTATGAATTTGTCCTTGTAAACTCCTATGAACAAAATCTTTACCATCATGCTTACAAATTGTTTCATGGGATCTATACAACATCACACCCTCTTGCCCAAGGATTTCGGATCTATTAGTGGACGGGATTAATTCTTCCTTGGGAAAAACCCTAAGGTTGCTATGAATCTAGATATGTCCAAGTAGGGCCCACAGATTCAAACGTAGTGGGAAACCAACCCCCACCCCGGGTAGGTGAGAGAAGATCATTCATGACTGATTTAATTAACACATAATCTTGCAAAGCAGCTGATAACCTCCTATGACCCATATAGGAGACATCGAGAATCCCTTGTTTATTCCGAAGCACCAGGGACACATTATGCAATTTACGCAGTAGGAGGCTTGGACTCTTCCCCGGCACCCTCCTTTCCCTGGACTCTACGTTCCAGGATTTCATCAATAACTCCCAGCTCGAGCGCTTCCTTAGCACCCATGAAGTAATCGCGCTCCATAAGCTTCTCGATCTCATCAAGGGACAACTGCTTCTTGCCAGTCAGGTGGCGTTGGTAGATCTCATTGAGCTGAGTGCGGACACGGAGGATCTCTTTCGCGTGGATGGCGATGTCGGATGCCTGTCCAAAGTAGCCGCCCGAGGGCTGGTGCACCATGATCGACGAGTGCGGGAGACAGTATCGTTTGCCAGCTTCGCCGCCGGCGAGAAGGAGAGAGCCCATCGAGGCTGCTTGGCCGACACAGATTGTGCTCACAGGAGAGGCGATATATGTCATTGTATCGTAGATTGCAAGGCCTATAGGATTATTAGTCAGAGTAGGTCGGTGATAGCCATTGGGGCAAGTCCACGTGCCAGCTGTTACTGAGCCTCCCGGAGAGTTGATGTAAAGGTGGATTGGTTTGGCAGGGTTATCGGCCTCGAGGAAGAGGAGCTGTGCGACTATCGATGCGGAGAGGGTATCGTCGACTTCGCCATTTAGACAGATGATGCGTTCCTGGAGGCTTGGTTAGCACGCGTAGGGTTTGGAGGGAGGGTCCTCCTAGATTCTCATTACCTTCATTAACCGAGAAAATATGTCATCTGTAGTGCACGATACAGGTTAGTGGGTTGATCGCGTTTCGGGTCATATGCGAGCTTCGTCGATGGATGCAATTGCGCAACATACAAGTGTGCCAGCCACCTCCCTATTCAATGATATCAGTACATGTGCGTTGAGTAACTTTTGTGCCCATATAGTATCAAACATACCACTGTCTCGGTCACGAATGGCGTCGGTGTCCAACTCCGCGGGGGCTGCGCAAGCGAGGGTCCTTGGTTTGAGAAGCATCGTGCGAATCTGGCGGCGGGCTGGGCGACAGCGACAGGAAAATTTTGAATGGACCTCCCTAGCTGGTGAAGAGAAAGCCTTGGAGGCATTTTTAAAAAGATGCAAAAGGATTTGTAGTTGTAGGGAGTTAGAGATGCAGAGTGGGGATTCGGAGACCATAAACGGTGAACTGTCTGAAACGATAAGAGCGGCGCCAAGATAAGGAGCTTAGGTGAACGGCAGCAGCAACAATGCCAGTGACAGTCTGGTACTACTTTCTCTGGATGATCGGATTCTTCTGGAGGAAATTTTTGATCTAGTATCTGAGAACCCTAACTAGCTTGTCCAACTCCCTGTAATGCTACTTGGCAATCACTGTTGGATCAACAACTGCTCCGCAAATTACAGACTCCGATTGGCTCCTGCCACGGTTCCGAGATCATCTTTTCCACCCTGAACTGAACTCGACTCACCATCAGTTCTATTTCCGCAGCCGTTCAAAAAAATGGAGTGTGTGGGCACCCGCATCTCATATGCAAAATGGCGCCTGAATACGTTCCGACAATTGTTGGCGACATCGCAAGCTCAGGCAGCTAGTCGGGGCATCTCGACCTCACGGCAAACCGACCAACGCAATAATACTGTGTTGGAAACAAAGACCGGCAATTCGAATCTGGACTCTCTTCTTCCTTCACAGCGACTCCCCCAGTCTCCTCTCCTCGCACGTCCTCGTCCTGGGACTGAGAAGAACCGCAAGAGACGCCCCACGACACAGGAGGAAGCTGACCTGCTCAAGAACCCATGGGCCCTAATGCTGGCTTCCCCGGCGCGCATGTGCTCTGTAACTGGTGCAAGGCTTCCATCTGCTCTTCTGGGGACTTGGGGACTTGTTACACAACCAAATTCAGTCAAGCTTCATATGATGCCTGTGGGTCTGCTGCACGACTCGCTGCAAAGCAACCAGACCACGAACCTCAGTCTATCATCAAAGACAGCCATCCTAAACCAGCAAAAAAGCCCAGCGATTGGGAACCAAGGCCTGCAAGGGAATCCCTTGAATTTATCACCAATTCCAACATTCCCAGATAAGCAGACTGGACGCCAGCTTGTGCTTCGCATTGCTGAGCTTCTTCCACTTATTCAATCCATTTCAGTGCCACTTTCTAAGAAGGGCGGGAAAAGGCCGCCGATTATGCGGTTGTTGCCGTTCCGATGGAGGCATCCCCAGGGCCCTGTGACGGCGCACGAAGAGAAAAGAATCGTCTGGTCGAGAGATATGCCGGAATTTTTACTGCAGAGTATGAGGAGTGTTGTTGCCAAGAAGCTAGATGCGGTCCTCGACAAATACAAGCGTGTCGGTACCCCCAATGGGGTCTGGAGGGCTCTGGATCTACCCGAGTACTCGGATGCTGCGCTGAAGGAGGCCCTGGGAAGTCTAGAGCGATTTGATCGTATGGAATGTGGTGGAGTCCTGCTTCTTGGCTCAAAGAATTACCCGGCTGCTGGGCATACATCTCAATCGAGCGTCTCTTTGGATTCGGTGACTCTCACGCAGACTGGATCCAAGATTCCTGTGTTTGATTTGTCAGTGATTTTCTCTGAGTCTGATATCAACAAACTCTGTGAAGCCCACAGTCAATTCCAACACACTGCATTGTTCTTTAGACCAGAGGATAAGCTCGGTATTGATGCGATGATATCCCTCTGGAAAGTTAAACGACTTCTTGATGGGGTTGATACGACAGAGCAATGAAGTCACCGTATCTTCAAATTAGGAAATGATCTATGCACTCATTTTCGACCATGTGCCGTGAGAAGCAGCATGTCGAACTGCCAGACCATAGTCATGGGGATCATGTCTGGGTGGATCCCACATCCATGTGAATCAGAGCCAAAATGTATGCCTGTGGGACATTGCATACCGACAGGAAGAGTGCAGCCTACGAAATGCGCTAGAGTACCCATCGTGGTAAAGGCTGTGGCGATGAGTGCGTGTTTACATTTGATCCAAATCAGTGTTCACAGTCCTCTTCCCCTTTTCTTCTCTGGCCAGTTGCTGATAAATTTTGTATGAGATTTGTTTCTGGTCATTCCAAAGTTGCACGTACATCACTTCAGCAGAGCCATTTGCCTGTGTTTCTGTCTTGCAGATCAGACCTCCGTCCCGGCCCGGTGCATATGATTAGAGCCATCATCACCAGTTTCTTAGAAATTCAATTCTCCCGCTTCTTATTCTTTCTCCATCAACATCAGATACCTGTTTCAACATATTTCTATCTCTTCCCAAGGTATCCAGCCCCTCAACGCTTATTAGCATAGCCTCACGAGCTAGATGAATAGACTTGCCTTGATGGCTGTTGTTGCTATCCAGAGTACATAGAATGCTGAAAATGAGGATGTAGTGGGCTAGGGGTTGATGAAGGTGATGTTTGATGGAGGGAAGGGGACCTAGATGCCCATCTATAGTCACGCTCGTAGATGCCTGACTAAAAGCTCCTCAGCGCGCTTTATCACCACGGCGATCTCTATGTCTCTCAATACTATCCTCTCGCATTGGGCTCAACAAGAATCGATCCCTATTAGTATTAAGAGAGTGAGAGTAACCGCATGTCTGGTTCGTAATTCAGTTTCACATGTGATAGAGGCACTCTCAAGTCCGTACGCTTCTTAATTTCCCAAAAGTCCTAACTTGATCTTTGCCTACCCATCGACTTCGCGAGTGTCGCGACACTCTTTTCTACTCTCTTTCTGCTATGGCTCGGCCGCGGGGGAAAACACACAGCCAATCCGACCACTTGACTATAACAAATCTTTCGGTGAATATTTGGGACCTAGGGGGCCATATCCCAGTCTAACATCGGCTTTTAACTAGTTCAACGCCGAACGCAACCCAAATCCCAACATTTCCTACCTTTCATCAAAATGTCTGGATGGGTAATAGCTGCAATAGATGCACTCAACTACGTGAGTGCAGTAAGCTTCACACCTGAGAACGACATCCCAGATCTGATCGGGAAGGTCGTCTTGATTACGGGCGGTGGGTTAAACCGTATATCACGGTGCATTGATACCGCATCTAACGCGATGCACATCCACAGGAAATGCAGGCTTAGGTAAAGAAACGATCCTCCAGCTGGCCAAGCACAATCCGGAGAGAATTTTCCTCGGTGCGCGTTCAAAAGCAAAGGCGGAGGATGCCATCGAGTCGGTGAAATCATCCGGATCAGATGATGTCGAAATTGTCTGGATACCGTTGGACTTGATGTCAGGTAAATCGATCAAGAACGCAGCGGAGCGAGTCAACGCTCAGTCGTCTCGTCTCGACATCCTGATTCTCAATGCTGGTGTGATGGCCCTGCCTCCTGGCGAAACAGAAATGGGTCATGAAATCCAGCTTGGCACGAATCATACCGGACACTTCTATCTTACCAAATTGCTGCTGCCAATACTGCTCAAGACGGCTGAGGAGCCGGGCTCGGATGTCCGCGTCGTGTCGCTCGCTTCTGTGGGGCATAACTTTGCGCCGGCATTTGAGAATATCTTGGATCAAGAGAAGCTCAAGAAGGCCAATACACTTGCTCGGTATGGCGCGTCGAAAGCTGCCAATATTCTCTTCGCTGCAGAATTGAGCAGGCGGTACCCGTCAATAACGTCGGTCGCTGTTCATCCAGGTATTATCGTAACGAATTTGTATGACGCTTTAAATTCGAGATCCGTCTTCACTGCCTTGGGTTCTAAGCTTCTGCGTTTATCGAGCTCGACAGTGCGCCAGGGTGCGTGTAACTCGCTGTGGGCTGCTGTTGGCGCAAAGAAGGAGGAGCTCACCAATGGAGGTTATTATGTTCCTGTTGGAATTTTGAAACGTCGAAACACGTGGGCATGCAATGAGGATATGGGAAAGCGATTATGGGAGTGGACTGAGTTGGAGCTCACAAAGGCTAATCTCTGATATGATATCACTTCATATCCCTTTCACTGTGTGGTTTCCAATTCTCTGTATTGGTTTCAGTATGAATAACATTACTATAGGTCTGATGGAGGTTCATTCTGACATTCATGAGTTGGAAAGACTACGAATCGGCAACTTTGACAACCAGCTTCCCGAGACCTCCCTTTCCACTATAAACCGTCTGGCATGCTGATCTCACTGCTTCAATGTCTGACAGCTCAACGGAGTTTCCAACTACTGTTCTCAGCTTGTTTTCCTCAACATACTTTCTCAACTCGTCCAGATCTTCACCACTCGATTCTAGAAACATGTATGAATACTCAACACCATAGCGCCATGCTCTTAGTTTACGGACCCAATCGAAAGCATTGAGTCCCATTCGTAGAGCAAAGGGAACGCCACCCTGTTGGGGAAGATCCATAAGTGAATATTCCTGGAGCTGATTACCCGATGGCATGGTCGCAACTGACACGATACATCCAGATTTTTGATTCATCAGGCAGAGGTACTCCAGTGCAGAACCCACTGTGTCGAAGAGGAAGTCCACAGAGCCAGATTTGATGACCTTTCTTGGGTCGATTTTTGTGTAGTCGATTACTATCAATTAGTAAGCAAGGGTTTATCCACGCGGAATGTGAGCTCTTACTTTCATCGACAGTCCCTTCGCCTAGGAGGTCGTTGATCTTATCCACCTTCGAGGTCGAAACTGTGGTGATGACCTTGCCTGCATGGAAGACATTCTTTGCCAATTGGCAAGCAAAAAGACCTGTTCCACTCACTTTCATCCAATTAGACTCATGTAAAACAGTTCGCAGGAGAAAAGCAACGTACAGCCGGCGGGCACAAAGACAGTCTTTTCAGTTAAATCTCCTTTGTATTTTCCGAGTGCTTGAAGTGCAGTCATTGCTGCCAGAGGGATTGAAGCTGCATCCTCAAATGACAATGACGGTGGCTTCAGGGCAATGTACTTCTCTGTACATTTGACAAATTCACTGCAAGATCCTAGTAGTCAAATATCAGTGGGATCCTTTTTGATCGTCGCATCAGTGTATACCTCGAGAAATCTCTGGTAATCTAGTATAGACTTCAGCTCCGACTTGAAGCCGGGTCACATCCGACCCAATCTCTGTGATTATGCCGGCACAGTCATAGCCGATTTTATAAGGGAAGCTTTTTTTGGTTAGGTCCACTTTTCGCAATGTACATGGGCTCACATACGTATCTTTCATCGCAAATTTCAGTAAACCATCGGCTTTCTTCACGTCGATCGGATTGATGCTCGCCGCATGAACCCTTATGATCACATCTTTTGGATCACTGATCTCCGGCTTGGCCAACTCAGAAAGCTGGTAGCCCGATGGCTTTGAGTATGATGGAATGCTCAAGGATAACATATTCGGTTGAGATCTTTTCGGGGGATGTGGAAATGAGAAAAAATAATTGTCGCGACCACACTATATATAAGTAAGGTCCAAATGCTGGATCCCTTCCCGTTGTAGTTCTCAGACCTTGCCGCTTTTTGCTTCGAGTCCAACCTCAATAAAAATGCCACCACGCTAGCCCGGCCACGTGCCACCTTCACTACAGCATCATCAGGATGACCATTCATCCCGGATTATCTTACTGCAGTCAATTGCACCACAATGGAGCCTCCATCTTGATCAACCAATCAGTACTATATTTCATCCATACGAAAGGCTCCTGGGAACATTCCTTCGAGTACCCTGTGATCTCCTAATCAGGCTGTGGAGACTATTGCCCCGGTGCTGTTAAGGCAATTGGATATATCTGCTTAGATATCGTGACAATCTTCACAGGATTTGACAGCAAAGCCATCTCTAGACCCAATAAGCTCACGCTTTTATTTGCAATCGTGATCTTGTTGTGAGGCGAAGAAGTTTCAGCTCTTAGGAGCCTGCGAGACTGACGATAGTTCCTAGACACGCAAGTTAAAATTGCCATGCCACTTTCTCATTGGCTCCATGCTCAACCAGAGTCCGAAGAATTTAGGCCACCTTTCAAGCCCGCAGATGACTCCACGGCATGCCAGAAATGAATGAGGGGTGTCATTCCAGACCGGATATCTTATTGGGTCATTCTCCATTGTGCCTTCGGTAAAATTATACATTCACCACGCTCTCCTCGTCAACAAGCTGTTCAATTTGAATACCACGCTCGGGTACTACAGTGACACTTTTCTTGGATTTTCTGGCTTCCAGAAGCACCGACGAATGCTGGCCTTATCTCAGCTTCTTTGAAATGACCGATGTCACTAACATCAGCATTGTTACTGCGCAATCCGCAAAAAAACTCTATAGGCCCCTCAGTAAGCAGGCAAGTGCAGACAAGGGTGGTAAAGACGGCCACGAGAGAAACAGCACCATGTTCATGGCGCTCTGAGCAATGTAAGGACGCTTGCGAGTGGCCGAAGCTTTCGCGCGAATTACCATGCCGCAAGCACATTTTTCAGCTGGATACGTGCTTAACACTAATGCATGTGCCAAATAGTCCCCTTCTAATATTAGCAGATCCATCCAATTCAATGATCCTTGATTATCTCCGCCGCACTCCACGTAGTATTGCATGGTAGGCATGATTGCGGGGCAGAGTCGGCAAGAATTTGCCATGTTAGTAGACCATTCACCCACCTGTGACTTTTACGCGTAAAAAGCAGCTTTTTCACAACATTGTTATATTAGTATAAAAGTAGAGAGGCTGCTCGATCCCTATGAACTATAGATCTCTGCACCTCACCCACCCCGTATCCTGTCTCACAAAATGAAGACCAGCATCACTATACTTCTTGGCGCGGCCTTTGTCGGTGTCAGCACCGCCTGCTCCACACCGGGCAACTTTATAGTCACTTTTTACGGCTACCCAGACAATTCTCCTCCTGGCCCCGCTACCGCCCACAATTGCGGAGGTCGAAATTACGTTGCCGGGGGTATGATGTTTCTTCAAACGACGACTGGTTCCTCTGGCTGATGATACGTGTGACAGGCTCCGGCACCTATGATGACCCCGTAACAATCGCAACTGCACCTGGCGAGCTCAACGTCTGCGAGATTGTTTATCTGCCGCTTCTAACCAAATATGGCCGTTACGAGGACGACTGTGCCCAGTGCAGTGAGTTTACAGATCTCCCAATGCTCCAGTCATCCCTTCGCTGACCGGCCTGAAGCCACCGACTACACCAACGGTAAATCTCATATTGACATCTGGACCGGCTCAACCAACACCAATGGTAGCCAGGGCCAGATTAGTTGCGAAGACAATCTCACCTTGGGCGGCCGCTACGCTATCGTGCGCGACCCACCGACATATTATGGCGTCAACAGTAAGTTCTTGACCGTCAATTGACATTTTGAGCTTGCGTTGATTTATTCCAGCTGCACCTCTCTTTGTGCCCCCTAACACCTGCAACACGCAGAACGTTTACCCCGATAACCCGGCCCATTGCTAGGTTATCGGTGACTTGGGCTATGGATGGGAATATGGCTTCTGCAAGCATGAAATGAAAATTTTAGCACCGCATGCTCTTGTGTGTTAGCATGTAGTTTGTCCAATTGAAGCGACCACCTTGAGAAGGATGTTGTTTAAGTCTATCTATACCAGTTAGCTCACCCAGTATCTGTAGACATAGCTCTGTGCGCTAGTCCACAAGCGAGAAGAACTGTGGTTCTCTTTTATGAAGAGTTCCATGGGAAGCGAGGTTTTTTTTGGGAGGCTCAGTGCTCATAATAAGACTCTAGCCTGGCGAGTCAGGTGATAGCACCTCATAGTCTCATGGATTTCAACAAAACATGTTAGGGGCCGTCCAATACCGAGATTCCGGCTTGTAGCCCAGCCCGCGATGGATTATTCGTTGGCAAGAAACTAAAACCCCAACCCAAAACCTGTGCAGCAATATGCCGGGTATGATGTGAAAAAGTAATAGTGAAATGTTCTACCATGCAGATGAAGAAAGGGCCCTGCAACATCGCAGCAAGGATAATTGGAACGGATTTGTAGTCAAGAGGGTGAACTTTGAACAACCTTGAAAGGCGAGATGATGCCTTTGATTTATGTCGTCCGCAGAGTAGAGACTTAAAATTCGAGACCAGGGTTGCCAAATTAGTGTTCTATCTTTCAAAAAAATTCATTCAGTTCGTTCTATTCTAGGCTTGTCTGAAGGAACAAATAATTATGCCCGGATATGAGTAAAACACGGAAACGCGACGAAAAGGCTCAAGAACAGCCTCAATCACTCTGAGGCTTCATTGAACTTGCAGTAATCAAAGTTGTTTTCACGATTACCTGCCCACGTTGGGAAAGAAACCGACTTTCCAGAACCACCGAAAACTGCAAATGTGGCCAAGAATACCATCACCTGTGTGCCACCGTCTAGTGCGGCGGACAAAAGGTAGTTCCACTTCATGAACCATTGCGGTCGGTAACGTCGCAGATAGAATTGACCGAAAGCTCCCAGAATGTAGTAGGTGGTGATGGAAGCATTCAGGCCAACAAAAAGTTCCCCAAGGTACCACAGAATGATGGATGTGTTGAGGTAAGACCAGATTCGCTGGTGAGGGAAGAAACGGTGCATGATGTAGAAGGGCAATGGAGCGAGGAAGCCGACCAAGTAAGCTGCTGTGACCCATTCGTAGCGAGCACCAATGGAAAACATTTTAGGTGCAATCGACCAAGCAATGGCGAGAGTGTTGAACTGCTGGACTTGGGCGCCGGACCAAATGTTCGTTCCTTCGGGAGACTTGATGATAGTTGCTTGGTTTTGAACAATGCTGAAGACAGGTTAGACTGGATGGCAATCTCATGAGGTTCTTGACTTACGTTATCATCATGACATAGTTGAGAAGGGCCCCCATGATACAACCGATGACCTGAGTGACAAACGTAGCTTTTGGTGACAATTTGTTCTGTTGGGCCAGTTTCAGATCACGGAGAAGCAGCAGTCCTTGCGAGATACCATTGTAGGTGTACGTAGTGAAGTACATGTTGGCTGAAATTTTGTCAGTGGAAAAAATATCAAAAGTTTTCAAAGCAGCGGAGTCGATACCTAAAGGACGTTCAGGCATCATGTAACCAGCAAGCATTTGGAAAATTGGCTGCAAGTTGTAACCGAAGCCCGTAATGGCATATTGCGCCCCAAAGAAGACCATAAAGACGAAAAGGAAGAGGGTTGCGACGATAAAGCCCCACCACGGAAGAGTGGACTTCATCACGTATAAGCATACGATACCAACGATCCAGCTGGCAGCAAATACTAAGAAATACCAACTGGTTGGAACTTCTTCATACTCAAGCATCAACTTGTAATGAGGGTCAATGGAAGGGTCCTGACGGATTCTTTCCTTCTCTTCCTCAGTGCGACCACCAGTGTGCCGCCAGAACATGTAAAGAGAAGGATCCAAAACCTTCTTCAAGTTGGTCAGTGTCATCCAAGTCCATCCAAGACTGACTTCGGCGTAATTCCAGAGGAACATGTGAACAAAAGTGGCAGTGAGCCCAGCGTTGGATGTGATAAGATAGTTCACGTATGTCGCGGTAAGGTAAGGTGTTCCCGTCTGATCAACGAGAGTGCCGTTCACAGTGAAGTCTGCATTCATAATAGCAGACTCATTGTATTGAACATGATTGGTCGTGTTTGAGCTCCCGTCATAGAGAAGCTGAGCCATGAAAGGGAAATCCTTGGCTCTCCAAACGTTTCCGTAGTAAAGTGCCATGGAGAGGGCAATGCCTCCGAGATAACCGATGAAACTGTTGACCAAAGTTTCAAGCGGCATCCAAAGTGGTGATCCGAACCCAGCAACATAATTCCAGTCAAAGCAAACAGACAGCAATCCCATGCCCTCATTACCCTGGGAGCCTCCGAACAGGTTGGTGAAGACGAGACTGTTTTGGTTGGCCAAGCAGAAAATGGAAACCGCAGACAAAAGTGGAAAGATGTACTAGCATGTTGTCAGAATCTGTAACGTGAATCGACCTGGTGGAGCAAACGTACCTCGGGGAACCACTCCCAGCAAAAGATTCCAACAAATACAATCCAGAACACCTTGAATCTCTGCCTGGTCTCGGCTTTGGGTTTATGCAAGATCTCCATGACAGTAGTGATTGGCAGGTTGATGGGATACAGCATGGCGGTCGGGCTCACCAAAATCTCCCGCATCATGCCTGCAATGCCATACCCAATGAGTTGCGAAGAAAGAGTGATGAAGATGCCTGCAGCTTCATTAGGATATCCTCCGTAATAGAGCTTTTGCGCAGCCAAAGCTTCTGTTGACAGGGCCGAGACGGCCGCCGCCGATGACATGAGAACTGCTGCAGTGTGTTCCTTTCGGTTCCAAGGGAAAGGGTTAAGAAAACGGCCAATAACACCTTTCCGTGGGATGAAGGTAGACATCGCTGTACCCAAGGTTTGCGCAAGGACGGTCAAGAACATGACTGAGACGTATACAACTTGAGGCTTGAAGTACATGATTTCTTGCAGAACCGCACCAAATGCGGACAACCCAAGACCTGATTTCGGGTAAGCGGGCATGTTGGATTATTACGAGGGATACCGCAATGACAGAGCTTACCAATGAAGAACATGCGAAATGTCCATGGATTGAGTGTTGGGTCATCGTCAAGGTCAATCACATGAGTGACGATATCCTTCGCGGTCGCAAAGGGAGCTGCATTCCCTTTAGAGAGACCTTCGGCGTCATCGTAATTCGACAGAGGCACTTCCTGAATAGAAGCGGCCTTGTTCATCTCTCCACCCTTGTCCCCAATCTTTTCGTTATTAATCCCTGCAGAGGATTCGCGCTCAACCAGGTTATCTGTTGGCGTAGGCGCCATGTTGAGAGACTGGCAGATGTTGTGATGTCTCAGAGGTGAGATACACTCAAGCCAATGGCCCCCCAAAATTTCCGGGTCGGGTCTTCTGATATATCTTTGAGCAAAAGCAAAAGTGGCACTACCATTTTAGCCCCGGTTTCCGGGGCTCGAGCATGCAACATAAGGTTTGATTAGCCAGGGAACCCAGCTCGTGGCAAGATAAGAGAGATATTGATCACAGTCTGTGGGAGGGAACTACTCCAAAAAGAGTAAGTCGCCACTCGCTTTCGATTCCGGTACCCCACCCGGGCTCAGTATCGCCGACGGGACGCCGAGCAATGGTCAAAAGGTCGACACTAGATACACCGCTTTGACGCCGATATAAATATCTAGTTCTCTCATCGGCGGATGTGGATTAGGAGTAGTTGTCTCCTTCGTCTGATATCGTAGAAAAGTAGTCCGTAAAATTTTTTTTTTTTTTGCTTAAACGTAATGTGGATTCAACGCTAGCCTATCTGTAGTCCAACAGGGAAGAGGAGGGGTCCGCCGGAAATGGGCTGCATTTGCAGGCCTTGAATTTCGTGTGGTACGGAGTACTCATAACATGAGACCGTGGGGATCTGTTGGCCGTCTTATCTGCGCTTTGACCAAGGAGCACCCTAGCATCCAAGGGAGCTTACAGTGGCTAAAACCAATATAATCAGTGGACGGGACCCCGACGGAGTCCGCGACTTAATCGAATCTCGAGGGGCCAGTGAGATAGTGCTTTATCAGCTTCTTTTCTCAACCTCAAACCGGGTTCCACCACAGTTGTCTGAAGAAAGAGCCTTCGACTAGGACAGGAGGGCAATCTACGGAGTATTCCGTACGGAGTCTTTGATCAACACATACTAAGCTAAGATTGTGAAGTCTGAATCCCTGACGCTAAGCTTTTTCCAAGACCAAATTCTATCTCTCTTAAGCTAATCCAAGCATTTCAGTCTCGAAATTAAGCCAATCCAAGCCTTCATCAAGCATTTTTCAAGCATTCTTGTCTCGGAAAGGCTCCGCCAAAATACCACGTAAGCGACGCCACTGCGGGGTCAGCGTCGCCGATTTCGGTCTTCTGCTTCGCACTTGTGAATTTGACTCTTTTCATTCTTTTGCTTTCCTCTTAGCCTTTCAAGGTATCTATAGCTTTGAAGTCAAAGGGTGTCAGTCTTAGGTTTTTTTTTTTTTTTTTTTCGTTAGTCGTCGGTTACATGATGGGTGCCATCGCCGTGTTGGTATCATATGTCGTAGTTCTCTGCTGTCTCACGGCAGTGGCCTGAATAGGAACGATTTCCACCTGAGGTTCGACTTTGCCCTTCCGTAATTGGCAGTGTGGGGCTGCTCATCAGGATTTTCTGGCACTCCAGTGACCAGCCCCGCTGGTGGGCAAATTGCTCGCACATTGATCCTAGCGTCTTCCTGGGCTAGCAGCTCGGGCAAACTCGTAAAAAAGCCCCGGGAGAAGTGCCCAATGAAGACTGGCTTATATCATCTTAATCACATAAGGTTCCTAGAATCCCTACATTCCCTAAATCCCTAGTCCTTATAGGGCCCTATGGTGTACAACATAATAGAGAATAACTTGTAGAGGTGACATTAAACTGCCAAGATTGTATAAGCGAGCCTTGGTAACTATGTTGTAAGTCTCCCGGTGGTTGATTCGTGTGCCCGAGCTGCTAGCCCAGGAAGACGCCAACATCCATCCGAGTCTCGTGCGATTTTGCCAGCAAGTCCTAGCACCTCAGGCGAAAACTTTTCTGTGATGTGCTCTGGGGCACAGAAGGACCGCCGAAAAATTGGTCTAACCGTGGATATGAGTAGTCCAGTGCCAAAGTCTGTGCCTGAGCGGGAGGAACCGTTGCATCCAACTCGCCGAATGCAGGAAACATCGGAATCAAAATCCCAAGGAAACCAAAGCCATCAATGTCGTACAAATACGGAGTACTCCGTATTTAGCACTGGTTTCCCAATTTAAAGCCATTTCCGGAGGACGGAGTACTCCGTGGACGCATGGTTCATTGCATATTCCAATTGTGGAGAATGTGTTTTGAGACGACCAATCAGAAATTCTTCGAGAAAAACCAAGTGACAAGAGGCGATTGTGTCACCTTCCTTGGAGATCATGAGTCATCCTTCTCTTCTCCATCATCAAGCGAACAATGGCAGTCATAACGGCACCCGAGGAGGATTCAATCATGCCACCAAAAGGACTGTTAACCAGAGCCAAAAGTATCTGCTTGACGCATCTGTCCCAGCCTTTGATCTTGTCATTCTCTAGCTCCTCATAGTCCCCAAACCCTTAGGTCCTATGTTGTAGGTGTCATCTGCGTCCGGGTAGGCCTGTAAGACACCAAGGAAATGCTCCAACTTCAACTGAGTGACATAGCACGGGATTCTTCTCTCATGGACCGTGCGTTCAGTTGGATAATCCCAGCGGATTTCCCATATCCTGGAACCCTAAGCTCCCATTCGGCATGGATTCGTGACAATCTACCGTGAAAGTTAAGATTTGTTGAGCCTTTTGAAGCCATCCGATGTTTACTATGTTGTAGGAAGTGGGTGTCCCATTCGTTTGACATTTCTAGCGCACGCGTGCATAGAATCTCACTTCATCGAGGGTTCAACAGCAGGATAGCACATCCTCTTGGTCTTTGGTACCCTTCTATCTCTATCACAGATGGAGTTCCTATCTGCATCAGCGCCTGAAACATAGCCGCTCTATTCGAAAGTTATTGGTGCAGATCTTTGGCGAGAAAACACTGTTAAGCAAAGAAGAGCTTTTGATCCATGACTAGGATAAGAAAATTTCTAGAGCAGTGCTCAGACGTAATTGAAGCACGAAGAAAAACGAGTTACGAATTAAGGAGGACAGTGTGCCAGTGACCTAGGGAAAGACTAAAGCTCCAATTTTTGCCTACCGGACTACGCAACGGCAGCCGTAGATTAAACGGGCAATGGGATATTCCTCTTGTATCCCGAGATAATCGATTAAAACCATGCCTCCGTTTTGGTATCATCTCGTTCCATCGGGGGCCGGGGATGGGGGTAGAGGAGGACCTCAAGAGATTGAAGCTGGTGAGGCCATCAGAGAGGAATTATTAGACTAACCGCATTGTGGGACCTGATGCCCATTTGAGTATATCTCTGGCGTGACTGAGCGCTCACAAGATGCCTACCTATGTTGTAGGTAGGTACAACACATATTGTGATGTCAGACGCTTGAGCCATCAGTGGACCTGACTAGCGAATCATGGAATCTTCTGTCTAAGCCTGTGTAATCCCGTAGACTCATTAGGCCGCTACTTCTGTTGGATTATATAAGACCATTAACCCGCCAAAAGATCACAAGGACAGATATAATCTGTTTGTCAAATTTTTTGTCATTGCAGCGGCATATGTATTAGCTCCTAACATTCGTCAGGGACCCAACTTCTTTGAACGCAAAGCGGCATCAGCGTTCCATCTGGCGCCGTGCCAAGTGCTGAAAGTATTCAACATGTCACGAGTCTCTGTCAATTCTTTTACGATGGCACATCACGGCGATCTAATGAACACGGTATCTTGAAGACCTCGTCCATTAGATTGTGCTCGAAATCACTAGCGATGTAGGAAGATGTGTTTGACTTCTTGGGTGGCAGGTAGTCTTTCATGCTGAGTCGCCCCACAGATAACTACAACATTTTCTCAACTCAAAGCATTTCATGAGATGGAACTCGCAATCAAACGCCTAGGAGCCGTTGAAGAGCCATAACATAACTCCGTACCTATAAGTTACATAGCGAAGCTCTTGCCTAGGTGGTGATCCCGAGTTTGTAAGCCGGGCGAACCTTCCAAGGTTGGAAGCATGCAGGTCCACGGTGGATGTGTCGTCTTGGACCCTTTTCCTGCTTGCTACCCATAGATATCATTGATTCACTCAACCCGAAATTCACCACAGCGTTTTAAACGCAAGCTATACTATAAGTGCCAAATGACTTGGAGAAGTCATTGGACGGGATTGACTTGACAGTCACTATGTTTTTCACTCTGCGATGTGATGTACTAGGTCTTCTATTAGAAACCCTAATCACTGGACTATGTTGATCACACACGGCACGAAGTAGACCTATATATCATGTGCGATGCCGGTGAACGATACTGGTATGAAGGTCCTGCAAGCACGAGCCCTGCGCTGGCCATGATAGATGGAGCGAACACAACTCAGACTGATTACGGTTGACTGTTTGCTCTGTCACTGCGCCAAGGAAGATCCTAATATCAAAAGATGTACTCTTTATACGCATGATGACAGGCTTCTCCCTATGTTGTACAGAATAGTCCGTTCATCGTACATCATCGACAGGGGAAAGGGGCTGGGATTCTCAGGGGCTGGTTAGTAGGAGGCTGTTCGGTCTGATCATTTGAATTGAAAAAGATGGCTGTCAAAGTATAGCTAATGCGGCAAGTAACGATCATGGATCTTCCCGAGGGACCACAAAGCACCAGTCACCCCTGAGATCTGTCCGGAGTACTCCGTATGCGCTTTTGCATCCATTTAGGCTACGCGTTGGGAGCAGTAGAAATGGGGTTTCAAACCAGATCATCCATGGGAAATTGATGATTGCTATTCTGTACATCACATTCATGGTGTACCTTTATGATCTTGAACTAATTCGAGTTCTCTAGGCATGGGCTGATGCCTGTAGGCTCGAGCATTGCCCAGCCTCAGTCTCAGCCACATTCTATTTTGAAAATCCACCACTGTATCATATACTCTCGCCGTACGGAGTATGGAGGACTTCGTACTCACCATCGATCAATTCTTTGAAATCAAAGTAGCGGATCAAGATTACCATTTTGATAAATCCAAAGCGTATGTGTAAAACGATATGGAGAATTCGAATTACTGTCTTGTAAACCGAGTTGCTACGTGCATAGTGTAGTTATGGGGATCCAAAACACTTGAGTTACAGCATGCTGTCTCAAAGTGTCGGATGCTAGCAGTGTTCGCCACATCTTGGCGTTTCCGACTTCGACAACGGAAGCCAAGAGCGGGCAGCGCTAATTTCGGCGATCAGGTCGCCGTTGGTGAAGAAATTTATCTTCATCAAATGTGTATGTTGTATTTTCCTTGAAGATAAAAACCAACTACAATATCTACGTGGGGACATAGAACATTCAAAATTTGAAGGTTGTTGTGGGCCCTTTGCAGGACTCAACACGTATGTTGTACTCCGTATATTTGGACCCTTTCTATGTTCGCTATCTACAATACCAGAGATTTTTTTGTTCAAAAGATCGATCGTGTTTGCCATTTGACCGTGCTGCAAAGTGATCATAGATCACTGACTGGTGACTGGCCTCTTATCTCATACTTCTGGTTAGGTGAATGCGGAGCAGGTGTTCCGTTCATCACTGTCATGCCTCCTGCGTAAAAATGTTCGTTTTGAACTGCATAAATCAGCCTCGGAAGTCCGAAGCTACATTTGCGATGAAGGCTAGGCACCGGAGACGGTCGATCTAACCGAAATCGCTGCTTGATAGATTCAGGACTACTCCGAAGAGGAAGTGTACAACATATTCCATAAACTCTCCGAGATAGAAGTGAAGGGGATCTTCTTTCACCTTCTGCTGTGGCTAGGCGACAAGTTCACATTACCAGCTGAAAGAACTTCGTTTTACCGGCGAGCCGGCGAACAAGCTGATCGTCCCCACTGCCCTACAAAGTACAACGACCTTCACAACGACATCATGTCCGTGTCCGTAGTAACCAACAACAACATATGACTCCTGTATTAATAATTGCGGGGTTGGATGTGGGCATTGCAAGCGAGAAAAAGGGAAGCTAGCGATGCCACTGTAGCCCGGGTAGAACTATGATGCATGATTTCGTGGTCCTACTAGAGCTGAATGGAATCGATTGAGGTCATCTACTCTATCCCATGGGTAATCAGCCCGTAAGAAAATACGAAAAAGAAGAGGAGATTGGGCTTTGTTTGAGACCTCGGATGAGTGAAGCAGGCTGCCTGAGAAACCAGGCCACAATCAGCAACGCCTCGGTTATTTGGACATTTCAAACCCTACAGATTCCCCCTAGCCTCTTTGTTTGTCTTATTTTGTGAAACAGATAAAGGCTCCACATCCTTAGTCCCAAAGCGACTTCTTTTACTCGAGTTCAAGTCCGAATACGATTTAAATGCTGGATGTATGGATACCCGTCACATGCTATTAACCCCTGGAAGCATCCATGAGAATTATCTAGGTACCAGGGGAGAAATTCAGGAACACAACCCACAACCAACCGGAATACAAAAGGACAAAGTCTCTCGTGTCTGATCAGCCGCTCGAAGGGCCAGAAGAGGAGGCAAAAAGAACGAACTTTGCCATCGGAGTTCCACATGGATGTTCCTAGCCTCCCCACAGGGCCAATCACATTCCCACAAACGGGGTGATGAGCGCCAATGAACACCAATGAACGCCATCATCTACTCAAAGGACCAACTAGGCTCGCGCGCAGGGGCTAAATGTCATCTGAAACCGGCCAGTGGCTCCATAACCAGGCGACTGGGTCCCCTCTCGGGCAGTGTTTCAGCCCTTACAGGTACTGTACCCTCTGGCGCAAGGCCCAAAGCCCGCCATTGGGCCACTTTTGCAGCCACTTCAGAACATAGTTCGATTCCGCTGCGGGCCTCGACTGATCACTTTACCAAACGAGAAAGGAAGGGCAAAGGGCACACAGCTACTCGTGAGTACATATACTTTCGTTCCCCGTCTCCTTGTTCTTTCTTTCGACCGTGCAAGCAGGGCTTCTTCCACAGTTCTACATCTTTTCTTTGTCGCTTCAATTTCGTCGTTCCCTCATTCCCTCTATCAAAATGTACTTTCCTTCATTGGTATGTCTCTACTTTGCGTCGCAGCGTGGCCCATGGCCCTGCCTCAACCAACAATGCAAGTCGCTAATTTCGCAAGTAGATCCTGGCTGCTGGCAGCCTGTCTACTCTCATTCAAGCCATTCCTCATGGTGCCAAGGCCCATCACTCCTTTCACCGTCGCGCCGCTGCCACCTATGCTGTCATGGGCGGTAACGGAGAGGTCTCCGACGGATGGCCTTCCATGAGCCAGTGGTTGGAGTACGAGACTCTGTAAGTTAAGCGATCCGATAAGAGAAGCAGATCGTCGAGCTGAACGTTTCTCCTTCTAGCTGGGGTCTCAATCAAATTCTTATTGCCGCATCATGCGACAACTCTGACGACGAAACAAGCGACATCAACACTAGCATCAAGTCGATCGCTAGCGAAACCGGCGTGGACGCTCGATTCATCCTTGCAATTATTATGCAAGAAAGCAAGGGCTGCGTTCGTGTTCAGTCCACCAACAACGGTGTCGAGAACACTGGTCTCATGCAAAGTCACGATGGCGAGGGCTCCTGCAACAAGGATGGCAGCAAAACGACTCCCTGCCCCTCCTCCATGATCAACCTGATGATCCAAGACGGCACCGCTGGAACTAGCCAGGGCGACGGTCTCAAGCAGTGCTATGAGGCCCAGACCGGCGGCACTGCGGCCAAATACTACAAGGCCGCCCGCAGATACAACTCTGGCTCTATCGCCCCGTCTGGCAACCTCGGCCAAGGTGGCGCAACCCACTGCTACGCCTCTGACATCGCCAACCGTGTCCGCGGCTGGGCCGGTGACGTGAGCGAGTGCGTTGAATCTACCATTGGAACCATTTCTAGCGGTGCGGAGCCGGTCCCCCTCGGTGGTGACGACGCCTCAAGCAGCTCTTCCACCTCAACCGCTGCTGAGCAGCCCACGGAGACTGCTGAGCCTATCCAGACCTCCAGTGCTGCAGAGCAGCCTGCCGAGACTACCGAGCCTACCCAAGCCTCCTCCGCGTCTGCCGAAGCCGCCCAGGCAGCCGAGACATCGTCCGTCGCATTCTCCGCCACAACCACTGAGACAACCTCCGTGGCACCCGCCACAGCTTGGACTCCCAACGCAAACGTGCACTCGGCCGCGCCGACCACCACCCCCACACCATCCTGGACAACTAGGTCCGCGCCAGCCGCAACCACTGCACCGGCAGCCCCCAGCTCAACCGAAACAGCCCCTCTTTACCCCTACGCGTCCTCATCGTGCCAAAAATACTACACCGTCGCAGAGGGCGATTACTGCGCCAAGTTGACCGACACTATCGGAGTCACTTTCCCCGATCTCCGCAGCTTGAACCCTGGCCTCGACGAGCAGTGTTCGAATTTATGGCTCGGATATCAGTACTGCATCCAGGCTTAAGTTCGAGTCTCGGATTGATCTACCGTTGGATCGATCTGCCACCTTCGTTTATTTCCCCGAACGTTTTTGGGGCTCCTTTTACCCTTCTTTTCTCTCCTTAAGGCGGTGCCTTCTTTGTACATAGCATGAGCTTGCTCTGGAAAAAACTGGCTTTGAGCGATGCTGGCACTCGCCCAAGGTCTTTTTTTTTTACGTATGAATGACACTAGCGACCATTTTTTTTTTCACAATCTTCGATCATGATAAAGCATGTGTAAATGATTGGAAACTCTTCTTCGGTAGGCTTTTAACTGGGTAAGCCAAGTGCTGCTTGGAGTTGACAAGTTGCTTGCCGCTCGCTTGGAAGACCCACGCACGTGCATTACGCATTGCAGCAGTTCTGCAACCATTCTCGCAGGGATAACCGCTCTCTTCCAACAGAAGCGGTGAAATCACAGAGGCGTATTTTCAGTCTCCGGCAAGGGAAATATCCGAGTAGTTGTGGTGTTGTGTGAAGCCCCACATCCGTCAAGGGTGGCTTGTCAGTGGAAATCAAGGGTTGGTCACAAATGAAGACAAAGAGATTGACTTTGTGGTCTTGTGGAAGGCATTGGGAAAAGTGACAAAGCCAGTTTTTGGAAGAAACATCAACGTCTCTGCCAAAGCCTCGAAAGTGAAGAACATGGCCATGAATGCGTCATGACTTATTTCAGTTCAAACCCTGCTCACCTTTCCATGCTCTGCCCTTCTATTCAGCGATTCAACTTTTACGAATAACCCAACAGCCAGCACGAATGCCAAGCAACTCTCAATATAATGCAACCAGGTATGTTCAGCTAGAGACTTGGGGGCTTCCTGAGTGGGAGGTGAGGGGCCACACATGCGTTCATGTTGTGACAGTGTATTCCCACGGGAGAGATAGGACATATGCTAGCGAAAAGCTCATGCAAAGTGTGATTGGTCGAGTCAAGAATGGAAAAGCCGAGGTCAGCCTTGGGCCTCTTCATCGCCTCACTCCGCGGTGTGATGCCCCGAGTGCGGTTGTTCTTGCAACCGCTAGAGTAGTTGCAGAGACGCGTTCGAATGAGGTCTGTCGGAAGGAAAGTTTTTTTTAGAGGGAGTAGTCCTTCTCATCATGCGTGGAATAGCAATTAGGACGGATTTAAATGACCGCCTCCCGGAGGCGGTCAGTATTGCCGTCGGGCCAGGACTATATGTTCCTACCCTTCATGTTTTATTAGTTTCCTGAAGAAATCCATCCTAGGAGTTCAGTTTATCTCTTTCACCCATCAGTTTGCTTTAAGTCCTTTGGATTTTCCCTTCTGTTAGAAATCAGTAAAGTGGTCCATCTGGAAGGCATCAGGCAAGAATCTCTGGAGGGGAAGCTGACTCGCTGAGGGTGGGTCAGGTTTCGGCCTGACAAGGTCCACCAAGGGTTTGTAGAGATCGATATGGATCTTCTTTTTGGCCGTGAACATTAGATTACCATGCTTCGATTATTCTCGAACTTTTTATCTTGGCTTGTATGATGTGAATAAACTTCTTTGGACATCATCCATCTAGAGTAGAACATTCTACTCACTTGAAAGGCCTACATCTGAGTCTGACCGACTGTTTGAATGAGATTGACACGACAAGCAATACATGGACTACCTCGTCTATAAGTTCCTGCCATAATGATAACCTTCCCACCGTACAGAATGTAGTGTAAATTAGCAACCGAAAGTCTAATTTTTCAACTGATGTTCTTCTCCTTCCACAGCAAGTCTAATGACCTCCTTGTTCAACTCCTCCCAGAGAGTCCGTCCCTTGATAACCCAATTCAAAAAATTCAAAAAATTCAAAAAAGTCGTGACATCCAAAATTGGTATTGCATAATTCATTTTCTCGCCAGTAACCGGTAACGCTGACGGGAATGCGAGCCAGACTGTTACCCAATCAGTCTACACTAAAGCAAAGATATTGACTGGAAATCCCCAAATTCCCATCTTCCAATTCCCAAGGGGCGCCGCATGCTTTTGAAGCCGATTGTGCTACATGCAACAGATGGCAATGAAAGATAACACAAAGAAACCAATCGATCCGAGTGCTACGAATGCCCCAAAGGCGGCACCGTCAGCAATGTTCAAATACGCCAAAAGCATGACAACACGTTACTTCTCCCTTCCAAAGAGAGCATTTTAAAGCGCTTCAGATATTCTCGGCAGGGCAAAAAGCGGTTGTTGATGACGGGAAACAAAGCATCAGACAAGTCTCAAAGGAAGATCGGAGAATGAACAAGCAAAACTCGCGTAAGGGCCATGGATTTAAAAACAAGGATCATGCAGAATCCCTGTCTCACACTGGATTGTCCCTATCTTGCCTGGATGGGACTGGCGTATGCTGCAGCACCAATAATTGGCCTGCTTTGGAGGTGGGACCAGAAGATGCACGGTTGTGGAACTTGGAATAGACCGGTCAGTCACAATACAGGATTCATCGTACTCGTGCACCTTCGGTGGTGTGGAAGATCCAATAGAGAACCCCACAGAATGATCCTCGGAGGATGGTTGGTTTCTCCATACATCATATAATGTCTCTGCTAATCTACGGCATAACCAGGATCATGTTCAACTATGTCCAACAACAATCTTTCGACTGCCATGTCGTCCAGTTTAACTGTTCTCTTGCCACCACTCTTTCCTATCTCTGATAATAATCGTAGTGCTTGGATTATCACTGTAAGCACTGTCCTACTTATTCTCACTCTCCTTCCGACAACAGTGGCCTTGATATCTCGCATCCGTATTTTTGCGCAAAGTTTTCTGGAGTGACTCAACGTTATTTCTCCGTTGTGTAAGTAGCTTTGCCTGCTGTGGTTCCTTTTTTTTTCTAGTTATTCCAACAGATTGAATTTCTTCTTCGGACTGTGTGTGTGTGTGTGTGTGTGTGTGTGTGAATTTAGCCATCTCCTAAGGCATTGGCAAACACCGGTATGCATTGAGCAATGCCTCATTTGAAAAATACAGCAAGGCAAGGTAATTTAACGCGTCGCACAATCCTTGGGTCTATATTCTCACATATGGAAGACAGTCTTCGCTCGTCAACTCCTCACCATTCTCGTCTTGGGATGTTTTAAAGCCGCCGTTGAACTACCAGTCCTATCCTTGCAACCCTTTGAGAAAATCACCCTTGCGTGCAAGATCGCTTTGGGCTTGATCAGTCTGCCTTACTATGTCAATTTCAGATAACACAGTGGAAGCGCCATCAAATCCCTGCCTTGTTTGCGGTGCGGATCTTGTGACTTTATCTTTTAACCTCAACGAAATCCCTGTCTAATTAAAAGCAGAGTTCTAGCCCTGACCACTGCTGGCCTATGTTCTCTCCGATTGCTCTATAACTCCAAGCCCCTAGATCAAACATGGAATGCTCTCATGTCAGGTTTTTGGCTACAATTAATCCTCGGCGCCTCAATTCTTTGCACATGCATTCCAACTCTTCAGCGTGTTCTTGCCGAGCTCCAGACAGGCAGGATAGCCGGCGTGGTTTCGGACTTTTTGGAGCATTCCGTCTTGGCTCACACCAATTCAGGAGATTGATCAGCATCCGTGTCTGACAATTCCATGGGGCAGAGATCAGGGACAGGATCAGGGTCGGCGTCCCGCTCCCTAGTCCTAAGAGACTCGCTGGATGTCGAGTCCATGGAATTCCAAAAGAACCTACGCAAAGATGCAAATGTGCAAGCGATGGACTATGGGGCTTTTTATGAAGGGCCTGATTCTTCCAAGGCATTATCTTCCCATGGCTATGAGAGCGATGATCAGAGGACCTTCTATCTGATGAAGCCTCAAAGCGGTCCCGCTAAAAGGCTGTGCAAATATGTCTTGAGGTTTTCCACCATCAATCTGCGTTAGATAGGGTTGTCGATGTCTGACGAAATCTCGTTCGAACATGTTGGATGGCATCTCCTTACCCTCGTACAAGGTTGCAGAAGTGACGTGCAAATCAGAGATAACTCGAGCATCTGGTGCCTACATTGTGCTCCCCAGAGCATCTTCATTTTCGCCCCACATGGAGCTATGCATATCAAGTCTAGGCCTCAGCGATGGATGATCGTCTCGGAACCTGGCCGGGTTCTGTGATGAAGAAATGATCGTATGAATAAATTCAGATTATGCTTTCAAATGGCTCATTTCAGTAAATTGAATTGGTTAAAAGTTGAAACATAGATGGATCGTAGTGAGCATTGTTGAATCACGATAGAGAACGAGGACTTGGCAAGGCAAATTTTATAAACATCTATTCGACAGGAATAGAAGAGTTCTAAGAAGGATGTAGCGTGTCAACCCTTTTTTTTTGATCTTTACTAAACAACGAGAGACAACGTCTTTTAAATTATAGGTCAAACTCCGGCCCTCTACAGGCTATACACACAAGTTGATTCCATCCATTGTATCTCCGAGGCATCTTCTCATTACGCGATCATCGATGCTCTAACATTTGAACTTGACCGACTAGCAAAAGGTTTTACATGGCCTCTACTGTCCAGTGTATCAACGAGGGCACAGGGGATGATAACACGGGTATCTTCGAAATTGTTCCCCTTGACAAAAGTCAGCTCGTGGTAAAAGACGCAAGGCAGACCCCTCCGCATCGACAATGCATGGGCTTCGCCAGGCTAATTATCCTTTTACCATGCTTGACAAGATCTTCATAGCTCCTTGCACGACTCTGATCCTACCGGGAGAACTGCCAATTGTCACGACTGAGTCACCACTGGTGCCACAGTCAACAATTCCTCGGATTTTATGCTTTCGTGATCGAGGATGAGCTGTAATGATCTCGATTACAATCTAGAACTGGGCAAACCTGAAGCGGTGCAAAGACCTCAAATTACCCCTTTCGAGGGCTTGGGGGTATTTTTTTGATCAGCTGCTGGTGAGATGCCTGTTGGTATTCGTCTGAGAGATGAAGATTGGGGGCGTTTAAAAGGTCGACTGGGAGTCTACTGAGTATACTAAATATTGGGTAGTATGTTTTTCTTTGAAGCCATATGAACTATCAAAACGTTCTTCTAACCCAATCCATAGATATATCCATGGACACATCCATGGATACTATCAGGTACGTAGTTGAGGGTGTGCCATAGCATCCACTGTCGATCACCGTCTCCGCATTCCGTCATGTCTCCGCATTTGGGAACTCGGAGTCTCCTTCCTTCACCTCTCTCCCTCTCTGCCCTTTTACTTGATTCCTTGCGATAACACTATATAGGTCTACGTTTAATCATACCAAAACGTCTAATTTCTTGTCTCTGCTTCCTAACAATCTGAAACCGTCATCATGGGTGGGGAAGTTCCCTTTCGCCCCGCTCCTCCAGCTTTACCCCAGTTAGCTGAACGCCCGGTCGGCCATCGAATCAAGAAGATTTACACCGATCGCCTGAAACAGTTCACAACAACTGGCCAGTATGAAGGCCAGAACCTTGTTTCAAAGTACTACGAAGCCACAAACTCGGACGAAGATCATGTCGAGCTCTCTGTTTACTCGGTTCCGGACCTGCAGCGACCGAGCTTCAAAGAGGCGACGGCTCAGGAGTTTAAACCAACTCACATAGGAGCTTCTTTTGGCCCTAGTTGGTCCACACATTGGTTCCGAATTCATCTCACAGTGCCTGAGGACATGCTCAAACGGGAGCATCTAGAGTTCCACTGGGATGCCAACAACGAAGGTCTGATATGGACAGACGACGGTCACCCGCTACAGGGCTTGACTGGAGGCGGAGAACGGACCGAGTTTGTTCTCCCCAAAGACTGGTGTGATGGAAAGAGGCATACCTTCTACATTGAAATGGCCTGCAATGGCATGTTTGGCAACGCTCCTGGTGGCGATTCGATCCAGCCACCAAATCCCGATAAGCACTTCACCCTCAGCACTGCAAGAATTACTGCAGTAAACCTAGCTGCCCGAGCACTTTACTATGATTTCTGGATTATTGGGGATGCCGCCAGGGAATTCCCGGGTGAGTCATGGGAGTCGCATGAAGCCAATGTCGTGGCTAATTCCATCATCGATACCTTCATTGCCGGTAACGGAAGTAATGAGTCTATTAACGAGGCGCGCAAGATTGCAAGAAGATATCTTGGCAATAAAGTAGATTCGCCCGATGTCTACGACACACACTTGCAGCCAATAGTTTATGCAATTGGCCATTGTCACATTGATACTTGCTGGCTGTGGCCTTGGGCTGAGACGAAGCGAAAAGTAGCACGGTCGTGGTCTAACCAATGTGATCTGATGGAAAGGTATCCTGAGCACCGTTTTGCTTGCTCTCAGGCTCAACAGTTCAAATGGCTTAAGCAGTACTACCCATCCATCTTTGATCGCGTGAAGCGCTGGGTAAAGAAGGGAAACTTTCAGCCTATCGGAGGGAGCTGGGTCGAGCACGATACCAACATGCCAAGTGGAGAGTCACTGGTCAGACAGTTTTTGTATGGACAACGGTTCTTCGAGACAAACTTCGGTAAACGAAGCACAACTTTCTGGTTGCCAGATACCTTTGGGTACTCTACCCAGATCCCCCAGATATGCCGCTTGGCGGGGATGAGCCGGTTCTTTACCCAGAAGCTCAGCTGGAACAACATCAATAACTTCCCCCACACTACATTTCAGTGGGTTGCTCTTGATGGCAGCCAAGTCATGTGCCACATGGCTCCTGCCGAGACCTACACGGCTGAAGCGCATTTCGGCGACGTCAAGCGTAGTGTCACTCAGCACAAGTCGCTAGATACAGACAAGACATCCCTGCTTGTGTTCGGAAAAGGTGATGGAGGTGGTGGCCCGACTTTTGAGCATCTCGAAAAGCTGCGTCGCTGCCGTGGTCTCAGTGACCAGGTCGGTTCATTGCCTCGAGTCCAAATGGGCGAGTCGGTAGATGACTTCTTTGCAAAACTGGAGGCAAAGGCTGCCTCTGGCACTGATTTTGCCACCTGGTACGGCGAGCTCTACTTTGAGCTACACCGTGGTACATACACCACTCAAGCAAATAACAAGCGCAATAACCGCAAGTCTGAGTTTTTGCTGCGTGAGATCGAGCTTCTTGCAACTTTTGCTACTATCAATGCTCCCGATGGTGGATATCAGTATCCCAAGAAGGAAATTGACGAGATGTGGGAAGGAACCCTCCTTTGCCAATTCCATGACTGCTTGCCAGGTAGCTCCATCGAGATGTGCTATGACGACTCAGACAAGCTGTATACTGAAATATTTGAGATGGGAGCCAAGCTACGAAAGATTGCCCTCGAGGCTTTGGGACTCACCGGTGATGTCACGAGTGGAAATTTCATGGCCCTCAACACTTTGCCATGGCCTCGATCAGAAGTCGTAGCAGTTCCTCCAGCAGTGTCCGCATACATGGGATGCAAATACACCGTGGCCACTGGTACAACTGGAATGATGCATTTACAGCTGGCTGACTTTAAAAAATCTACTTCGGTGACCGTCGCCGAGATCAAATCTGGTGTCTTCCGCCTTGAGAATGGTAAGCTCAGGGTTGACATTCAGGGAGGGGCTATCACATCTTTGTACGATGTGAATGCCGAAAGAGAGATTGTCGCAAAGGACCGCAAGGCTGGCCAGTTAGTCATATTCGATGACAAGCCTCTTTACTGGCAAGCATGGGATGTCGAGGTATTCCATCTTGAATCACGAAAGGAGTTGCCCGGGGGTAAGACGAGCATTGTAGAAAATGACCCGCACCGAGTGAGTGTCGTGACTGAGACATGGATCAGCGATAAGAGCTGGATCAAGACCACAATTAGCCTGTCTGCATCCACATCCGATGAGCCCTCGTACGTGGAAATGGAAAGTGAGGTAGAATGGCAAGAGACGATGAAATTCCTCAAGGTCGAGTTCCCAGTGGATATAACCAACACCGAAGCATCCTACGAGACTCAGTATGGCATCGTTAGGCGCCCGACCCATTATAACACGAGGTACGCGCTACTTTCCATACACTCTACAATGATATTAATTACTCGACAGTTGGGACATGGCCAAATTCGAAGTCTGCTGTCACAAATGGGCTGACCTCTCCGAAAACGGCTATGGAGTCTCCATTCTGAATGATTCTAAATACGGCTTCGCAACATGCGGTAACTTGATGCGCCTTTCACTGCTCCGTGCCCCCAAGGCACCAGATGCCCACGCTGACATGGGCCGCCACCACATTCGCTATGCAATTCTTCCCCACGCCGGTGCCCTTGATGCCCGAACAATCCGCGCGGGCTTCAATTTCAATAACCCGCTCGTCGTTGAAAAAGCCGGCCCGAAAGCGTCTGCTTCCAATGCCCTGTTTACATCTCTGTCTATCAAGGGCGCGCCGTCCTTGATTCTGGATGTTATTAAGCGCGGCGAGGATGACGGTGATGTTTCGTGGGATGGTACTCCTACCCGTCCCGGGAAGAGTGTTATTCTGCGTGTCTATGAATCGCTTGGTGGCAAGGCTCGAGGTACCATTGAGACTACACTGGCCGTGAAGGATGCTGTCAAGTGTAACGTTCTTGAGGATGATGAGATTGACGGGCTGGATATTGCCACCGAAGATGGTCGTTCGGTGATCAAGATTGAGCTGAGGGCGTTTGAGGTCGCTACATACCGACTGCAGCTACGATTATCTTGAACACATTTGACTGACAGGCTTTGGCCAAACCAATGGAGCATCACAAGGCACCCAAAATTTATATCTAGCTCGTGTCACATTCAATAGAAAGCAAAAAAAAAAAGAATGTATCCGACAACGCTGTAGTCTGTAGTCTGTAGAAATTCGTGATGTACATGATATCGCATCATAGGTGTAATAAAACAGATAAATCCCACTCCCATTTTCCGCTACGCCCAACACGACTCCTCCCAGGAGTAATGTAAAAAAACAAACCAACTCCGAAAAAGCCAAGCAGTTACAAGACGGACGAAGAACATAAAGAAAAGCGAACCTTCCAAGAAGACTCAGTCTCTCCCATAGCTGATCTTCAACCGCTTAACAGAAGGCTTGTCCTCATCAGAGATATCGTCGGTCTGGTTCTTTCCCTTCGTATTCTTTGACCCGCCAGTCGCCTTCTTCTTGTTTTTTGACGAACCATTTGAGCTCTTCATCCCGCTGGCGGAAACAGACAGCGGGTCAATCTTCATGGACATGCTGTTCCCTCCAGTCGTAGATGTTGGTGTCGCTGCGTGGGAAGGCGTTGTTTGTACAGAGGAAGGGCCGGGGGAATCCTGCGGACACAACAACAATCATAAGTCGCCAGTTCAAAAGTAAAAGCACCGTACTCAGCATCCAAGGCAAGAGTGAATTTCCTAGTTCGGATCGATTTTTCATACCAGCATGTAACTCGCCGAGCTCCGCGAGAAAACTCGATCCGATTCCGTGACCTGCGCCTTTCGCCTCGACCCAGCCATGCTGCCGCCCAGACCCAGTCCCGCGGCGCCGAGACTCGACCCACTCGCGGAGCCTTTGATGTAGTTATCAAAGCCCTTGATGATGTTTCCAGCGGTGGTTTCTTCCAGGTATGATTGTTCGAAGCGGAAGATTTGGTCTTCGAGTTGGGCCTGAAGGAAAGGTGTTAGCAGCACGTCACTGCAAACCGGATTACACAACCATGGGTCATCATTTTGCACCGACGCAAGATTGGAGAACATGCACACGCAGCGAAAGAACAAAATTCAAGAGAGGTTATGACGTCCGGTCCCTGTGGGTCGAGAACGCGCGAAACTGCACTCACCATGCTCTTGTCCATTAATCGCTTTTTCTGTAACGTATCCCTCAGCTCGCGGCGCAGTTTCTCGTAATATGGTAGTCCGCGACTCGCGGTATTCTGATCAGCAGGCGCATTCAGTGCCCCTGCCGTTGCGCCGGTTGTAGGTGTCGCAGCGCTGGTGGTCGCGGACGCGGTTGTTGGAGCGGGTGCTGTGTCTGCCATGGTTGGATGGCGAAGACGCAATGAGCAAAAAAATCTTCTTTACACCAAAAGAACGTATCTCATGCGCATTAAGGGCGAAATGAAGTTGAAATCGGGGTGGAAATTGTGTCAGTGCGTAGTCAATGTCCGCGTTGGGGATCGAGAGAGCTTGGAGATCTTATCATTGTTTGTCTAGTTTGCATTCCCATCCTTGATCATCGGTGACTAGGTATGTACCTTGTTTATTGTCTCTCGTCGTACCACCTACCATCTTACGAGCATATTGTCATTTTACTTTGAGATACGTTTTTTTTTGTTACCGTTCTCAAACATTTAATCTCCACTATTCAAGATGGACCACTCGATGCACATTGGCATGGATCATGGTGATATGGGCCATGGCGATGTGGGTATGGGTGGGAAATGCAACATGAATGTGAGATGCAGCCTTTGGTCTACTTTGATCTTGTACTTATTCTGACTCTTTGAATCGTAGATGCTGTTCAACTGGTCCTCTGAGAATTTGTGCATTATCTTCCGCAGCTGGCACATCACCGGTCCCTTCTCCTTCCTCTTGTCCCTCATCGCTATCGTTATCCTTACTGCGGGCTACGAGGGACTACGAGCAACGACTCGAAAATATGAGGCCGCCCATGCACAGCGGCTTAGTGCGTTCCTAGGCACTACTGCCACTACTGGGGGTAAGTGATTTTCTCTATTCGTCGGTCAAGCTACAATGTCTACAATCCCAATAATTCCTGCCATTTTTTTCGTTTGATTTTTGAGATGTGATAGGGAAATGATGCCTTCTGAATGAGCAAGCTTCTTATTGATGTCTTGGCTCTCTGCAGACGCTGAGATCGCCGACCCTATCATTTCCAGCACCCTGGCGGATGCAATCCACAACACTCATCACCAAAGCTCACCGCTGCTTGTAGGAAGCGAGAACAGAGCGGCATTGGCGCGCAAGGGTAAGCTTACTATGGCGGCTTTCTATGCCCTCCAGGTGTCCTATAGCTTCTTCATAATGTGAGTGCCTCCCAGCAAATCTTCTAGTCTCGTCTTGGCTTGCTGAATTTGCATCTTAGGTTGCTCTTCATGACGTATAACGGGCCGGTCATGATTGCGGTTGCAGTGGGCGCGTTCGTTGGATACTTGGCCTTCTCCGAAGGAACATCAGCCACAAAGATAATCGCCTGTCATTAAAGGATCCAATCCGGGGCATAGACGACTTTGCTGATTCGGAGGCAGGTGTAGAATAACACGACCAGTAAGTCAAATTCTGGACTGGTTTTGAGATTGGAGTCGATGGGTTTGAGAGCCCTTTCTGGTGGAGAGCGGCGCTGGTTTGTGGTGGTGACCTCGTTGTTTTGTGGTTCCATCAATCTCTCCATATTGCAGTAATAGTTCATGGAACTTCAACATCACTCCCATCATCACCAAACCCAAAGCTAAATCCACCTCCTTCGGTGTCTTGACCATCAGGAGTCTCCGTTGTCTCCCCATGAACAATATCTTCCCACTTGCGCTTCTTGCCTTCGCTCTTCTTCTGTAACTCATTCCAGGCTTGCTCCAGCAGGTCGGGATATGCCTCGCGCATACCGGTCATAAACCGTTCACATGGATTAGCTACGTTCTTCCGGAACCCAGACACCTGGTCCGGCTTGTTAGACAAGAAATCCAAGGCAGCGCCGAGATGGCCTCGGGGAATAAAGTTCTGCGTAATAGCGATCGACGGCTCCAGGTTCACGACCAAATGCCACCATCCAGACGGAACGTGTAGAATCTCACCCTCGCCGCATATTCCTTCCACACAGCCCGGGGTCCGGCGTGCCTCGGCATGGAATCCCAGTAGCCATTCTGCAATGCTCAGCGGAGAAGTCACTTCACTCTGGTCATCGGAAACAAAGACACCCGGAGGCGGGGGCTGTTTTGTGCTAGACGGGAACATTATCCAATATTTGGGCCCACGCAACACGGCGTTCCATGCGCTGGTGGCATTGGGATCTTTGTGGAACTTGCTGCCGGACCGCTCGGGACCGATAATTAACCACTGATGATCAGGGCGGTCGTCACCAAGTACGGAGAAGAAGTCTTCAGCGAAGCACGCTGGGGGCCAGTACGATGCGTCTGGCGTTGTTTCTGAAGATCCGACGGACAGTCCCATCTTCGAGACGAAAGACCGGTCAAATAGGTATAGTGGGCTCTCGTCAGAGTTGTCTGCCATGTAGTCGCCGTAAGTGCGCATAGCCCAGTCCACAGCTTCGGCACGGAACTTGGTCTTCCCGTATCGGGCGAGTAGTGACCCGACGTTCCAGGTCTTATATGCTGGCCAGGCCTTGACAGGCTCAGTCAAGATGAATGGTCGGTCGGTCCACTTTGCTTGGAATTCCTCTGGTGACAGCTCGGGAAGTCGTGCAATCTGGTTCCGCGCCGGGATCTTAGAGACATAGGGGTCGAGTGAGATATGTGCACAATTGAACGGCCGGTAGAGAGAATCGGAGAATAGCTGGGAACAGTCCACCATGGGCACTTTAGAAGCAGGGATATTGAGATATGTTGACCGCCATGTCCCTCGCCATGTGAAATCTTCTCTTGAGTCACTGCAGCCAGACTTAGTTTGGAGATCAAATTCGTTCATTAGGAAATTGTTCTATTATGAATAAGGGTAGGGCTCAAGACCAAAACATCACTCGGATTTACATGATTCAACTGGATCTGTAGGCTTTTGGCTTACCAAACAAACAGCGCCTTCCACAATTCTTCAGCCCGGGTAAATGCATAGAAGGCCTTGCATGTCCGCCCGATTCTCAACAGGCTTGGCCCGTCGAAGGCCTCCAACAACAACAGGATTAGTTCGTCTGGCAGGTGTTGAAAGATCCCCATGGCGTTGCGAAGACTCCAGGTAGCCAATAGAGCATTTCCACTTGGCTTCACGCCTAGTGGGTGGGAGGGAATAGCCTCCCTTATGATATCTGCATCCTGTGGTGGTGGATGACTGGGCAACGATTTGATGTCAGGCATGATCTGAAATTGGCACTTTTAGGGCTTCAAAGATTGGGCGACCAGGCCCAACTAGAAAGTAGTTCACCAATTTAATGGGAACAAGAAAACTGAATAAAGAGAATCAAATAGACTGGTTCAAGCAACAGTTTGCACCACAACAATCAGACCGAAGAAAGAAAAAAAAGAAAATATAGTCAATAAGAGGATGATTTGATGTTCATCTCGCCCACTCTAAACTCGCTTGGGCTTGGCCACTCCCCAACAGGGTAAGCGGTAGGATAATGACCCCGTAAAAAAAAAAAAGCGTAGCAAATGGCGCCGCAGTTGTGGCCATTCGATTTTTTCGCTTTTCTTCTCTTCCTCTTCCCACCCCATTTGTGATTTTCACATCCAACCACTTTTGTCATCCTTTCCTAGTATCCTATACAAAGGCTCTTTGATAAAGAGTCTGAGGTACTAGAAGTTAACTTTCCCACGCAGCGAACCTACATAAGTTCGCTAAAACTACCCCACCACACCGATCACAGCCAACGCCTGTGATCTTTTCTATCAAACCGCAAATATGGCTGACAAGGGTCTTGAGGATCTTGCCGAGGGTATGTGCTACGCTCCTGTTACTTTTTGATGAAAGTCCCGTTACTTTGCTTTCACTGAAGGTCGCAACCGCGATCGCATTCAGTATTTGGTGGCGTCAGATAGGGAAGGCGTCGAATGAAGATGGGGGCTAACATGTCTTTTTTTTCTCAACAGGGCAGATCGAGTCTAACTACGATGAGGTCACCGACTCCTTCGACGCTATGGACCTGAAGCCCGAGCTGCTTCGCGGTATGTACCCCTCTTCGTCTTATCAGGTGGGGTTGGGGAAAAAAATACTGATGGTTGGATACTAGGTGTCTACGCTTACGGTTTCGAGCGTCCTTCCGCCATCCAGCAGCGTGCCATCATGCCCATCATCAAGGGTGAGTTTAATTTCATTCCGAGCCCACTTTTGAAATTCGCGCCTAATCTCTGAGTTCAGGCAACGATGTTATTGCCCAGGCTCAGTCCGGTACCGGTAAGACCGCTACCTTCTCCATCTCCGCCCTGCAGAAGATCGACCCTGAGGTCAAGGCCTGCCAGGCTCTGATCCTTGCTCCTACCCGTGAGTTGGCTCAGCAGATCCAGAAGGTCGTTGTCGCCATCGGTGACTTCATGTCCCTTGACTGCCACGCCTGTATCGGTGGTACCAACGTCCGTGAGGACATGAACGCTCTCCGCGCCGGCCCCCAGGTCGTTGTCGGTACCCCCGGCCGTGTCCACGACATGATCCAGCGCCGTGTTCTCTCCACCACCGCCATGAAGCTCTTCATCCTCGACGAGGCCGATGAGATGCTGTCCGTAAGTTTTCCAACTGATCTTATGCCAATCAATCGGAAATCGGTTTTAACTCCTTTTTTTTTCTAGCGTGGTTTCACCGAGCAGATCTACGACATCTTCCAGCTGCTTCCTCAGTCTACCCAGGTCACCCTGCTCTCCGCTACCATGCCCCAGGATGTCCTCGAGGTCACCACTAAGTTCATGCGCGACCCCGTCCGTATCCTTGTCAAGAAGCAAGAACTCACCCTTGAGGGTATCAAGCAGTTCTACATCGCTGTTGAGAAGGAGGAATGGAAGCTCGACACCCTCTCCGATCTCTACGAGACCGTCACCATTACTCAAGCTGTCATCTTCTGCAACACCCGCCGAAAGGTCGACTGGCTCACCGACAAGCTCACTGCTCGTGATTTCACTGTCTCCGCTATGCACGGTGATATGGAACAGGGTCAGCGTGATGTTATCATGAAGGAGTTCCGCTCCGGTTCTTCCCGTGTCCTGATCGCCACTGATCTTTTGGCCCGTGGTATCGATGTCCAGCAGGTTTCCCTGGTCATCAACTACGATCTTCCCGCCAACCGCGAGAACTACATTCACCGTATCGGTCGTGGTGGTCGTTTCGGTCGTAAGGGTGTTGCCATCAACTTCGTCACTGCTGACGATGTTCGCATGCTCCGTGAGATCGAGCAGTTCTACTCCACCCAGGTTGAGGAGATGCCCATGAACGTGGCTGACCTCATCTAAACACCCTAACTCTTGACGTCTTGATGCGGTTTACGATCGCAGAATCTGCGTTAAAAGTGGCTTTCTGCGTTTCCGCCTGCAATGTGCAGGAGAAGTGACTGGGGCTATGCATCCGCATATTGAGTCGATAAGTCGACGCCTCGGTCATTTTTCGGCCCTTGCTATGGTTTCCTATGTCTTGCACCAATGGAGATGAGACATGTTTGCGTTCACCTCTTGCTGCTCTGTTTTCTCTTATTTCTTATGCATTTCCTCTGTTTTCCCCTTGTCTGTATCTAGCTCGCTCTTGTTGGTTAAGGATGCTGCCTCTTTTCGTACTTAATCAATAGACCGGGCCAAAATGTGACTTGTTCCTCAGGGCGTCGTCCTTGAATGATTATTAAAACACGTATTTTGCTTTGTGAATACATCTTTAAATAGTGTAACCCCGAACCTCTCCCCATTCTCTGTGTCCCGTAATTGCAATACCCTTCACTCTGACAATAGTGGCAGGGTCGGAGCGGCACAAGCGCATCTGAAGCCTGTTTGACAGCTATTGAACCTCCATCCTGAGGCCCCACACTAACACTCCGTCACGATTTGGCGAATGAAGCTGTAATTTCTAAGGCTCCAAAGATTTCACTCACAAACCAAACCTACTTTCATACAACGGGACTTTCCCCGGTTGGTCGCGGTGAGGAGCCACACGTTCTGAAGTCGCAAGCAAGGCAAAAGGTGATCATCTAGGCCCTCTCCGAGGTGCCTATCTATGAATCTCAGATGCGAACATGTCAGCGCTTGATCTGAGAGAGCCGTGAATTGCTTCTCTCCCTTGTCAATTCTCAGTCCTTCAAGCTTTTAGAATGCCTTGACACTCTACATTTGTCACTCTGGGGATCTTTCATAGATAGTGTTGGATTGATCGGAACATGTTCCGATTCTCGGACAAGCGAGCCGATGGTTGTGGCTCGATATGAAACTATTGAGGTTTTAATTATCGACTAACAAACCCTGTAATCCATGGAGCAGGTTGCCATAGTATTCAAAAGCTCCCTGTGAAGATTTTCCCATCTAGTTTGGCACTGGAAGTGTAAAATCCCATCCTTATGCATTGATATATAGAGTGGCAGGATTGGACAAAACCACTAAATGATCACCACTGAAATTTCCAACGTTAGATTTGTCGAGTAAGTACCTTCTGGTTGTTTTCTATCTGTTAGCACTTTTTAGCCCTCCACTCAGTGGATAAAGATACAAGCGGTCGCGGCAGAAACCCGCCTAGCTCTGGAGTTCTCCGCATCTTTCGGAGAACACCCGAGGCTTCGGATTGACCCTCCCTCACGACTTCTTTCCTTAATTCCTCTTACTTGGTCCATCGCATAGCTTCAATTCCTTCCAAAATGGCTTCTGTCCGCGCCAACTGCCGCAAGATTATGTGTATCGGCCGTAACTATGCGTGAGTCTCTCCGTCTCCCGGCGCCTTGTTTCCCTCAAGAGTTCCGACAGCGGCGCCGCTTTCTGCCTCTCGGCCACAATTGCTAATAGCATGGTATCATACAGTGATCACATTACAGAGCTCAACAACACAGCTCCCAAACAGCCATTCTTTTTCCTCAAGCCCGCATCATCCATCTTAATCCCCGGCTCGGGCCCTGTCCTCCGCCCCAAGGGTGTCAGCCTGCACTACGAGGTCGAACTGGGTCTGGTGATCGGAAAGACCGTACGCGACCTCGATCCTAACGATGAAAAAGCGGCACTGGATGCGATTCAGAGTGAGTGCAGCACGAAATCCGGATCTGAATGGGCATGTCGTGGTGGACCCCGGATTTTGGCTCAGGCAGCAAGTCGCTGACAAAAAAACCCCCATTGCGGAAAACAGGCTACGTCCTCGCCATTGATATGACAGCTCGCAACGTGCAAGACGAGGCAAAGAAGAAGGGCCTTCCCTGGTCCATCGCCAAGGGCTTCGACACCTTCCTCCCTATCTCGCAGGAGATCGCCAAGTCGCGCATTCCTAATCCGCATGACGCATTCCTGCGCCTGAGCGTTGGCCAGGACGAGCGCCAGGCGGACTCGACTAGCCTGATGTTGTACCGCATTCCGCAGCAGCTTGCGCAGATCTCGCGCGTGATGACATTAGAGAAGGGTGATATCGTTCTTACCGGTACGCCAAAGGGTGTTGGACAAGTCAAAGCGGGTGATGTTATGAGGGCATCGATTGAGGTTGCTGGAAAGGAGATCGAGGAGGGGCGGATTGAGGTTGAGGTACAGGACCGCGAGGGACGGTATGAGTTCAAGGAGACTTAAATTCGTCTTTTGGACTTGTAAATTTTTGACCTGTGAACTCCAAAAATATATAGAGCAAAATCATCACTTGGAGATTCAAAAGAACAACAGGGTGATCTGCCAAGAAAGCATTCAGGAGAGGATACTTAGACATTAAAAATGAATCTTGCAAACGAATTCAGGGAGCCCTGGAGCATCCACAGTAATATCTCCTCACATCGGAGTCTCTCATCGGAGTCGAGAGTGAAGGTGGGACAGTGAACAACCCAGCAAAGGCCAGGTTCCTCGTCTGCCAAGACATTGCAATGGTTGGCTCTGATCTCGAAGAACACCGAATGTCCCCCCTCCGACTCAAACATCACTAGACCTATCAACATGCAAGTCGCAGAGATTCTGTCAGATGTCAATTCTCTCCGCGTCTGCGTAAGTATCACCTGTAATCCTTTCCTCCAGAGTGCTGCCCCACTACGACTAACGCGTCCAAGCCACGTTTTGGATAAGGGACACCGGACAAGATGACAACGCTAACAGCATAGCACAGGGTCACAACGAGGCCCTAGCACTGGTGAATGTGCACAAAAATATCACAGGCTCGGGTTCAACCGAATCCGGTACCGCATTGACAGATAAGAGCCCGGCAGACGACAAAGCCGATCTTCGTCGTGCAAAGGAACTGGTTGAGCTACACTATGAGGTTAAGGCGAGACATGCCAACGGAACTGTTGATGAGGAGCTGTGTCAATCTCGGCAAGATGTCTGGCGAATTCTGAGGGAGCTGTCGACTGTCTAATTACAGTTACTGGTTCTTTCCTTTTCTGGATGTGGGAACGGGCGTTGAGGATCGCAGTTGCTACATTTTTATGAGCGCATGGGTTTCGGTTGACTAGTTTGGTCCAAATAATCTACTGGATTCTTGTTAACTTGGTCTTTATAGCATTCTCCCAAATACACACCCACGCGCTCCGAGTTCTCTAGAGAACCGTGGAAGCTAATGGCTCAATATATTCATTGCATCTACACTCACTCACAACTCTTTCCGGGCATACTGTACAATCTGATCATGAGCAACTACGCGTCCCTCGGTCGTCTTGCACAAATTTCCTATGTCTCTAGCCCGTTTCTGAATCGCTTCATCCTTTATCACTCGCAGCAGGGCCGAAGACAGCTCTGCTCCATTTATTTTCGGTGCCACATTGCGGCTTCCATGTAAGCCAATACCTAGCCACTCGACTCGGGCCGGACAATCGTATGTGTCGAACCATTGGGGTAAGATGACCTGCGGAACACCCGCCCTGGGAAGAGGCATCAGCACCTTGTCCTTCGCCAACGTGCGACCCCGGGGAAAACTTACTTGCATGCCTCAAAAAATGAGTTGGCTCCTCCATGGTGGACATATGCGACTATATTACCGCTTTTTAAAATAGAAATAATCTCTGGTTCGATCCATGGAAAGATCCTCACTTTATCGGAACTGACAAGAGGTCCGAGAATGTTCTTGACCGCCGAGGAGCTTTCCCAGTCGCTTTTGAGCTTCCACAAGACCTGTATATTGGGAAACTCGCACCAAACAGCCTGGATCGCCATCGCCATCTGTATTGCATCATTCTCTGGGGCTTGAACGTGTGACCCAAGACATATTAGGATTGTTGGTTCTTTCATCCACGAATCCAGTGCTGGATCACTTTCTATAAGCGACGAAAATGACCGGACGATTGGACCGCAGCTGATAACATTGCCCGGGACGTGTAACGGAAAATCCATATCTCGGAATGAAGGCGAGAGGTGCAGGTGGTTTTTACAGTAAGGTGCCACGTGAGGAAATGCAGTCCGAATTCCTGCTTTCCTTCGAATGTCCAGAAGATCGCGCATGGGTTTTCCTAAGCGAACAATCCACCCGAAGCAAAACACCATGTACACATTTGCAAGGATTAGTCTCCATGGTAGGGGAAATGGATATCCTGAACCGGTACTGAATTTCAAAGTCAGCGAGATCCTCAAACTCCATTTGGGAGACATGAGTTGCTCACAGGGGGTATTTCCAAAAAATGCCAGCTTTCGGTTGGACAGTGGCCACAATATCTTTCAAAGGCACCGGCCAAAGAATCACGATCCGCGAGTCAATGCTGCGAGCAGCATCTAGTCCTAGATGCAAAAGTGGATCTGCAACTACGACGACCGGGCGAACATCTTTCAATATCTCGAGACAGCTCCAGTATGACAGTATGTACTCATCAGGCTTCCATCCCAGTACAGATATGTTGATTATGTTGCATGCATAACGCGTTCCCGCAAGCCCTGGCCGATGACATATATCCGATACGGTACGGGTCACGATTTCCGACAAGGACGGACCTGCGATTGGATGAAAGTGAAGCACTTGGTTGTACTCCGGTTTGTCATTTATCGCTTGCACGCGAGCTGATAATTCCTTGAAGGAAGCGACGTGGATTTCGAACTCGCCCCGGTGCAGAAACTCTTCGGCCACTGCAAGTGCGACGTTGGACTGTCCATGTTCGGGACTTGTGAGGAAGAGAATAGGCTGTCTTGGAGGTGACATGTTGTTTCTTTTTTTCGCGCAAGTTTCCCACAGGTGCAAATCAAATAGGTTGTTCCTGGTCACGGATTTTATTTCAAGTTTCTGAATATGCATTCCACGATTATAAAATTCCGTCGTTGCATTCTATGAATACTAGCCGATGTATGATTACTCGGTGCTTATTGAAGTAGACAAATAGGGAAATCGATGCCGTGAGTTTTTTTTCTTTTCTTTTACAGTGTTCTTTCTCACATTGTTCCAAGTTGGAAGGTAGTAGTTGGTTGTCATCTTCGTGGCGAATCTCTCATAAAAGCCCCCTATCCAATCCTTAAGCTTCATAGAACCGGTTTATGTAGCACTCTGCATTTTCTTGTTATCAAAGAGGATTTCTTTTGATAGTCATAGGAACAGGGACATCGGATAAGGAAGAGAAATTAAACGAATCAATGGTCTACGTCTAATTTTCGACCCAAGTATCCAAGTGTCCAAGTTTTCCCAAGCAACAAATCGTTACAGCCAAGCCAACCAAGTTCAGCGAGAACAGAAACCAGAATGCCGTCAATCAATCAATCAATCAAAGTTCAATTAACCTGTTGCAGTCTAACTAGTTGCGTATGACTATGTAGGCGCTTCTCCAACCGAAGCAAGAACTCGAAACCTAACGCCGAGCGGGATCGCTCCCAAAGTATACAGATAATGCCGAAGTGAAGAGTGCGGAACGCTCCGCTAATTAGAATTACTACGCGTTTTTCTATCTTAATTAGTTCGTTAGTGAGCTTATTAAGATCCCCTCTTAGTATTAACCTAATAGCCGGACAATACCACGTAGATAGTCCCTATAGTATCTATAGAATAATGACTACCTAGTATACTCTCCGCATTACGACTAGTGATAATCCCTAAGTAGAACCTAAGATCCTACGGAGCGCTTCTAGGCTACTAGCTCCATTTATAAGTATCTTCTTCCGGTGTATTAAGAAATCGAGGTATTTATCGAGCTATATACCTAGGTATTTAGTAGTACTAGTCGGTGCTACTAGCACCGACTAGTATTATTATTAGTTCGCTAGGTATTATCACCGGTATACCGTTATAACCCAATAGGTTATCTAGCACTTCCTAAATATCAATATCTCGAGGAGGAGTAGTTTCGGTTCCAGTTAATCGTATCTAATTATCGTTCTATCGTATCGTGTCAGGGTGCGGG